TAACGAATTATTATTATTTTAATTATATCATTGGAAGAGTGTTTCTACAATGCAATCGAAAATCAAAAACTTGTATATATCTAGTCATTAGATATATACAGTTTAAGGATTTAGACTAAGGCGAAATTTAGTAATTCTGTCAATATGAGCGTTGTCAATATTATAGTTGCTCCATTCTTTTATAAATTGTATTTTGTTTTAATCATCCGAAAAGATCGTTTATCTCAAATATAAGTAATATCAGTTTTTATAATGACCACTATAAAGAAATGGAACAATTAAATCTAAAAGTGTCTCTTTGGTTCATTAGTAAATATCACATGGTATATACAAAGTTAGGAGAAATCTGAACTGCTCTAGCTCCACGTAAAATGTCTTGATTCTTTAGAATTATTGATATGAATTCTCTATTTAACGTCAATTTGCTGTAACTTTAAAATCGGATTTAGAAAATTTAATTGACCATGAAATGGCTTCTCTATGGTAAAATAAGAGACGAAACCTCTTAGCATTCAATGGATTCACCGTGCGGATGCCGGGTCCATCGCGTTGCAGGGAGAGAAGCTTCAACAGTGCCTGAGACTTGTGACCTAGGTGTAAATTTAAGGGGCCCCTATCTAACGCTCATCAAACGCTCACCTCCACTGTCCAAGCTCCTCTCTCTCTCTACCTAACCAAATTTGAAAAGAACCCACTAGGGCTGCCTTGGAAGTACGTTCTAAGAATGAATTGATAATAATGTATTGTTTTATATTCCATACTAGAAGACCTGGCGAACTTCGTATCGCCCTATAGTCAAGAAATATCTATTACGTTTTTTTATTTATATTTTTGTAGTTTACCTGTAAGCCATAAATCTCCGTGTTTTGAAGTGCAACAGAATGATTGACATATTAGTTAGTTGTCAAATATAATGTCAAAAAAAACGTTTGTATGGGAAATAGAAAAGGGCTGTTTTTATGGTTTTCCCAGTAATGAATCCATTTTTTTCACCTTTTATACCTTCCCTGAACCTCCACGACCATTTCAAGACTACGATAAGATAAATCCGTTCAGCTCTTCTCGAGTTTTAGCGAGACTAAGGAACAGCAATCCATTTTTATATATATAGAAGATGTAACGTTCCATTCATTAAATAAAATTTATTACATTAAGAAATAATGTTTTATTATATACATCACCTAGGTATATAATAAAACATATTACCTATTTTCCATACCCGACACTTGCCACTGAAGATGACTTTCTTTGCACGGATGAAGATTAAGCCCTTTATTTAGAATTGACATTCCTGAAATGAGTACACTGGGATGAAACGAAGATTTAGTTTCGCTTGCAATCCCATGACCCCGAACGGCTAAAACACATTGCTTGCGGCTACATCGTCACTGCTACATAGCCATGAATGGTGAAGTCAAGCTATGAGATTCAGAAACTTATCCCAATTTCAAAGTATCCTTGGAACCAAAACAATACTTGGTAAAAATATTACCCTGCATGAGCTCAAGTATACATATCTATACTAATATTATAAAGCTGAAGAGTTTGTTTGTTTGTTTGTTTGAAAGCGCTAATCTCCGAAACTACTGGTTCGAATTGAATAATTCTTTTTGTGTTGGATAGTCCAGTTATCGAGGAAGATTGTAGGCTATATAACATCACGCTACGACTAATAGGAGCAAAAATATAGTGGTAAATGTGTAAAAAACCGTAGAAATTATTTCATCTTTAAAGCCTTCCGTTGCGTGCGCCATGAAAACGGTTCAAGATAAACAAAAAATATGTATTAAAGAATAATAGCTCTTTTAATGATCTAAAAAACAGTCCGCGACAGTATATGTCTATCTTTTAAGAATAACTCACAAAAACCGTTTTTATGGTACCTAATTTGGTCGAAATAATTTGTTTAAGTTGTATCAACATAATAATATTAATCTTTATTCAAATAAACAAATAAATATGTTGTTGGTTAAGAGTACTTCATTGTGAATAAAATTGTCTTTGACATAACTTAATTTCAATAAAAAGCTTTAATTACAAAGATAAATACCATGCCACGTGGCCCACTCGCGCGGTCGGCTCCCTAATGAACGGTTGAATGCAGCGCTAATTTGTTTATGCGATATAATTATCATCGTAATATAACTTTTTAAACACAGTTTCATTTTGTAGTCGTTTTCTATATAGTAGGTACTTTATTTGTTTTAGGATAGTATTTAGTTACACAATAATAACAGTTTTTTGTTTTCATGTAGATTAATTATTAATTTGTAAGTATGTGTCTTCTATAAGTATAGTATTGTTTGTTTTTAAAATAGTATTTAGTTTCAATTTTTTTTGTGGTACATAATACCTGTAGGTACCTAAATAGGTGTGGTCTACCTATTTATTCTCATTAGATTAGGGTTAAGTTTAAGCATAAAGTTAGTTTACCTTATTTTCATTTTACGGTTGTTCTTTTGTTGACATAATCGTTAAAAATAAAAGTAATTAGGTTCCTAATCATCAATCTTCCTAATCTTACGTTTCTTTTTTTTATTACGAGATAGACTTTAGTTAAGTTTTCATTTTCTACGTTTTTTTTTCATCACTATAATGGCGAGAAAAAGAACTCAGCTTTCTCGGCAGACTGCTACTACAAAGCGGCTGCCTGTTTTGCGCAGTAATGAAACTGAGGATGAAAATATGCACAGGTTGGCTACACAACGAGCAATTACTGAACAAAACCTTGCAAGGGAATCAAGCGTTGAACGTTCGCAGCGTTTAGCGTCACAAAATTTCCGAACTTTGGAGAACCGGCAACGGGAATCGAGTGCTTATCGTTCTCAAGATCAGGTTGTGACGAAAATCAATATGTTCTTCTGCCACAAGATAATAAAACAAAAATTGTGTTATATGCAGAAGTTCTTTAACATAATTAAATTTACTTTAAATTGAACAGATATAGTTTGGAACTCGAAACAAAAAACATAGGTTTTATCCTGATAATTCTTCGGGAACTCGACCATTCCGAAAATCCCTCAAGAACGGAAACTATGTGGGAAGAACCAAAAATCTGCCGGAAGTCACTATTCCACGCGGACGAAGTCGCGGGCAAAAGCTAATTACTTATACTACTTTAAAACAGAATTAACGTATAATGTTTAAAAAGACCTGTAAAGCCTCTAATTTTTTTATTGTAGTAACGTTATTAAAAAGATATATTTTGCTATTGGTTATATATACATACATATATGTATGTATAAATTCATTATCACCACAACTTAAATCATTAATGGTTAATTAATTTAACAAGACCACATTATCTACAGTTATATAAAAAACAATGGCCCATTAATTGATAAAATGAGGAAATGTAGATTCAGAGACTATTTCCTGTTATACATATTTATTAATTATACTGAAAGAATTCAGACACGTTGCAGTTATTAAAAAAAACTTCGTTTTATGTCAGATGCAAGTCAATTAGGTACTTATTGATATATCTTGTTATAGTTTCTAGGCATAGTTATCGCAATTATCTTATAGATTATAACCACTTAAATTTTTATGATAAATCACAAGAAAAAGTTGTTGTCACTGGTGGAAAGTTAAAAATTAAATTTAGGCTTCATTTGATTGTAATGCTGAATGTAAATTTGTTTTTTTTTTGCAGACTCATATGATGGCTTATTTTCACAGTGACATGTGAGATTTCTTTAATTTTAAAGATTTTTCAGTAATAATATCATTGTATGGAACACTTTAATTACGAAGCCGCCTGTCGATTCATTACCACGCATAACTGTGGCACAGAACGATAACGAAACAATATCTTATCGCTGAAATTTATAAAGCGTAACAAATACTCTAACCCTACATCAAAGATACAAGAATCTTGGATATAAAATTAAGAGAAACTATAATGAAATGTGAACCATTCAGATGCCAACTTTTCGCTTTGACACTCCACCGTTAACGGGCCTGAAATTTGAATAAGAACCCTCAACCACCTTCATGCTCTCTTCAAGTAGAAAACTGGCATAGATAATACATATTATTATTCTTAGGATTGACACTATAATGGTCTTTTATGTAAAAATAGCGCACTGCCAGACCTGCCCAAAACGTTTAGCATTTCTTCATAAACTTGTTGACTCAAAACATTATCCAGTATTAAGGGATATGTCCTGGTGTTTCTAACAAATTAAGCGCCCTTTTTCACCTCTCATGTATTAAATGTAAACTTAGCTGTCAATTGAAATCAAAAACACAAAAGAACTGCAAAAATATTTTTATCATTACTTATTAACAATAAAAAAAATCATTTAGATATTGATGTAAGGTTGTAGTTTCATTTAATAAAAACATTACATTATTGTTTAGCAAAAAGGATATATGTTATATGAATGGATGTAATACGAATGGATTTATGAATTATTTTAATTGTCAAATTAAAAGACAACAGTATCAGAGTTTCTTTATTTTGTTAACAATTTTTTAAGACGTGATGCAGGTTAATGATTTCATTTTAAGTGAAGACGTATAATAGTTAAATTGACAAGAGATTAAGTACTACAAGTTTCAATTTTTCTTTTAAATTCACCCGTCCACTTCGCAACTGAGCGTAGTATTGACAAAACGAATGGTCTAGAAATCTAGAAGACAGCTCGCGAGAATAACTATTGCTATGGATTCTAAAATAATGTATGACAACACTGACATCGAACAGTGACACATCTATATATAACTTTGAAAATAATTTTTTTTTTTGTTAACACCAAAAAAGATTATCTATGGTCGCAGATTTAATTTCTAGCAGCAGACATCTAAAGTTTCTACAGTGACTGTAAAATAGTTGTTCAAAAATTTAATTACCATTAGGTTTGCAACTAGACTAAAAATAAAATAAAATAACGCATCACTTAAATAATATCCGAAAATCAATACATTTTTTATACTTCAACAAATTAGTTACATTCAAGATCAATCCATAGCTAACAGTTAAAAATGTACGGTTTTCAAACGACGAATTTTTCAAGAGCAAGCATAGCGAGCGATGACATTCCCGCCACCGCCGGTACAGTGACCACCCACGCGAATATTATGTTCCTTAAACAAAATATAAGTCTATAATTAGGTGTATATAAGTAAAGGTAGATGTAAATAATTTATTTATGGATTGGGAACATTTATAATGATTGTTATTATATATTTCATGAATAATTTATTTACTATACGAAACAGTTTTTCTTTAACTGAACTATCTGTTTATTTACTAACTGCAATAAAAGCTTTGCACAATATTGCCTTGATAGAGATATAACACATTTTTATAAACAACCTATTTTATGAAACTATTATTTTAAGAAAATATAATGTTTAAAACAACGTTCCTTGCTATTATACAACTGAGTTAAATATCTGTATATTTTCTCCTCTTTACACATTATTGGTTATAAAATCTTATCGTGTCAAATCATCGAAGGAATTAATAATATTTCCTACCTAAACAAGCTCCAGTCCACTTTATTTTCAGAAGAATATCCCACACAAACCACAGATCCGACCTTACAATGCGTAGTGGACACCGGTAGCCCTACCTTAGACGCCACCAGCACAGTCAGAGCCGCGCCCAACTCGATAGTAAAACCTCTGAAACATCCACACATATGTACATACTACATGAATAAATACACTTGTGTCATAAAACATTTAAAAAAATTAAGAGTTTTTGTTTGTTACATGGCGTTTCGATTCCTTCATTGGTAGCCGAGGACATGGTTATTGTAAATGTAGGTTTCCCAATTTTTAGCCAATTGATATTTTTATTCGTTATAAACAGCTTAGTCACTAGTACCACCACTTTGAAAATATTAGGTAGCTACGGTTGTTGGATTTAGAAGTTCGATTACTAAAATGATTTATAGTTAAATAGAATAATAACGAAATATCTTTAATAGTTTTACATTTAATAATAGTTGGATTTTATTATTGTCATCTTATTAATGACAAAAAAAGCAATCAGGCATACCTTAGGTATGTATCTACCGCCTACGCTAATATCCTTGCCTTTTAATAGTTTTGTTCTATCGCTCAAAACTTTACAGACATCATTACTTTCAAATTAAACTTGTGTTATGTGAATACAAAAGAACATATACGAAAGTTATGTTACATCTGGAAGTTTAACCCCTGAATCTGAATGAACGCACTTTAAAACTAGATTATGTACCTACATATGTTATGAGACATTTATAAAAGAGACGTACATTCATCAAGACGTAATAATGTGATAGAAATTGAACAGCCAATGAATTACTGAAAGTGACTCACGTGTCGGGTGTTATGCTGGTCAGATCCTCTCCTACGGTCTGAATGACTCGTCGACCCCACAGCCAAAGTCCCAACGCTATACCCACGCCACCGAACACAAGTATTGCGAGTGGAGTCTCCGCCTTCGCGTGAGCTCCGCCTTCAGAATATAACAGCCATAGCGCCACCAGTGGTCCTATCGCGTTGCTGTCAAATATAAACATGTAACATCAAAAATAGGAACCGGTAAATATAGTGTAAAATGATCTCTAGTTAAGTGGTGGCATATTCGTGAGGTAGGAGGACGAGATTGAAAGAAAAACCGGAGGTAGAACTCAGTAGCGTGATACAGGAGAAGCGACTGTGGACTGTTTATGACGGGTGATGTTGGTGACGAATACTTTAAAAGAATAGAATAAGAATATATAAATTATAAATAATTTTTCATAAGCTACTTAATACTTTGATCCTTGTTTGAAGGCATAATATAGGAAGTAGGCCAATGCTATATACAAAATAAGATTTAAGTAAGCCATATAACAACTCAATCTTAATGGGCCAAATTGTGGCCCATATATTATTTTATTACTAATGAACACCTACTAACCGCATATCATTAATCGAGGAGTCTTCGATACTGTTATAGTTTCTTCATAAAGTACCTGACATCATTTCCTCCGTGAGCAAACGACCCGAAGGTGGCTGTGAGAACTTGTAGGAAGGAGAAGAGACGGAAGGTGTCTGGTGGAGGAGCCGGCGGGGCGCGCGGAGGACTGGCCGCTCGGAGTAGGGGCGCAGCGCTAGAGTTGGGAGTAAGTGCAGCTAAACGGGACCTGCGCATATCACACTCGATACTCCAAGCGCTGCCAACCACCGGATCCTGGAACAAAATCCATTTGTAAATACTATAAAGTGTCAGTTCTTTTTACGGTGTGAACTTATAAATATTTGATTTTGCAGAACCTCTTCCAAAGTTTTTTTTGCTTCATAATGCTTATTATAAAGCAATTAAAATATCTATGACCCTTGCACCTTATAATTGAGCTACTCCGTAAATGAGAGACGTAATATTCAAAAAATCATCAATAGTTTCCGTAGTTTTTTTAAGTTCCGATAATTAATATCCACAGACGGTTACATTGATCAAAAAAAGTTTAGTAGGAATATAAATTACTAAAAATAAATAAATTTAAAAATTAAACAATATACCTTATCCAACCTTGGTGGTGGCGTGTCGAATTCTACGGTTGCTGGTAGTGCCATCAAAGCCGATAATCGCCCAAACTCTCCGCGTGCTATTGTATCACATGAATCACCTAAAAATCCATTCTTTGAATCATAACTCTCGCCCATTCCTACCAATTGATTTGAATCCAAACTCTTGCAACAACTAAGGGTCTCGTCTATATATTTGAGTGTATTTATTTGCGGGTCTGCGTCTATTAATTGAAGTCGGGATTTATTTGGAGGACTTAAACTTCGAGAGAGTATACTGCAATCATCCATTGTGGCTAACAAAGCTCGATTCTTGGCATTCATTTCTTTAACCCCGACTGATGATTTGTCAGCGTCACTAAGTGTTACCATTTCTGCACTTTCAGTAATTACTTCAAGAAGTTTTCCGTCTTCAGATAACAAAGAAGTTGGGCGTTGGGCGGTGCTGTTCTTGCTATGTGTTGGAGTATTGGCTGGTGTTGTTTCTTAAAGTAATATATTTTCATTAGTAACATAATTTAATTATCGAAATAAAATTGTTATTAATACTTTAAGCATATAGGTATACCATTGGAAAGTCCTACAGTAAAGTTAACGTGTGGCGGTGCAAGACGTTGACGGTAGTAGGGCACTAGGAAGACACGCACTAATAGAGCTCCAATAGCCCCAAGTGTCAATGAACCCGCTAAAGCCAACCAAAGCGGTATGTTATCCATTTCTAACACTAAAACAGAAAAACAGCTCTATAAACAATAAAGAGACAAAGAAAATATTAAATACAGTATTTTCTTACATTTTGGGCCGTCATGTACAACACTCAGAACATTAACAGCAATTGTTGCTCCATAAAAGAACGGAAGTGAATGCAATCCAGCCTTAATTGGCTGAGGAGAACGTAGAATGAATTTACGGACTAGCCAAAATAAAAACGCTGATACTGCACCACTTAGCACAGGTGATATAAACCAGGATAAGACTGAAAAATATAAATTATTTATCAAACAACTCGAATCCGAATAATTGACATAAATTAAGTGTATGTACTTTACAATAATTAAAATTGTTACCTATTGCGCCGAGTGTAGACCACCTAACGCCTATCGGACCTTTTGCTGTTAGCGTAAAACCAACAGTCGCTCCTACCACTGAATGAGTCCCAGACACGGGTAAGCTTAATCCTGTAGCAAGAATCAACCAGACAGCACTCGCTATCAGAGCTGCTAGACAGCCAGCAGCCAACAAACGTTCCCCTCCATCCGCATACAATGATACATCCAATATACCTTTGCGCATTGTATCTGACACCTTATAGCCTAAACGAAAGGAATTTAAAGGATGACTTTATTGTACGTAAACAAATACATTTATTAAAAATTTAAAGACATTTGCAATAATGTTTCAGTAACTTCAATAATATAATTAAAACTTACCAATCAACACAGCTCCAGCGATCTCAAAAATGGTTGCTAGAATACATGCTTGTGTAAGTGTGAGGACCTTCGAACCCACACTTGTACCGAAGGAATTTGCCACGTCGTTAGCTCCAATACCAAACGCCAAAATAAACGCTACTATAAAACCACATATAACTAACCACAGTAAGTCTTTCGAGTACGGATCCATTTTGTTTCTTTTATCTTTTGTAAAAGATACACCTTACATTGCCTACTGAAGTCTGAAGTGAGAATATTTAATATTTGTAGCACCTAATTATAATGTTTTATTTTTAACAAATAAGCTTGGCTTAAATATCTAAATTAATAATTAAGGACACTACTCCGATCAATTTAACCAATCCAAACAATTCCGTACAAAAATATGTTAAAATTCATGACCCAAAAAACCTTACTATTATTAGGGTACTTAAACAAGTGTTTGTTTAATAGAAATAATCAATAAATATTGAGTAAAATATGTGTAACAAGTTGGATCGTAATTGTGCGTCACAATGTAAGATGTTCGAAAAGTAACTGTGGGAGGTGGTGTGGTTTTATTGGCTTTAGCTTCATTTCTGGAAAAAGGGAAAAATATCGTTACATTACATCACTCACTTTTATATTAAACTAAATATATTTGTACAAATTTACTGATAATAGTGTTAGTAAATATTTAAATGTACTAATTAATTTCAATTTACTTATGATGAAGGTACAATACTATTTATAAGACACCACATGGTTTTCATGTATCGATTTGCTGACGCCATTCAAGCCGACTTTCGCGCTAAAACAGTGCGATATAAAACATTGAAGAGAACAATATCTGGTTTTCCATTAACACAACGAACTCTTTTCTCATTAATATTATGTAACAAGAAGTACATTTTACGTTCACGAACTGTACAAGACATTGGTTATTGAGATTAAATTACAAGATTAATTACTCTGTATAAAATATAAATCATGTAATAACTGTTATTGATGATATGGAATATTTGATAAAGTAATAACACTTACTAATATATAAATGTGGAGTCTTGGTCCTTTGATAAATAACTGCTATTTAAATAGTAGTTTGTCGTCTCAAACAACTCAGCTGTGTACTGAAGTTACTTAGGGTCGTGCTGTCCTGTCGTCTGAATAGAGCATGCGCACTCCGCCACCCCACTTCTACAACCCCCCTTTCCCATCGTTATAATGGTACCATAGTCTATAGTCTCGTGTATTTGCAAAGACCCCCTGGAAACACGCTTTCTCAAGCTATAACGAGTTTACGACCGAATACGAAATAGGTACTCTTTGACCTTGATCAAACTGAGGGTTTTTGTTACGATGGACGTTATGAAATTGGATTACATCTCTAAGTAGGGTACTTAATTGTTTTATTTTTAAATATTATTCATACAAATATTCTTTTGATTGTAGGTAATTGTAAGGCTTACGTAGTGCCCTTTAAGAAGACAGATTTTAATAACGCTATTTGAACATATATTGATTTATTTTGACTTCCTGCCATTTACCCGCTTAGGTTGTACGTTTGACGTCATATTTTTAAATTATTTAGGTAACTTACTAAGGTAAATTTAAAGGAAACAAAAATCATACATAAAAGAAGGGAAACAATTAGTTTTTAAAGCAGCATATCGTGAACTTGAAAATGTTTTAACTTAAATAGATTTTGTCTACTAATTTACTTAGTTCCAGTTTCAGCTTGAATCTGATATATTGATACTAATAATAGCACTCACAACCTTGAAGGTCTTGAAATATATTGTATTATTTTCAATAAGCAGTAGAATTCATATGGTCTGCTTTGAGTCGCAATTTGGCATTTTCACCTTGACTTAAAACTATAATCTAAGCTTGTCTGTTTATATTGAACCTTTTTCGATTCGAAATCTAACAAACGCACTGGAGTTTAGACTTTGCTAAGGAAGTGATAAGATTCCAAACGTAAAAAGATTATCCTATAGCCTAGAGGGTTTCGAGATTTTACCAACAGTTACCAAAAAATTTAAATTTTCTTTTTTAAATTGAACCAAAAAAAACTATTATTAGACCATTTTCAACATTATATAAAAGAAACATAAGTTAAATTAATTACAAACTATTTAACAATTTTGCTTTTTTCTTTAATATGCGGTTAAACAAAATTAATTTGTTATCTCATAATATCATTAAACAGTAGTTTCCCAAAGAACAAATAGAAATCGGAAAAAAGGTAGGTATTGCTTAATCAACTATTTCTTATTTAATATCAATTTGACCTTTTGAGTATTTCGTTACTCTTTTATTTATTAAATTTCATAAATATTTAAAATGACCCCTCAAATGAATTTTCACATCGAGCACCGAAAATTACTTTTATATGAATTAAAATTATTTTTATTTTTTCTTTCCTACACAATAACTTGTGTCATGCTCATGGACTAAAAAAAAACGAAATCCTTTGTGTTTAAAATCATCATCTTTAAAGACGATTTTTCAGATTTTCATGGTATCCAATAAAACTGACTTCACCAAAAAAATGAAACTATCTACGGACAATTTGTTAAAGTAGTTAAATTCAGTTATTAGGAATTTGAATTTAAAGCTTAAGGAACTCATAAGTTGCATAAATTATAATATACTTCTATATTTGCAATCATTCCGATAGGTTTTCGTTTTTCCCAATTTTAAAAATATTCAGGTTCTTAGTTCAGTAAACCAAAAATAACACTTTGTATAAGTAAAAGCAAAGAATAAAGAGATGTATATTTATTGTTTAACAATAAATGATTCTAATTAAACATTATGTCCATAATTATTATTGCGTTAAAGTTACAAAGCAAAATTGTTTTCTGTTTTACTATTTATCTTTCTAAACCAAATGCTTCAGTACATCATCTAATATTTCTTATCACTCAATCGTATGTCACATTACAGCCGACAGCAAACTGCTGAATAGAAAATATAAAGTAAGAGGCTCTCGGTAGGCCAATATGAAGGCTCCCACAAATCACATCAGCTGCACATTTAATATTTATATTATCGTTTATCTCTCTTGGTGTTTCGGGCTATTTTTATTTTTAAATAACTATTGGGCACAGGGCTTCATTTTTAAAAATGTATTATATATTCGCTATTCCATTTATTTTTATTGACGTTTAAATTTATCGTTGGATATCTTGTCTACTTTTGATTTTTCATTACGTATTTTCGAACCCATTTTTCAATTACACATTTAGCTAAAATTAAACAAGTGTGTTTGATTTCTTAAATTCTTCAGAAACAGTTTGTTAGTCTCCTTGCTACAATTTTCCTTTAATATTTTGTCAAATGTCCACTTAAGTTACATATTCCAAAAGATAATGATCTCACTTAAATCGTTGTTCCATATTAACACATGACACTTGTTTATTTCGCCCTCTTTTTACTTTCTTACAACTTACATCCATAAATATATTTACAGGAAGCAAAGTATACTTACGTTGAATGCCAGGAATTTTGTTTATTTATTGCTCAAAAAAATTTAGAAAAAATCTATAAAGTTCTAGAACCTTGCAACCCTTGCAGTTTTGACTTTTGTGTCTCTGTCAATTTTGAAGCTTGTCAAATAAATTATTACATACACATGATTCAAAAAAATATCTAGATTTATTATTTTTGCGCCTTTTACAATTGACCGAAACAACCATTCCTGCACAATAGCAAATAATGTAACTGAGACAATTAAAGAATTGAAATTAATATGTTCTTCAGAAATGTTTGGTCTGCGGCGGAGATAAATGTTCTTTGGTGAGCATTGTAGCAATAAGAAATATTTTAGTTATTGTTACTTCATTATCTTGTTATAACATTAATTTTACTTAACAAAGATTTTTTATATATTTATTTTAGCAAGCCACTACTCTATAAGCAGACTTCGCAAAATTTGGGTAATGCTCGATTACAAATCCGTAGCGCGTTTCATAATTCAAGACGAAGTGCGCGTCGCCCGGGGCCGGATACCAATCCTTTAGATAGTATAAATGTTGAATCAGGGCCATTGTATGCAAGAGCCCTTTTCAAACCATTTCTCTTCACTATAGGGGTAAGACTTTGGATGAAAACAAATAAGCACTTTTCTTTATTTAGTTTATGTAATAAATGAAATTCATTTAACATTTTTAGGTTTCCTCAATAAGTCTAGCTGGCTGTGTGATTTGGGAGTATGAAAACTTAAGAGCTCATGCTACTTCTTTTCTCAGAAGGCCAGGCACTTGGTTACATGCTCATCAAAAGAGATTTACTGCACATATGGTAATCATACACTGATGATAAAAATATTACATTGAAAGATATTTAAAACATTCCTTTGTTCACATCATAGTATGAAGATATTGTTAATTTTCAATGAAGGTCTTATATATTTTGTAATATGTAAGCCCTTGATTTTATTCATATATAATTGTCAATTGTCATATTACCATTTGACCACTAAAAATAACAGCTTGCTAACTACTGGTCAATTGACTATTTACATTCTCAAATACATAAAAAATAAGGACGATAATTATAGTTCTATATTATGCTTAGATAAGAACATCATTCTTGATAATTAATATTTGTTACATAAAATTATTTTCTTTCAGATGTATAATATTGGTTTATAGAAGAATGTTTATTTAGCCGACTCAGTAATAAATATGGATAGTAATAGTGCAAATATTATATGTTATGTTAATTTGCTTTAGGTTTAAATTGATGTAGCATAACTTGTAAGTGGGAAATTTTCTCTGGGATTTTTTTTGTATAAATACATGTATTCATACAAAAAATATATGAGATAATGATTGATTGTAGACAAATTATGAGTGTTACAACTTACTTTTGCTGAATTTAGCAACTGCTAAACTAATGTGGCTTTATTAAAATATACTGTGTTTATTTTAATTTCGACAATTGAGTGATGAAATAATGATTGTAGTTGTCGAAAGAATGTAATACCACAATATAAAGTTATAAGCACAGTGGTCTGTAAATGGTCAATAAAATATTAATTTGATTTTTATATGGCTTTTCTATCGTGTTTCAGAAATCAGAGCCTGGTCCTATAGAAAAATGGTGGAAATCTCTAAAAGAAAGTGAGAAAGTTTTCTACCCTATCCTCGCTGCAAATGTACTAGTGTTTGGTGCTTGGCGAGTTAGATCATTTCAGCCATTCATGATCAAATACTTCTGTTCAAACCCCTCCAGCAGTAAGTATACTAGAGTGTATAAAGAAAATAATGAAGTAATTGTAATTTAAAATTTGCCTAGGGTTAAAAGATAACATTTAAATATGTATATGTAAATTGCATAAAGTAAAATAAATTAAATTGTAATTAAATAAATAATATAAATAATTGTTTGCCCAATATTAAACTATATACAAATATTTTTTTTATATAAATAGTTTTTTATTGTAATATTTATTTATTACAGTTGTCAAATGTCTGCCTATGGTACTGTCAACATTTAGTCATTATTCGGCTCTGCATTTAGCAGCAAACATGTATGTTCTGTATAGTTTTATGCCAGGTATGTTTACAAATTAACTATGTATGGGCCCATAATCCCCATATCCAAAAAATTGTTGTTTCATCTATTTAAAACTGATACTTTTTTTTTGCACATCAAAAACGACTAGTGAGGAATTAAAAAAGCACAAATATTTTATATTACTAAAATATAACATGATAAACTAACAGATGTAAATGCGTTTCTATTTGATAACTAGACAATTGATTTTTCCATAAACAAAGTTGAGACTTATACTTATTTTATTTATCTAATAATAAAACTTACATTTTCAGCTGCCATTGCATCTCTAGGCAAAGAACAATTTGTTGCAATGTATCTAAGTGCTGGTGTTATCAGCAGTTTTGCTAGTTTCATCTATAAAGTTATCTCCAATCAGCCCGGTCTCAGTCTCGGAGCGGTGAGATGATTTTAATCCAACATTACATTCATATATTTACAAATTAATAATTTTCTATATCTTTGTCCTCAGTCAGGTGCAATAATGTCAGTATTGTCTTACGTCTGTGTACAATACCCTGACACTAGACTCAGCATTATATTCCTTCCCATGTACACATTTGCTGCCGGCAATGTAAGTAGTAATTTTGTAAAAATAGCTTGTAATTTTTTAAACTTATATTACATGAACCAAACTTATGGTTACAATTACGTTGTGTCATGCCTTTTGCATTCAAAACTAATAATAATAGTATAAAGTTAATGGTACGATATTGTGATATCTCTTTTAAACTTATTTGTTGTTTAATATTAAATATTTTTCTTTGATAAAGGCAATAAAAGTTATAATGAGCGTGGATTTTGCTGGTGTTCTTTTTGGATGGAAATTCTTTGACCATGCCGCTCATCTCGGCGGAGCTCTATTTGGAATGTGAGTATTCATTATATATTGTCGTTTTGTTATGCTAGGATCGAGTAAAAATCATTTATCTACTTAGGAGCAAATGAAAATTATTATTTGAATAACAATTGGACTGTCTTAATATGTTTGCATGCATTTTTAATCAATCACCCGATAAATTGCAGCCATTTAACGATTTTGTACTATATACATAAATGTTTTTACTTACATGTCTAGTTATATTGATGTCTTAATTTTTGATAACTTTATGGTAAAACAGACAAAGCTACGGTTGCCTCTATCAATATATATTTACTTATTACAAAATCTTGCACAAATTATGCCATGCCATGCCCTTATATATCATGCCATGGCTTACATTTCTTATACATATTATATTATTTTTCAGGGCTTGGTGTTATTGGGGTTCTCAACAAATTTGGGCGAAGAGGGAAAAGTTACAGCAGTATTACCACAGCTTCAGAAAAGATTCCAGATAAACAACTATTATAGAATAATTTATGCCCTTATTTTGATATGAAGATGTTTGATTATGACTAGTCTTATATGAAGAAAAACTATTCAGAAAAAATATATATTAAAATTTAAATGAAACCAAATATTTCAAACTGTTGTTATTATTTATAAACATAAAAAAAATTGTAAATGCACTTTATTCCATAACAAGTAAAATTGAACATTGATTTCACAGACGGTATAACTAGATTGTATCCATTATGGAAGAATTAAAACTTGTTATACAGTCATAGCAGCAATCTTTTCACATTCACAAATTATATTTGCTTCAGTGTATAATAAATATTGTTAATTGGTTTTCTGTACATTTAGGCTTTAAGTATCTTTGAGTGGAATGCCAGATGCTCTCCAATGTAAGTGGAAATGTAATAATAGGAATGATCGTAACCATCGCGTAAGTTAAGAATAACCGGAACACCTGATGAACGACAAGCTTCTACTAGATTTTCTGGCAGTAATTGTTTCTCAATGTAGAATTTGTCACTAGCACCCTGAAGAAAAAATATTCTTATTAGATTTAATACCTAAAACTAATTGATTAGCTGCAAAAGTGAGAATACCAACGTCAATTTACCTGATCAATCAGCAAGGTCAAAGGAGGAGCATCATATTTTTTCACCAGCTCAGTAGCGTCCCATTCAGCCCATAGACTCTTATCCTCACCTAAGTAGCCAGTGAATGCCTTTACACCCCAAGGACAAGCAGATGGATTACAAATAGGAGCAAATGCACTGACTGATTTGTATAAACCAGGGTTTCGAAGAGCAGAAACCAGTGCTCCATGGCCTCCCATACTAAAATAAATAAATTATTACTTGCAAACTTATTAACCAATACAAAAAATTACAATAACAATTATTTTAAGAATTCAATGTCAAATATGTTACAATTATTTTGATAAAAGAAAGCTGTAATACCTATGACCCATGATACCAATCCTTTCAGGATCTACAACATTGGAAAAGGCTTGTAATATCAGTTCATACAACTCTTTGTTTAAATAGCTTCCCATTCTATAGTTTTCTGCCCAAGGTTCTTTAACTGCATCAAGGTAAAACCCAGCAGATACTCCGAAGTCCCAAGATTCATCATCCCCAGGTACCTTCACTCCTCTTGGAGAAGTATCTGGCCCGACAACAATAACACCTTGCTCAGCTGCATACCTAATAAAAATATATTTCAGTAATCTGTCTGCTTGAAATATTAACATTCTTAATTTTGAGTCTCCAACCTATAATAAATTGACCTCTGATAGTCTGATAAATGAAAAGTTATAATGTGACAATAAAAAAAAAAACAAAATTGTCTTGTCAAATGTGAAGGTCAGAACAAAATAATTGATAAGTTATAATTATTCATATAAAAAATTGTAATGTATGTTATCAAAAACTAAATATTTCTCGAACCTTTGGAAGCCTGATTTGGTTATAAAGTTTTGTTCGTTGCATGTAAGACCTGAGAGGTAGTAAACAAGAGGTAGTTTTACATCTCCACCTTCAGCCTGAGGTGGGAGATATATTGAAAAGTTCATTTTGCATTTTAATTCAGAGGATGAATGGGAGTACACCTTCTGGAGACCTCCGAACACTTTGTTACATGATACTAGCTCTAACTTGTCCATTGTAGCTTCCTGAAAGAAAAACATTCATTTATTAATTTCATACTTATCATTTAAACTTTTTTGGGTTATTTTATTCACAATATTTTTGATTAAGAAAATTTTTGGATAGCATAAGCAGATTTTTAGCTGCTATTAAGTCATTTAAATGAAACTATTTTTTTTCAGATATACTATGTGTGCTTTATTTTTGTAAAACTATTGCATACTCTCAACATTTTGGTTACTTTTAAGCAACTGTGATCATGGTAAGATGAGATGTGATTCATTCACAGTGTACCAAAAAAAAAATTAGTTTCATTTACATGAATAAAACTAGTGAAAGTCTTAGATCTTATAATGCTATAAAATCTTTGGGGGGGGTGGGAATTTATGCACAAAATAGACCACAGTGCTTAATTTTGTTCTATAAGACAGTATCATATTATAACAATGTCACAATTCAGATCAGCACATTGCTTCACACTTCATTAATATCTCTACCAGCTGTCCAATTGTGGTTTAAAATTAAATATAAAATTCATTTTATATGTTTTGACTATAAATGTAAATTTTGTAATATTATTAAAAAGTTATAAGTATTTAAAAATAGACATGTTACAAATGTCTAACCCAGTCAATATTGTTCTTATTTTGGATAAATATATATATATATATAAAATATATATATATATATTTTAATTATCACATAATTCATTTATATCACCAGAATTTTTAGGCACACTGTTTACTGAAGACTATAAGTCAAGGTCAGGCACGAAAAATTTGCCCGCTATATTTTGTGATTTACAACTTGTCAGTTAAGATTTTTACATGAAGGAATGCAAAGTAACCTTACGTAAAAAAAATCCAAACTTTTGAAACGGGGCAAAAGTCACATTTAGAATTGCTAATTTGTATAATATACTTTACTTACAAAAACCATCACTACTTATCTTTTTCTATATATACTACAAAATAAGCATTAATATTTTTTATTAAAAACTTAGCGATTCTATCTAAAATAAACCACTGTAGACTAAATTACTTACTTAATAAAATACTTCACAAACGGCAGTTTATTTTTCACAAAACTATTTTGGCCGGCAGACGTTCCGGTGGCGGCTGTAACCTGTTACGTGATCGAATTAAATAATGTATAGATAACACAAAAGTCAATCCAAAAATTTTATATCAAAACTTTAATGACTTATGATTGACTGAATTGATATGTGTCAAATATTTTGATGTTTTTAAGAAATGTGTGACAATTTGTGGAAAAGGAAAATGTCATAGATAAAAAAAATCATTTTGGGTTATAAGTCGTGGGTAAACTTCTTAGGAGCTGGTCCTGGAGGTCTGAAAAACTAAGTTATCAATCCGTTTTGAAAGATATAATACCTATTTATAAAGATACCTTTTTCTGAACTTAATCTTTTTGCCAAAAGCATTGGGTCAATTAATTTAAAATTTTTTAGAACGGATAAAACAGAATTTGGTTGAATATTAATTAATAGTATAAATCTTTTAACAGCTAATATCTGAATATCATTGGGTAAAGCTCAGTGTCTAAGGGGTGCTTTTTATTATGATATATTATATTGTGACAGTGATTAGCTTATAAAAATCTGTACTTATAAATCTTAGACAAAAATTTCACCAGATACGGGTAGCGCTGTAGTTAACATTATTCATTATTTGCTTCCTGTACTTTAGAAGTATACACATATAATCTTCCTCGCCCTCCTTACCACCTAGAATGTCGGAAAAAATTTACGACAGTGGTACGTTTGAAATCTTCTTTTGTTTAGTCCTTCCGCTTATTACAATACTAGTTACCTATCTATTATTATCAGTTTCTGAACCTTACTACAATATGCGATCAATATCCCTAATTCTATTTATAACTTTACATTGCATTTCAATTTTATTAAATAAAGTCTCGTTTAAGAATGTATGTATTTTACTAATATGGTCAATAAAACACAAACTATTGTTATCGGTGAAAAAGATCTAGTTTTCTCTAAGAAATGGGTAATTCTAAACATATATTTCTTGTTGGAGAGAACAAGTGTATCGATAGTCAATATGGTTTTTTTTTTATTATGGTTCTCTACTCAAGGCTAAGTGGTTCAACTCACACAAATCGCATTCCATAGAAACATATAAATAAATTTAATTTCCTTAGCGTGTTATCACGAGTGAGTATTGAAGGGTTTTTCACCATCATCCAAAATCATCAAAAGGACGGTGTTATGCTTGCCGTCAATTAAACCGTAAACTGTCTTTTTATTTTACAAGAAAGCGAACTAGTTCTTTTATTAGAATTGGCCTAGTACTGCAATCCATTTGGCGAAAATTGGGACAGGTTTTAAATCATTATGAAGGCAAAATGCAGGCACAAGTAAAATGATGTTTCCCATTTTATACGTTCTTGTTCATAAGCTGCTATTACCTCCTGTGCTAGGTGGTGATGATGGTGGTGGTGATTTATTCAGGTGGTAAAGCCTAGCTGTGGTCAAGTTACTACAGCTCGAACATGGGCTGGCTTGACCGTTGAAGTACCACCCTCTCACAGAAAATCGGCGTGAAGTACCTAGTCATTAATGGCTGCGTTTCGTCCGGTGAGTGAGAGAGCCGGTTGTCCTTTTCCCATCCTTTTATTACCCTCCCTTTCCCACCCTTTCCTCCCCTTTTTCCCAAATCAAGGGCGGCAACACATCCGCAAATCTACGTTGTAAATGTCCATGAGCGACGGTAACTACCTACCATCAAGTAGGCTGTCTGCTCGGTTGCCCCCATTTCCCATTAAAAAAAACCATCACATTTTTGGTCGCTTCGGTTCAAAAAAAGCGTTCGATGCAATTGGAGTGAAGCGACCCTACCGTTTCGATGTCGAACCGTTTTTGTGGACATGGGTTCCATTTTTCGGCTCTCAAATTGTAATCGGGGTCGACCTAATATTATTTTTTGATAAAAAAACCACCCCAGATAACTATACTATGAAACAAAACACCTTGAGTCGCCAGTATGGGATTCCACTTGCTTTAAAAATTTGTCATTATTGTATGGTAATATAACATTTCAACTAAGCAGGTAATATATAACTAATTAAAGTATTTCAGAACAATTTAATATTTGTAAATATTTTATTCCAAATATGATTATAATTATGATAAAAGACTAGTTAACAATTATGCCAAATTAATTCTGACTGAATTGTTATATGTATTAATTATTATGAATATAAACGAAGTGATAAAATTTGTATTATTTTACATCCTAATTCATATTATCTGAAATAAGTAATGAATTATTGCTTAAACACCACACCCGATAGCTACAGACCATATTCAATTACATATTTTTAAAGGCATTCAAAAAAGAAAATATTTGAGACAGTATTTTTATTTTTTTATAGTTGTCATTTTAGTTACTATTAACTCCATGAAATCTGAAAATGATGTATATAAAAGATATAAGGATAGTCATAAGAATACTTCATCATGATAAAGTATTTTATTTTAGCTAATAACTTCTATAGTTTAACGCTTTTGTGAAGTTTCATGAATACAAATTATATACACAGCTATTGATACAATTTTTTATTTGAAACAATCACATAAAATTACATATTATCGGATACAAAATTAAAAATTTGTTGCATTTAAATGTTTATAGTTTCTACATACTAATTCTTCATCTATGGTTATTCTATTAAACCTTTGTAGTTAGTTTTCCATGACAAATATGTGTTCCAAAACAATGCTACCGACTGTACTACTAATACTTGGTATTGTAGAGGTATATAATAAAAATTTATAATTTGCACTAAAGGCCAAATATAGTAATTTGTCTTTAATACATCAAAATAGTTTGTTTTTATGTCTTTTTTTATTATATCATAAGATTTCCCCTGCATGGTGCCTACAGATATTAAAAGAAATAAAAGAAATGTAGGTGCAAATATGAATTGATCAACAAATACTTTCTTCAATGCTACCATTTTTCCACTGGAACCTACATGCTTATTTAGCAAGCCATACCAAACTCTTAAAGCAGGACCCTGGAAAATTTAAACAATCCAAGTTATTTGTCTAAATTAAAATAAAATATTTAAAATGATTGTTATATTAAAATTACGACACCAATAGAATAATACTTACACCGACAAAAAATCCTATTGACGAAAATTGTAGAGTTCGTTTGTAATCAATTTTCTTGAAAGATTTTTTTTCTATTGCAGTTTGTGAAATAATGTCACCAGCTCCCATAAGAGTTCCCGTTTGGACAGCCTGAACTAAATATGGGCGGCGACTGAGGAGCCTCTTGTATATTTGGAAAATTCCACGAGTTTTCTTCATGGCTAAGTTCATCATCATGAACGTTACTTCGCAGGGCTACCTTCAAAGATCATATCTCCGTAACCACACTATTATAAGATATATAAGAACAAATTTAGAATTGCATAACTTTAAAACGGATATTAAACTTAACAACCCTTACAGTAAAATATTTATTTAAGTACTAATAATAACAATTAATTACTTCGCCTTTCGAAATATTCAAAATATCGAGATTACCGCTTCCAATATTTTGTTTAATATTGACAATTAAATATAACTATAGGCTATAAGCACATTCCTTTCATAATATGTAGGTACAAGATAGGAACTACATAGAATATACAATTTTTTCATTTTGTTTGATATTGAATTAAGTATATGATAAGATGTATGAATATGCTAATTTGTATTCTAATTTGAATGTAGTTTTTCTAAATTCTAGCTAAAAAGTATTTTTGATTCGTAATGTAAATCATGCCGTGGATAAACGTGATCAAAATTATAATGTTTAAATGTTTTTTTTTTTATTTTTATTATAAGATAAATATGTCACAAAATTTTATAAAATATATGAAACAATAATTTAAAATAGGTCTAGGGTAATTGTCCCCCTAAAACATTTTCTATTAAAATTATTTTTGCTGTTAGTCTTTAAAGATATTTAACGTATAGCTGAATCTTTTAATACACCTTGGATTTATAAATTTCTTATTAATTTAAACTAATTTTAGCAAAGAAATGAATAAAATGTGCTCCCGCCTTATATTAATATTTGTTTAGACATCCTTTCTCCAATTGTCAAAAGTAGTTGATTTTCAATGTTTGATATAGTCTGCATTTTACATTTAGATCATTTGATGTTCTGGACCTGTGTATTATAAATCGTAATCCTAAATTTTTGGAAAGATTACGGTTGGAGGATAAGATTGTCTAATGGTCCTTTGAACGTATATTTTTAAAGTCGTGGATCAAAACTTTCTTCAGCACTACCTAAAATACAAGTGCTACAATGGATAAAAGGAAATTATCGACTGCGGGCGATAGTCTTTATCAAATTTTGCAAGTGCCTAAAACTGCAACGGCCGATGATGTCAAGAAAAGTTATCGGAAATTGGCTTTGAAATACCACCCCGACAAAAATCCTAATAACCCAGAAGCATCCGATAAATTTAAAGAAGTTAACCGAGCACATACTATCCTAAGTGACGCTACGAAGAGAAATATTTACGACAATTACGGCTCGCTCGGACTGTACATAGCCGAACAATTCGGCGAAGAAAATGTTAACGCCTATTTCGTCGTCACAAGCACTTGGTGCAAGGCACTGTGCTTAATTTGTGGAATCCTAACTGGATGTTACTTTTGCTGCTGTCTCTGCTGCTGTTGTAATTGCTGCTGCGGCAAATGTAAACCTCGCCCGCCTGAGGAGTCCGGTGACTATCACACCCTGGAGCGCGATGATTCAGACGGAGTTCAGCCTGTCACAATGCAGCCCGGAGGTGAAGGCCGCCCGACCGGCGAACAGGCGCCACCCATCGCAATGCCGATGCCCATGCCGGCGCCGGCGTCAGGCGCCTCCGAAAATACGGGGCTCAACACAGGTGGGATTAATTATGGAATTTCACATTAATAATTTTAATTAATTTAAACAAAACTTGTTTTGCTATAGCCTTAATTGACTGTTCATTTGTTTCATGCAATACAATTATGTCAATAATGCTTCCTATATGAATTATATATAAATAAATCGCAGAATTTTATAATCTGAGGTCCATTTACTATCAAAAAAGTAGTTTGCATATTATATATATTACTGCTTTCTTAAGTTAAAATTTAAATCTCTCAAGTCAGCAATCATGAATACAGTCAGTCTATTAACTAGTGAATTATACTGATGTGACATATTAACACACATTTAAAAGATATGCATATAATCTGAAGATAACAAAATGGTGAGCTCATTTTGATTTAAAAATCTATGGCTCTGTGTTCAAATACATGTAAGAACACTAATTAAATAGAAATAAATCAGAAATAACTAGCTAAATATTATGATGATGTAATAAATATTATCAACACACTATCTACAAGAACTGTACAGTATAAAATAATTACAAATAAATAAATCCTTACATTAGTTACTGTTGGCATAGTAAAGTCAAGAAGTGAGGCTCTCAGTAAGCTTGATATTACATAATATATGTATTAAAATACCTGATTGTACTAGGAGTGAATTCATTGTATAGTAATAGACTTCTTTACAATATTAGTAACAATTAAGAATCATATTAATTGTATAATGGCCTTAAAAAAAGCACTATAAAGGAACCTGAGCAAGAATATTCCAAAATAAAGTTATGACAAAATAATGATTATGAAATACAATCATTGCTAAATCTGTTTATACTAAAATTACTTTTCTCTTATTATTGCTTTGGATAAGAAAACTTTAATAAAACACAAAGTTAGTCTACAAGTAAATTATTCAATTCAAAATTAAGCACTAACTTATATCTTTTGATAAAGAATCAAAATTCTTGTACATTGTAAACATTGACACAATTTTTTCTAGATGTGTTTTTATCATTACCACGGAAATGTATTTAAAAATTTAAATATTAGTATTTGTTGAATAAATCACTTTAATTATTATACTTATAATGATGATTATATTTTGGCTAACAGTTATTCGACATCTTAGCCATGTTGGGAGTTTCATATTATCCCTACTTACTAGATTTTAGTTTATTTCTATTGCAAATAATATTAGCCAACATTCCTCTATAAAGTACACTAGTATTGTTTATATGTAATATATATAACGCTTTGTCTCCTGTAGATAAAATAATAACCATTAAATCATATATTTTATTGATTTGCAATGTTTTTGATATTACTTCATATATAATTAAAATTTCCAGTATTAATAACGCTTTTGTTAAAAAAAACAAATATAGATCATATATCATATTCTGTTAATTTTAAATTAAGCTTTTTAAAATGCATTCTACTAAACAAGTATATTTTTACTGATCATTAAATTGAGATATTTTTGTCATTACATTTAATATCAGTTTGGAGTATTAAAATTTACTACTGTGTTAGAGAATGTTCAAAGGATTGACCACATACATGTAAAAGTGATGTTGCCATACCAAAATAGTGTTGGTATTAATATTGCTAGCTGTAAAATATTCAAGAAGCTTCTTTCCTTTTGTAATTTGTTCTTGTTTTTGAAAAAGTAAAATGTCACATGGTGGTAGATGATATTAATTTGGGCAGATTTATTTCAATATGGATGATACAAAAATATTTTTATTAATAAGGATTAATTGTGTGTGTTATTTTAATTAATTTAGTTTACTAAGTTTAGATTACATTCATCAGGAGAACTAGGTATAAATGTGTCATTATGATTTTTATTAAATTATTTGTCTTCTTGAATTTTTTTTACTTTAACATCACAATTTCTATTCTATTAAATTATGTATACTAAAGTATTACATGAGAAACATGCAGTTAGATCGATGTGCTCTTTATAAGGTACATAATCTTGTTATCTTTCATTACTTCATGAGAATTTTGAATTATAAAATATACCTCGTTAGGATACGTTTAGAGGGAAGAATATAATACATACATCAAGAAAAGTATTGTTGTTTTAGATTTTTCACATCATGAAGTAGTGAAGGAATGCTAGAAGCTTTCATATCTATAACAATAAGATCATTCTCAACATGACTAGCTAGACCTATGATAGTGTAGACATTTTAAATTGTGTATTTGACTTGATGCTAACTTAAATCTCATTATGGAAATATAAAGTTTCTATAATATCCTTATGTTATATTACTAGTCAATGAGTATTTATAATGACGTGTGAGTCGAGTTATAAAATGTTAAATGTTGTAATTACACTCTTTCATTAAATCAAATAAATTTATGCAAATGACTATTAATCTATTATTATAAAACCGTCGCCTTTATTCGTTTGATATTTAAAAAATAGTATTTTCTTTTCTTTCAATTTTAAATGTATTCATTTCTTATTTCCAGGGGGCAGTATTCCAAAATACACATGAAGTAGTTACATCTTAATCTAACATTATTTGTAAGAGAAATGAGGAACTGACTACTTATTACCACCAACAATGCACCTTTCAGCTGTAAGCCTAAAATATTTATTTATTTATTTTATTAAATTTTATAGTTTATATATATTTTTTTTACTATTCTTTAATACTTTAATTTTATTAAACATTATTGTAAAAGGGATTTGTATTTTGTTTTTATCGTTATATTGATTATAAAGTTTGAGTGTAAAATCTGCAATGTTGTAGGTATAAGTAGTTGATTGTTGAACCTATGTGTTATATATTCAGTCAAAGCTTTAATATCAATGTTCTTAATGCTGATTCCACAAGTATTACATTTAGAGAGGAGATGGGTTTGAAGAGATTACTGTTTTGGTATTACGCCACCGTAGCAAATGCGACCTAGTTTTATTGTAATGTGTTAGTTATTCCATTAATTTTTTATAACGAATTAAATAATCTAATATTTTTCATAGAAAAGATTGCCATTGTTTTTAATGTTACTCTAAACTTATGTCTGTGTATATTTAAATACATATTATATAATATAAAATTATTATTGTTGCATTTTTAAGTTATGGCAATGAAAATTCGGAATATTTTTCTAGCATTAGTGCTGACATGCCATGCATCTTTAAAAGGAAACTGGAAAACTCAATTCCTAAGATTGTGTAATCTTTATATTCATAACTTATAAATACTTAGATATCTAATCTTAAATCAATTAAAAGTCGTGCCTATGAATAACAGACATATAGTTACGTGTTAGATTGAGCAGCTTAGAATTTTTTTTGCGATTTAAATGATCTTGATGTAAGTATACCAATTGTTGTTGTAATGTCCTATCCCACATATTTATTTAGCCTAATATAGTCTGGCCTAGAATTTTTATAAAAGTTACGCTCAAAGTTGCATACTGTATCAGAAATTCAATAATTCGATATATTTTATATGTTACGTCTACTCAAACGTGTTACGAAGCTGTTTTGTCCTACTATATAATATGTATGAGAAAAAATTTAATATACAATGTTCACGAATTCACTGTTACCGGTTTTTTTGTTAGAAATCTTGAATTGATAATTAGAGGCCCTGTTAAAGTATATTTATGATCATAAACCGGTTTCCGTAATTATATTAAGCTTTAGATATGTATATAAATGTGTCGTCTGAATATGAAGTATTAAATATAACTTCTTTGAATTCAGATAATTTTTTTATTTGTCTTGCACTCAAAGTCCGCTAGGGAACATAGGGATTTTTTTACTAACGCATAGAAAAAAAGATTTGCACTACAGATAATAAAGTAGTATTGTAACTTGTCAGTTTATTTTTAAAATAACGTTACATAAGTCTAATCGATTTTTTGTTCTTATCTTTATTTCTTTGTTTTAAGTCTTAAAATTGATACTTTAAAAGGTTATATCAGTATTTTAAATTTCGATACATTGCATTTATTTGTTTAATTTAAGGCTGTTATCTAGTTCAGAACTGAATATTTAAAAGATGTAATAAAAGTGTCGCTATCGAGTGTCGTATAAATCAAAGTCGGATGTCACCTGATGCTACTTCTTCATAAAAAAATATTCTTACTTCGACTTTTTCGTCTTTCACGAACAATGAACAAATTAAAACCGTTGAAACTATTAGTGTTAAGTTTTTATGTGGAGTTGAGAGAGCTAGTGTTTATAAGAAGTGTCCAGTAACGTGACATCAGTGTAAGAAATTAGCAGAATCGTTGGATTTTTCGAGAGTATTATAGAAACAAAAATTGAAAGAACTGATTATTTTCTATTAATTAGGATAAAAATACTATGCAATGGGCTTATGGAACATTCCTAAGAACAAGTTTTTATTTACTGGATTTTAAATTTTTTAACTCATCCGTCGTTACAACCGTCAAAATTTAAATTTGAATACATATTTAAATTTTTGTTAGTCAGTTCATTACTATTTGACACAGTATTAAGAATGTAATTACGAAATAAAATAATTTTCTGTTGCCTGTCCCTGAACAAACTAAAATTGTGTTTCTCTTGGATAAAAAAATCTGAAGTATCAAAGTTGCTTGTTATATCTTATTATTTATAACATTATTCCTAAAATTATAAAAAAGTAGCATCATATTCAGATGATGTCCTAAGTAACCTGATATTTTTAAGAAGTCTTTTATTGTTGTCTTTACAATCATGAGACTATGTAATTAATTGCATTACTGGCATGAATAATACTTTTAAAGTTGGCTGGTTCACTCCTACGCTATGTGAGTTGGAACATAAATTGTGTAATGGGCCATGACCTACAATAAGTATGATATTGCTCCAACTAGTTTATTTTTCTGGGTGCGTTACATAACAGGATAATTCAAAAAAACATTTACGTAGGTTCAGAATTTTAAAGACGTGTTCAAGTTTGCAAAATATAATATTTAAAAAATACAATCAGTACAACTAAATAAAAAAAATATTATTAAAATACTTTAATAATTTTAATTGTACAGGATTTCAATTGTCTATCTGCCAAAATATAGTGAACGTGTTATGTGGAATTACTTTTAGCACTTATTGTTTAAATTGCGATATCTTTAAGAATTTATAAAAACAATGATAAGAATTTAGTTTAAATAATGTTAAGAAGAAATGACTGAATTTGAGTAAATTATCTTCTGTTCCCGTCATCTAAATGGCGACAAATGGACGACAGAGTTCACCCTTTTAGCAATGTGGTTGGACCGTAGCATAGATTTTTGAGGTGATTGAAATTTATTCTTTAAGATATGACAAAATCAAACTTTTCAGATATTTCGGATATCTGGAAAGCTGAAATTAAAAATATATGTTCGAATTCTCGTATTGTTTCAACGGAGGACAGTAAAATATGCTTTTTGTTATTTGTCTATAACAGACTAATGACATACAGTGTTACGGTACATTCATATAAATAATTATATATGAAATATTATGTAAATGAAGGCCCTGATGATATCCTCGTAGTCTTAAACCGTCAAGGATTAAGCTTTACGTTCACGACAAGTTAAGCTTTCTCAAATAGCTGATACATTGTTTTGAAAACAGTATTTAGAAATCCAGTATCATAATGTTGGACGAAATCAAAGCCGATAGATTTATAAAATAAAAATCATAGGTTATATGTTAATATTTGATATGTTATATTAACAGCTCTCACATTTTATAGGTAATTAAATCTTATATTCCTAACGAAGAGATGTTTATCCGATACATGACTAAACACGATTGTCATTAAAGGTAATTTAGAAAATATTTTTAGAAAGCCATAAATTTACTTTCATACAATATAGGACGAGGGAATTGTGAAGACGGATAGGTGCATAGTTCTTAGGTACTCCTCTTGAAGAATTACTTAATTTAAGATCTTCCAGTCTGTAAATGAATTGATTATTATTATCAATACAATATCTCACCGAAATTCTTGAAAGCCTCGTAGCCTGACCTTGTTTTTGACGAACTTCGTTGGAGATTCTTTTATTCTTAGAAATTATTCTGAAAGATCGGAGTTTTATATACAAAATTTTTAGCATACCTATTGATTATCGCCTTTGCGTGAAGAGGCTTTAAATACATACGGAATTTGCCGTGAAAATATACCTATGAATTTCTTTGAATAAGCCAGAATAATGAAACAGTTCATCTTAAACTTGTATAAATTTGAAATAAACGGCATTTAAACAATATAGTGTTAAAGAACCTTTGAAACTTTCCTAACCGTTAGATTTGGAACCCTGAGCATAATTTAACGCGACATGCTTGACTTTTCTCAGGTATCCATAAATAAGTGTTAATTTTTTAAGAATAAGAGGAATAAATAGTGATAAAAAGGATTCTAGAAATTATTTGATTTGAGTCAATATACTTGTTTTGAAGATTAGTTCATTTTCTTGTCATATAATTAGACCAGTGTAGAAGTCTTTAAAAATAATAAAAAGTGAAAAAAAAATATAGTAAGTGAAACTCATAATAGAAAAGGAGGGGAATATTATAAAAATTAAAGGAAAAATAATTAATAGGCGATCTGGAGTCGAGAAGGGTATGGGGTGATTATTTAAGAGTAACAAACTATTTATTGTATACTAGCTTTCCGCCCGCAGCTTCGCCGCGTGGAGTTCGGTTATATCGCGTTTCCAAGAGAACCTTTCAAAAGTCTGGGATAAAAACTATCCTATGTTCTTTCTCAAGGTCAACTCTATCTCTGTACCGAATTTCATTAAAATCAGTTCAGTGGTTTAGGCGTGAAAGCGTAGCAGACAGACAGACAGACAGACAGACAGACAGACAGAGTTACTTTCGCATTTATAATATTAGTAGGGATTGCATTGTAAAGTTTTTACAAATGTATAAAGGAAATAAATAAATAATTTTTTCTCGATTTCTGGCAAAACTTAAGTGTTACGGAAAAAAAAGGCAAAGGTGTAGGTAATAAAAATATCTAAAACTTTTGTTATTAGGTTAATATTAATGTATTCAATTGGATGAAATATGAGAACTTGTTTTGCTAAATTATGTAAGATATGTTTATTTGTAATTTAAAAAGTTCTATTCCTAGACCCATGTAAACTTTGTTCCTTCTCTGAAAACAAAATAATTCAAATGCAATCATATATTTAAAATTTAAACTGTTTCCTTTACATTCAATTTGTTATTTTGAACATTTAAGTAACATCAACCTTTTTTGCAGTTCCATTCATAAGTTCCACTATATTGTATAGCCATTCCTACTCAAATATGATTTATATTTTTGACAAGATAATAATGTATCGAATGATTTTCAAGAACTATAAAAGAAATATATCAAAAAAAATTATTTTTCGACCTAAGATTTTGTTTTTGATTTTTATAATTGTGAATTGAGAATTAATTATACTGAAAATAAATCGTCGTTGCTTAGAACACACATTTACAATAATTTCTTAATTAGGGCATCTACTTATTTTTGCTATTTTAATTCAATAACAGCTATCAATAAATAGAAGATATTGAAAATAGAATAAAAAATCTTAATTCTAAAAGAAGAAATGGCAAACACTCCCGTAACTTTAATTTATTAAGAGAAAAAGATCTCTAACTGTCCCATGTTTTTGAATTGTAGCTACCATTAGCTTTTAATATTAATAAAAAGGAATGTCCTGTAAAATTAAAATTATATAAATAATCAAAATACACTTATTAAGTTGCCTAATTACGAGTATATGTAGTTTTAAAATATTGCAATATGTAATTATTTTATAATTAACAAAACAATAAATTAAAAAAGACGTCTCGTTTTTGTCCATTTATTCAAATACGTAAATTAAAATTAAATACCAATTGACACATGATTAGGAAGGTGTTAAGTTTCTGTGCATTGTTAATAAAACTATCTTTTGGGGGCGGGAACGTATATCAATTACACGTAGTGTATGTAAAACTAAATGAAATCATTGTGATTTAAGCAATCATGAGTAACGTTAGTCTTTTTATATTTTTGGTGACTGTAATAGTCACAGGACTGGCGAGCTCTGAATGTCCCGTTGACAGGGATATTGACCTACACGATGAAGCAAGACTACATAGAGATTTGACTTGCCCATATAATGGCGACTATCGACCTGTGAAGGATCACAAGAACACTGTTGTTGTTAAAATACGACTAGCACTGAAATATATGACATTCGATTCTACAGAAGAAAAAATTACTATACATAGTTGGGTTGCTCTGAATTGGCAGGATGAATTTTTAAAGTGGAATCCTAGCGATTATGGTAATATTAATGAAATTCAATTGGAGAGCCACGAGGTTTGGTCGCCGCGTTTAGCGCTATTCAATGCGGACGCCAATTCGTACCCTTCTGATAGGATTTATACGACTTGCCTTTTGACTAATAATGGCTTAATGACTTGTGTTCCTCAGCTAGCTCATACAGGAATATGTCGCACAAGTCTCAGCCGCTGGCCTTATGATGAACAAAACTGTACATTATACTTCGGTTCATGGATGCATACAGGAGAGCAGGTGAACTTTACCTTTTATAATAGTAGACCCGTAGTGCTTGATGATTTCCAGAATGCTCCAGGTTGGAAATTATTGAAAGTCGTCAACGAGCGCTTGCCGGGAAAGTATACTTGCTGTCCAAATAGTACATATCCTATGTTGAAATATACATTTATTTTGCGGAGGGAGGCCGCGGGACCAGCTGCTATAGTAGTTATCCCTTCCATTGTTTTAGTGTTGATTACGCTCTCCTCACTGCTTTTGGACGTTAAAGACAATATTCGTTTAATGCTGGTATGTTTTAGTTTATTCGGGCACTTCACATTTATTACAGAAATAGGTTATATTGTGCCCAAGTTGAGTTCTGACACGCCGATAATTTTGTTGTTTGTGCGTGATTCTATGATCGTGACATTAGTGGGGATTTTGGAGACGTTATTGCTTATGTCATTAAGAAAAAGAGTAGTCCCCGCGCCAACATGGATTGTATCTGTCAATCGGCTGGTGACCAGTGGCCCGGGAAAGTACGTTGTGTTTACAGAGTTTGATCCGTGTGAAGGTTTAGAAGGAAAAACGATCACAGACGAAGGAACAGCCAATACAAGTGAAGATCGAACTCGAATTAATATGGACTGGATAAACTTCGCCAACTTCGTAAATAGTTGTGTATTTATAATATCTTTTGTTGTTTATTTGATTCTGGTGTGCACTTATATTCCTAGAGATGATTAATTCAATAAAATTAATCACATCGAAGATTTCTTTATTTGATTTACCCTTTTTTTAATCGCTATCAGTTTATGAACTGTCTACTTATACATATAATATATTTAGTATTTTAAAGTTTTACAAACACATCGTAAGTTTTACATCTACGTATCTCCTGAAGATTTTATCTAAAATGAAACAACCGTTTATGAGATAACTAAAGAGTATTCCACAATCAGCGCGAAATTAGTATCTATAAATCTATAAATTCGTTGTCCGGGTAAAACGTTGATCTACTGTCGAAAATCGAAACCAGTTTAAAATATTCTAAAACATTGTGTTTTTACAATAAATATTCTGTTCAGCTTATCTTAATTATTTAATTATTTTTTGTACTGACTTATTAATGAGTCATGCTTATTTATTCCGCATTGTACTCAAGGGAAATCCATTATACCGTGTGGGAACCGTGAATTATTAAATTTCGTGATACGTCTGTTAAAACGTTGACCTATTTAGCTCATTCTCCCCTTCGTAGAAAGCGGTGTGTGGCTTAACACCAGACAATCTTAAGTTGTGTTTTAAGAAACAACGTTCATTTGATAAGTATTAGTATTAATATGGCATAGAATAGTTTTGCTATGTTGGCATAGTTCACAGAATATTTTATAAAAAATAATGTCATTAGGTAATAGATGAAATGAAACATTACTATAATAGGAAACGAATATTTTACCTTTTAACCTCATTTAATTCCACGAAAACATGATGAATTGCATCTTGATTATATTGCAAGGCACAAATGTACAAAAACATTGACAAGAAGTAAACATGGCTATCAAAAATTGTAATTGTAAATTTGTTGTAGGTACATTTGCACTATAATACAAAGTTTCCATTCATCAAAGTCACATTGTTCCATCGGACGTAAAACAGATAAGGCCGATCGGCCAACAGTTGTAGCTCCGGTTTTTCGTCCCATTCGATGCCTGTAATAAAGTTTATCATAGAAATAAAGTGTACCTGGTTTGTGATACTTTATTATAAAAGTACCTTTCTAGTTAAAAGGTTTTTACTCACCATCATCTTTAAAAGCGTTACTACCCGCCTCAGCCCAGAACATCAGTCTCTGTACCGCGTGTGAGAGTTTTAACTCACCGCATTTGTTGTCGGGACTCGGTTTAGCGTCAACCAAACGAGTTATGTTCATCTATAGGTATATTTAATATTTTAAGGTTAAAATATGAGTATACATTTACATTGAAAAGCTTCAACAGATTCTATACCACAAACATTATATCTGAAGTTTAAGCAGTAACAATCTATGAATTTAATAGTTTATTTTGAAAATATAATAGCGCTATAGTTTATGCTTGACGATAAAAAGATAGTTTTGTCATTTATTCGTCATTTCAGTGTTTTTCAAATTATACCTATACTTGGGAGAGATTCGTAGTTCGTTATGATATTGAATCAATAAAAAAGATTCTTGCATAAAATTTTGAAATATTGTCTAGAATATTCTTCGACTTACATTAATTTAAGAAGTTAAAGTAATAACAGTAGAAAGTTTTGATGTGCAAAAAAGGTAACCAGTGTACGAAATGATAGTTTAATGAAATAAGAATCTTACCAATTGAAGTTTTTGTGGCAATAGAAGAGTCATACGAAGAGTGAATATTGGTAAAATGGCAGCTACTCTTGTCAAGCGTAATTTATTCGAAACTTCTTGTGGGGTCGTATTTTCCATGTAAGTAGTCACATTTTTTAAAGAGTTTCCACGAGGAATCAGCATCAATAGTTTCAAACCAGGAGTAGCGTAATTTATTTCAATAGCCTTTAACATACATGCACAGCTTTTAATATTCTTATTGTTCTAAATATTGATGAGATGAAATTTTATTTCGTTAGTTTGAAATATTTTATAAGAATTAAACATGTTGTGGGCGTTGATCGTGAATCAGCAACATGTTAGGCATCTGGTATTAAAATAGACAGTTTTTGTGATAACAAAAATAGGTCTAACAATTACAAAATTGTTTTGTTAACATTATTTTCGTAACCATAACTCGAAATAGTTTGTAAATACATGTGTTCGAGAAGTTATTTATACTGTACTTTAGCTTATGGTCAATGTTTATCTTTAAATATTCTATACAGATCAAAACTCTAAAATTGATTATTTGCATAATAAGTATATGTTGTAGAATATAAGAGACAATACATTCCTTTTTTTACCTCTGCATCACACTCCTTTAAATCACCGTAACCCATGATGTCATTCAATTTTATCATGTTAACTGACTTTTCAACGGTTGAACCGTCTTTAAAGGGATATGTACCGTTGAGTACGGTCGGCGCACTACGCCATCGACTACGGATATACATTGTAATGATCAGAACTGAACAGAAACCGTCAACAAAATCATCTTCAATAAATGTATCCCTCATCGCACCACCTGAATCTATTTCAACCTATAAAATACACACGTCCCAGAGACGTTTACAGAAAAACAATGAATTATAATTAAATTATCGATATGTACCATACGATTAAGTGTATCGTGTGCATTTTCCCTACTGGTAGTGCTGTTAAAATGTTCCATCACTATTTTGGTTCCGTTTTCGATGCCACCAAGAAATTGCTGGCTCAATTCAAGCCCCTCTTCTAACACGAGGCGAAAAGCCCAACGGAATTTTAAATCACTATTCGACTCTGGTAACCAAGCTACTATATGTTTAAAGTCTGTTATTTTTTCCTGATAATTAGAAACAACATTATTTTATCTGAATAATCGAATGATAATACATAGAGTAGAGACTATCATATATTTTACCACATTGGAGCTTGCATACAGCAAGCGAAAATCAATTTCATTTTTCGTTTCTAAATCCACTTCCGTGGATAAAGCCAATAGTGCCATGTATAGGAGCAACCCAGATTGTACGAAGCTAATCCCATTTTCTTTTTCTTTTTGTGAAAACATTAATTTCGTTACTGAAATCTAAAACAAACATTGATGAATTCGTTACGTTACTTCGATGTTAAGTTAATCCTTTTAGTTTTGGAGAAAAGGGAACATAAGAATATTAACGGTCGAGGGAACAACGAAAAAAACGTCACCTTAGGATAAACTTATCAGAGCATTTCTTATAAATCATAATTACCATGGAAGTTAATATTCCTGATGTCATGAAGGTATTACCAATTTGAAAAGGAATGTTTCAAAACGTTTCACGATGACGTACATTTGACTTCGAAAAGTTTAATTGTATAATATTTCTAGGCTTACTGAATTCAATAATATGAAATGACGAAAGAAAAGTGTATCGATTTTGACGTGATTTCAATTCTGTTCTCTCAGGTTTGTAAATATCAAATCGCTCGAATACTTTACAAGATCAACACACCATATTTCAGCATATAGCTGAGGTTAATTTCCTTTGAAATATAAGGATAGATATTTTTATTACGACCACATATTCTACCTGATACTTGAAGTTGTTGTTTCTGGGGGATTAGGTCGTTTAGTGTACAGGATTATGAGAAGTTATATGGGATTGTATTAAGTGTAACTAAACACTGTTATTTTACATAAATCTTTTATGAAGTCGAAGCTATGCGAATAGCAACCGTTTAAAACACATGTTATCAATAGCAAGGCAAATTATCAATGTTACCCATGCAAAATAAAATTATGTTCTACAATTTGTAAAATAATAATTGATATCTTTGAACTTGAACTCTTGAAAAACAGATAGTTAATAAATTACGTACTTCGAGATCTTACCTTATAAAATATTCTATTAAATTCCACCAGCGATTGTTTATATTGATCAAAGAAAGAATGTAAGTCATTAGTAATCTCCTTCACCTTGACCTCTGTAGTATTCACGAATGCAGATTCGCTAGAAGTTTCATTATGATCTAATATTTTGTCTTCCTTTGATATTACATTGCTCGTAGTAATGCTGTCATTTTGTTTGTCAGGAAATTGTATTGTTGTATTGTAATCAAAAGTTTCATCGTCGAGCTTAGTGGTGGTTGTTATTTCAACGTTTCTGCTAGTAACTTCGCCTACAGTTGTAGGTGGTGTCCAACAATTTTTCGGAGGCTGCCTTAATAATTTTTGTAAAGAATTTGTCGTAAGGGGCGGCAGAATTCTTTTAGGGTACAGATTCTTGATGTAGAAATGACCAGCTGAATCAAATATTAAATAGGAAGCGACAGGATACTTCATCATATTTTCATCGACAGAGTTCATTAAAATACATTTTAGCACTTGTAAGGAATAGTTTACAGATGCACTACTTGGATTTTGTTTTACAACGAACAATTTTTCTGATCGCACACAGTTATTCAATTGAAACAAAATGAAAACGGCCACTAAGTACATATTCATGACTGAGATTTATTGTAATAATCCGATAGTTATAGTTAAATTATACGAATAATTTAAATAATTGCCGAAACTGTAACGCTTTAGAACTATTATGTCGACTCACTTTTATATTGAGATATCTTTACTGTGTGGGGAAACAATTTTTAATATCAAATGCATACAACACAGGCGAATTATTTACACACGTATGATTTTCGTCTCAAAAACCACTGTAATAAACTAGTAAACATTCAATTAATGGCTATAATTAATTCGTTGCAAGACACAAAGCGATAATCTGAAAGCGTCGTAAAAATACGAAGTCTCGGTTATGGTTAATTGACGATTTACTAAGCCTGAATATCCTGATTGACTTCTGTATGTAACTATTAAATTTTTATATCGACATTGTAATCGATTTATGTCCGCTTACGTGTTAAAAAGAAATATCCATGTATCCATGTCCAATTAAACCTAAAAAAATATATTTGTTACTTATTATTTTATACTAGGTATTTTTACTACTAGTCGGTACTGACCCCTAAATATTTATATTAAATGCGATAACAAACGCTAATTCTACTACTTACTAGATTTTATACACGAGTGCGGTTGCATGTGATTTATACGGATTTCTATACCTACTGCATTACATTTGCATATGTTGTCTTTTCTCGTGTGCATAACACGTACACAATGAATATATTTATATGAAATAAAGTGACTCAAAAGTGATTAAAGAATATATTGTTTCGTAGACTGCAGTAAACATTTTTTGATCTTCATGACTTCAAGATTATTAAAGGACATACCGTGTTCTTTTATAATATAAGGCAAGTTTGCATAAAACAACAGTGCTATACAATAGTTCAATATTGATTTATCAACTGTGGAAATGGTAAGCTTGGCGACTTGCCAACTCATAATTTTTAATTCTAAGATCTGAAGAAGTCCACTTATAATTTTATAGTTAAAATTTTACTACTATCACTTAAGAAACGTCAAAAACGTTAGAATTCAACTTGTATATTTATTTTCTCTTTGCTCTAAAAGTAAAACAAACATAAAAACAATTTAGTTGATCTTTTTATGGTTTGGTTGGTTAAAATAACATAATGGTACTTATTATGAACTAGCTTTTGCCACGACTCCGTCCGCGTGGAATAGTGACTTCCGGCAGATTTTTGGTTCTTCCCACATATTATGTAGTTCCCGTAGATTTTTCAGGATAAAACCTATATTTTTTTATTCACAATGAAGTTCTCTTAACCAACAACATATTTATTTGTTTATTTGAATAAAGATTAATATTATTATGTTGATACAACTTAAACAAATTATTTCGACCAAATTAGGTACCATAAAAACGGTTTTTGTGAGTTAATCTTAAAAGATAGATATATACTGTCGCGAACTGTTTTTTTTTTTTGCCATGTGACAAACGGCGTGAATAGTAAGTTTTGAAACTAATTTTTACTTTTTCTATATTTGATAACAGTTTAGTGTCGAAAGGTCATGTAGAATATATTTAATGTGTTTGGTACAATTGCTTTCTTTGTTTTTGCTTCTTCATTGCTGATTAAAAATGGGTGGTTTGGTCTTACTGAGATATTTCTTACAGGTGGTTTGAACTGTATTAGAATTTTAAATAAATACTAACTCAATTTATTCTTTTTTTAAAATAACGGGCACAAAAGAAAGTTTTATTATTTACTAGTTTTTGCCCGCGACTTCGTCCGCGTTAGTTTCGTCATTAGTAATATATGTATAGCTGACCGGGCGAACTCTATTCCGTCTTAGAGGCCATAAATAATCAGGTTTTTCCTGTTTCAATCAAACAGAATGATTGACATATTAGTTAGTTGTCAAATCTAATGTCAAAAAAAGCGTTTGTATGGGAAATAGAAAAGGACTGTTTTTAGGGTTTTCCCGGCAATTATTCCAATTTTTCTCACCTTTTATACCTTCCCTGAACCTCCACGAACATTTCAAGACTACGATAAGATAAATCCGTTCAGCTGTTCTCGAGTTTTAGCGAGACTAAGGAACAGCAATCCATTTTTATATATATAGAAGAAGAAGATGTAATTCAACAGTATATCATGATTATAAAAGGAGCAAAAAAGGAAAGGCAACTTGCAAATACATATATTGTATTTCATCATGCTGCCTAAAAATAGCTGTGACACAATATTCTCCTTGATACGGCGTCCAGTTCATATCCTATCCATTTCTCCCTCCATATGTATTTAAAGAAAAAATGCTTTTTCGTTAATTAAAGAACGATACCACGAACTTTTTCGTATCCCAAAAAGCTGCAGAGGAGAAGTCATTATGTGGCTATTTTGTGAACTGCGATACTGCTAACTTTAGTTTAACAGCTAAGAAAGCCAGACCCGTTCCTTGTAAAATAATAAAACATATATTTTGTTCTACCGAAATGAAATGACTGAAGATGTATTTCTTAAACCTTTTGTAAAATCTCATCTATTTTGTCTCAAGTGCAAATGTTCACAAGTTGCATGGGATCACAACATTGGACTAATCTGGGTTACAAACTGTTCAAAAACCAGGACTAGGACATTGTATTTATCTAACAAGAACAGAGACAACTGAAAGCTGACTTCCGTAAAGGGGAGAAACTTTAATACCTATAGCATTAGCAGGAAATGAGTTTGAGTATCAAAAACCCTCGACGTTCATCTTTCTGCGAAAAAGATTTAGTAATCATTTTATATACGACGGACCCAATGTCTCATAAAATATGAGGATTCTAACTTCTATATATTTCTTTAAATTGAAAAAACAAATTAGGCCATCAGAATTATTCATTTATTCATTGCTGTTATTAAACAACCACATATCACACAGCAGTTAGATTATTGAGCTTTGCACGGAAACTATCATAATTGTATTGACTTTTCTACCGTACTGCATTCATCATTTGCAACTAATATACAAAGCTGATACTGAGCTCACTGAAAAATCTATTAACTAAGCTAGAAACAAAAAGCTTTTCAATCCATGAAAAGAATGTCTATTTATGATATTTATTATATAATAAAAACACTATTTCATCTAGTTTTTAAACCCTTCAAAATGTGTTTCAAATCCTTCATACTAGATAAAGCCAATTACCATTAAAAATAACAATAAAAACTAATTATCTTCCAAGGGACATTACTTATCGACATATTTCGATATCTGTTAGTCATAATCTATCCAGCTCTATCTTTGTGGCAATTTCAAGAAATTAAGAACAAGCGCTATGATCTTCTTTGAGTACAAATAACTTACCACTGAAGGTGGACACAGTAAATTCTACCATGGTAACTGACTTTCCTGTAAATGACCTAGCTGAAATTAAAGCACTTAGAACGGCGAGGAAAAACTTGGACTAGAACAAACAAAAACATGAAAAAGATCAAAACTAGCCTCTAGAACTAAAAAGGGTCAAGATTGTTGAGAATGAAGCAGCAAATGAAGACAGTTAAGAAAAAGAATCATTATGCCATTGATGTTAAGAGCTATTTTCAAATACAGAGAAAAAGAAATATGGATAGTGTCAGAAATGCTTCAATGGGCTAATGAAGTTTGCCCTGGGGGTATATTTTCATGAGTTTGACAAAACTGTTTTTTTAGATACTGCATTTTAGTTCCATGAATATTTTTTTATTTCAGACAATTGTAAAATTGTTGTATCTAAAATATTTTTAGATAAATGAGTCAAGACTGATTGTAATATGAACTTATGAAACGACCAGTTGCTTATAAATTTATAAGATTTGTAATGTGAATTTTTATAAATTTTAAATTGTTGTTTGTTATTTAATTAGCTTTTTTTATTTTCTGCTTATTGTCGCTTAACTTTTATCTTGTGTATGCTGTTATCACCTTTAATTAAGATACCACTAGTTTTATTTTTTTATCCATGTATCTGGAATGTTTTTAGTGTGTATTTTGTTGGTGATCTAATAAAAAATAATAAATAAATATGACGTTATGGTAAATTTAAGAATTCTAGGAGCTTATGATTTGTGTAAGGTTGTGGGGACCTAATCAACTTTGTCAGCACAAAATAATAATAGATTTACTTAATTGTTTTAAATTATATTTTCATTTAAATTCTAGGGCTTTTAAAACTAATGATGAATCATATTTTGCAACTCATGTTTGACATTCGCACTTGTTACGGATGACCAAACAAAACTTACAAATATTCTAAATGTATGTTATATGAAACAAAATGTGAAAACCATTACAACTTCTAATTAAATTTTTTTAATCAATTTTATTTTTATTGATACATGAATTTTTCATTGAAATATTTAATTTTCAGGCTATACAAATGTATCAAGATGGCATGTGACGTCACAGTAGGGAATAACTTTTCTAGGTCTACATTACATTCCATTGAAGGGGTTCTATTTATACTTTATTTTTACAAGTCACTGTTTAAAAGGATAATAATACAAAAAATGACTTTAATATTAAACTATCATTTTAATACAACTTCAGAAACGTCTAGAAAAAACAACTTAATCAAGATTTTAATGCACTGATTGTTACATTTCTCAGCAGATATTATTGAACGTATTGCAACATTGTTATCAAACAATGTTATCTATCAAGATGTTAACGCACTAGAAAAACAATGACACATCTTTCCTGTTGGTAGTATGTCCAATCAATCAAGATAAATTTCGTCAACAATCTGATTTTTATAGATTGGCCATTTTTGCACTTGTAAGTTTACTTTTGATATATTTTGTTCTAACTGTAACTATAGCAGAAAACAAGCAACGTCGTTTGTATGCACTAATAACTTTCACTTAACGTATGGCCACAGTCAAATTTTCATTGATAACATTTCACTCTGAATAAATATAAATTCTAGATTATCTTTAAGTTTGCAATCTATGTTTTGAAATTTTTAGTGATTTTTTCCGTTATTTTTTATAGTTCATGTGGATTAAGGTTTTGAATATTTAGTCCAGAAAAGTAGAGTCTTCTTGATATAAATTATAGACAAAAATGGGTGGTCGGCTCTAATTTCTGGAAGGGAATCTTCTGACAACATTTCCACTTGACCAGCTGTGAAATGAAAGACTTGTCTAAGTGAGATTACCTTATATATTTAGACAAAATATCTGAATCTATTTACTCAAATTTTATAAAAATTTCAAATTTAACCCTTGACCCAAAGGAAAAATATATGTTCCTTAGTTAAAAAGGGTTATTCAGGGTGGTAAAAAAAATTACTTCAATAACTTAACTAGTCAGACAAAAGAAAAAACATACTGTGAGTATAAATATATTTATATAAATAAAATCTCATTATTTAAGAGTATACAATAATCCTAAATGCTTTTTGTATTTGAACATATAATATATTGCACCACACAATGTACTTGTAATGAAGGCGGGTAATTATTGTCAATTATTAGCAAAATATATTTAACATTAAATCTGCTTATTTATACTTATATATATTATGTTTTAAATGCAGTACATTCTGTTATGTGGACGTGTTTGGTGTGTTTTTATTGTATGTGAGGTTCAGTTTCCTCGGTGAGTGGCTGTGAAGTAAATAGTCTTGTTGGAGATGATGGCCACGAAGAAGGGACGGTCAGCTCTGAACTGAATCACTTCGGGTTCATCTATCATAGCTGAACAGAACATGACGCTCATTGCTGTAAGACAAATTTCCTATAATTCAAAACATCCGTTCACAAGTAATTTAAATTTGAAAGCACCTTCAACAATACAATTTGTGAGTAAACACGGATACATAAGCATATGCGATGACATGTGTTTCGTGTAGTGTAAATCTTAGTAACAGTATGCGGTTTAATAATATAAATAATAAAAATTCGGTCACAAGTTTATCAGGTGCTATTATTTATATATGTATATGTAAATATTATTTCAACAATATCCTTATCTATTTTATAAATAAGATTTCTTCATTAGTGCGATGAATATAATTAGAGGCTGCGTTTGCGATGTGTGCCGTAGAATATTGGGGTGCCGGAGTCCATCAACACGAACAAGAACGGTTTGTTGGCGTCGAAGCGGACCGGAGGCATCGGCGCGCACCGCATCATCATCACCATGCCTGCACCGAACACTTACGTTCACTACCGCTCCTTCTGAACGTCTGCACTCCGTCGCCCGAATGCCCTTATATATGTTAACGCGAGGGTGGGGGGCAATGTTGACAGCTGCAAGCTTCCCAGTTCCCACGAGCGAGGGAGTGCGGTATCGTTTTAAAGCTCCGCCCTCGGTTGACGGCGGGGTGGGGGGAGAGGCACGGCCGCCATCAACACCACGTCGGCGGCCAGTAAGCACCAGAGCGCGGGACGATCCACACGCACTTCCACCGTCAGTTCACGCTTCCTGCGTGAAACTCCCACTGGCCGCCGGCAACCCGACATCAAATAAATAAACACAAACATCACAAAACCTTAACCGGAAGCGTTTAATGATAAATACCACCCATGTGTTAATGATAGTGTAGTTTGTAGCTACTGGTAATAGTTTTATTTTCTACGTTAAAAATGAACTTAACATGCATTTCAGTAATATATGATGTTGTTATTAACTTTTATTTGTAAAATAGAATTTAAAATGACGTGGTTCAGTAAACATTAACTCAGTTTTAAAGTTTTTGCCATTTTGATCACCTAGCTCGCAACAAAAATTGTTATTTCCACATTAATTTTACAAAGACTAAACGAAAGGAGATAAATATTAAAAAATAACATTGCCTTGAATTGTTTTTCTTCTATGATTTTTTTCGTTTTCGTATATGTGTCTCGTATATTATATTAAATAGTATGGTATTGGTTTGTTGTTTTTTACTTTTCATTACTGTAATTTGTAAATATAAGTATAGTATAACAAACCTCATTATTAAATTGCCTTGGGAAAATTAAGCACATATATAATCTTTAACTAAATACACAATATTTGAGTTAAAATCAATTTGTTTACTAAATTTATCTCGTTTCATTGGCTACCTATAATTATATGACATTGTAATGCCCTTTAATTTGTATATATATCGATTTTCTGGTTAGTTGATTTAGTCATTTGATGTTTATTTAAAAAAAATATATTAATTCGATATTAAAATGTTAATAAATTGTTTATTATGAATTAATATGAGATTTGTTTCATTTTCGAGCAAAGTGTTAGTTGAAGTATAGATGTTATAAATATGAAAACATTCAATGTCAAATACGACTATGAAATGTTAAAATCCCTTTACCACATTCAAACAAATATCCATAAACATCGAAAACGTCTATTAAGCAAAAACAATTTTAAAAAAATGTATTCCTTTTGTATGTATCTTCATATAATATTAAACTGATTATTTAAATACATCAACTACAAGGTAGTTTCACTTCTCAGTAGCGGCAATAAACTTTTAAATGTATATTATTAAATTAACTTACTCTTCAAGTATTTAGGTATACTACTGAAATCATAAAAAAAATATGACAGTCAAATTTTTTTGCAACAAAATTACCGTGAAGACAATATCCTGTTCATATAATAAGAAAAAAAAGATACAAATTTAAACCTTTTGCCTTTTAGATGGTTCATTGATTGCGTACATTAGTTTGCTTAATAGAAGTTTTCGTATGGTTAATAAACATAATACTAAGCCAAATAGCACGAAGAATATGAATCATACCAGAAGCGGCGGCCGCCTCAGCACCCTCCTCGTTGACTTCGATGAAAGCCTTCTGTACAGCCTTCGACACGAACAGACCCTCTGGCTTGTTCAATATCTTCGTCAATCCATTGTCACTTTGATTGAAGATGGATTTGATGCCCAGCTGAAACATTTTTTGTTATATTTCAATATCACGTAAAAAAACATAATGTTCCTCAAAATTTCACCGAACATTTAGAATGACCAATACAATACAAGACCAATGAAGTACAAGGTCCGTTAAATTCAAAAACGGTGGGTTTCAAATTAATACGTTCATTCGTAAACCGAAAATTGAAATTACATATTTAAAAAGATTTCAAAATATCGTCATTTATAATTTAGAAAACGCCAAAGACATTACTGCTATCTAAAGGAATGCAGTAATTATTTAGTACAGTGGGTTTACAAGAATACTTAATGATAAAAAATATATGTCAACGCTATAGTGTGGTTTGAATGTTTCCATAAAACTATATTCTATGAAAATTGAATTTTAAATCTGAATAAAATTACTTAAAGGAAAACGAAATTACCTTTATAAAATAAAAATAAAAAATCTATTATATAGATTATACTATTGGCTGTAATTCTGTATTCATGTGATTAGAAATAAAATTTAGTTAAAGCTAAACGAAATTTCATAGAAAAATTGCACTCATGTAAAAAAAGATACTTAAATATTCTCACAGACATACCTTAGGCAGTAATTCGGCTAAGTCGATTTCTGTTTCGATCTTGAACTTAGGTATAGTCACTTGGACCTTAATGTTGTGCATATCGTCCAACTCCTTCAATAAGTCGTGACCCTCAGCCAACTTGCTGAGAACACCGTTCAGACCCTCCACTTCATTTGGTAACACTATCAACATACTCGCCTCCTTACCCACGTAACCTAAACGTAGAAGCTGAAATGTTACATTAATTATTATTAACAACAAAATAATTGAATTAAAATACAATTTAATTATATATAATGACAATTAATTGTTATAAAGACGAATATTGAATACTCTGTAGTAGTTCCGTATGGAAGTGCTTGTAACGATCTGTTTAGTTATACATATTTATTTAAATTGTTTTAGCAATAGCATTTCAATTAATAAAAATATTATATACATAATTATAAGTAATTGCATCTATTTATTTCTCCTAATGATGACGATTGCATATTGCAGTTTTTTTTAATATTTTTTTAGGTAATGTGTATGTAATAGTCAACATAATGTGAGTACATATATTAAAATTTTTGTGCAACTATTAATATATGGCCGTCAAAACTAACCACTGTTTACGTACTTATAATATATGAAACATAACAATTCCCAAAATATACGAAACATGGTTAATTGTACTCTCAAGTCTCAACAAATCGATATTCAAACACGTCCTACTTATTGAAGGCCAACAGAATTTCCCTCTACCTTCTAGCCATTATAACATGTCTAAATTTAGTTTGTTTGCTGAAATTTATCTATAAATCTAATAAACAAACGAGCGGTATAATTCTATATGAAACTTGCTAATAATTCGAAGAAATGTTGCGATTGGAGCGTTGAATCATATATTTTTGAATTTCTTAAGAAAATCATTATCACTCTTATTAATTGATATAAACATCTATGTATTAAGTGCAATTTATCGATGTGATAGTAATAATCAAATATTAAGATTCTACTGATAACACTAAGTAGGTAAAACTTAAATTCTGTACGAAGTCCAAGAAATTTTAATTCAAACTGGTGATATATCAGAAATGTTTATTTAAAAAGAAACTATTGGATTCGTTCCAGAATATTCGCTATATTGAATAGATCTGAATTAAAAATTTTGAGATAAGAATTGAGATGTTCTACATTTAAATTATTTATGTATGTAATTATTTATACCAAACAAAGAATTACTTGCCTACATAATGATGACTTATTTCAATTTAAAATTGCCATTAAATATATTTATACGTACAGAAAAACTAATGGACATAATATTGTACTTTTAAAGTGTAAATATCAAGTAATAAATTAATGTTAAATGTGCTAAATACCACTTTATAATTGAGAAGCATTCTACCATTTATCAGCAAAATAACAAAACCCAACAATAATACAATATATATGTCGCAATAAATTAAATATATCTTATATACCTGAGCATTCAAAGCCCGACTTTCACCATAATAATAGTTATCTTCTTTGTACATCATAGGAACATCTACCGTCTCCGAGGATGTGATGAAGAAAGGTTGATCCATTGTATTTGCGGGATCAAACTGTTTCTTCCATGTACCCTAAAATGACCACACATTAATAAAATAAATAGAACTATAATTTAGAACAATAGTTTAATAAAATTATAACTATTGTTAACCAGCAATAGGATAACCAAGGTTAGTTATCACAATGTCATACATTTTAAATGACATCTGAAACTATATTGGAATTTATTAACTAATTCTTTAAGTCTTCAATTTTAAATATATATGTACAGTAACAAAAAAATTGCATAAACAAAAACCATGGAGAGATATGTTATTTGCTTTTACACTTTTAAAATTATGTTTGCATACTATATCACATGTGAATTGATATTGAAAGTAATCATGGAAAAACCAAAACACATCATATAAACCATTATGACTAAGATAAGTGGTGTTCAATATCAATGTTTTAAAAATATATATGTATTTAGTCATAATTATAATAAATAATACTCAGTATCTTTTAATTTTGTTTAAAATTTTATGTATTTAAATTTGTAAATACCTACCTTAAAGTAAATTGCATTCACAAGAACAAGACGGGTGTCATCATTGAGACTGTCGGCTGAGATTAGGTCTTTAATCTTGCTATTTGTTTGGTTTTCAACCTAAAAAAACAAAATAAGTTATTTTAAATATACCCCTATTCAAACTTTTTATTCAAACAGACAAATAACCACAGCTATGAAGTTATATTATGTGATGAGCAATATGATATAATAAATATTAACCCATTTGTTGATAAGGTCGGCAGCAGCTTTGCTTTGTGAAAAATTAACTTTTTCAAAGGCAGCATTGAATACTGAGACTGCATCCTTCTTAAGATCCTCATTGAGATCATAGTCACCATCCTTAATGTACACCTTGTTAGCTACTTTGAGTGTAACACCTTTGATGGAGAGAAGGTTTTGTGACAATGATTTGAATGATGAGCGAATCTGAAACATATAGTTATACATAAAGCCAATATAATATAAATATAAACAGTGAAATAAAGATTTAAAAAGAAAAAATATTACCTGATCATCAGCAGAAATACCCAGTGATGTAAGTAGTTCAGAATGTGCTGGATCCTCAGATCCCAAAGTAAGAATGGCCAATAAAAATTCAGCTGAAAGTGGAGATGACACAACGCTCTTACTTTTGTCTAGTTCCTGAAAAAGATTATTAAAAAAACATACCTTTGTGATTTGGCAAATAATTCTTTAAGAGTATAAAAAAGATACACTAAAAATTAAACTTACATTACAGAACTTAGCGGAAAAGTTAAAAATCGATGAAGGTAGAGTTTTCACATCCATATTGAAAGATAAGCTCACAATTTGGGCTAAAACTGTGGAAAGGATAAGAAGTGCGTTAAAAGTGATTTACACAGTACGACTGACCAAAGCCGAATCGCAACCCGCCGAATCGCACGATTTCTGTATGTAAACTAATAACTATCTATTCATGTATGGTAAAGTGATGTCACCATTCCCACCACAAACTTGATCGTTCGTTTTTATGTACTTATTCATAATATTGTTTCATTTAAAAAAGCAAAGTTATGACTCACGAGCGCATTACTCTGTTTACAATACTGTTAATATCCAATAGAAATTAGTAAATATATATACAAAAATGTAATTATTATATTTACGCAATGTCTTGTAAATCCACATTGACTGTTTTCTGCATTAGCGGAGTTAGAGAAAATATATTAATTTGACGTACACAACTTATAACGTTGAACCTTCGTACACAATGATAAGGAAAAAATTATATTAGACTAAATTGAAGTCTCTTACATCTATATATATCTACAATATCTAAAGAATGTTTTTTTTTGTATTTATATTATCGAAGTTGAATTGTTATCAGTTTGTAATCATTTCTTAACTTTTTTACATGAAAAAGCATAAATAAATTTTACGTCATCGTGAATCAGTGTTGCTCGTTGTTTTATCTGATGACAACATATAGTAATATATATAAAAACAAAAAATGTTTATTATAAATCGTAATGCCACATGAGAGTAACAATCAGTAGCAGAATATTTGCGAAAAATTGTAATTTAATCTCTTCTTAGAACAGTGATTTTTGTATTATTGTATAATAATATAATAAGTTAAAACATGTCCACTCCTAAACATAGGTTTTCTATGAAATCTAAAAAGGATGTGTGTTGTAAAAGATAATGAGTTTTCAGTGATAGGCTGCAGGCATTATTATTCATCATTCTATATAATATGACGCATATTTCCAATTCCGTTCGCATATATCAATTAATTTCGATATGACTATAGATTAATGAAACACATCCTTGGCTGCATGGTTAACTTCTCTTTAAATACTGAAGAATTCTTTTAAAAACATATTACTCTTTTATAATATCATTTTACATTTCTTTACTATTACATCTAAAACAATTAACAACCTCATTAACACACAAATCACACACAAACCTCACAATTAACAATCAATCCATTATCAATACAAACATGACTGAAACATTTTAAGGAGAAACAAATAAATCAATAGGCAGATATCAAACATCTGTATAAATATAATCGGTAAAGTTGTTTTCATAAATTAAAGAATATATAATAGTTACAAATATTATTTCGTATTGATCTGAATAAAAATTAAAGTAATATTAAAATCAAACCCAAAATAGCACAATAATAAGAATTTCTTCTTATTGGCAAAAGGAGATGATTGAAAGACAATTGCATCTTGGTTTAAATATATTTGTATAAATAAATAACATCTCTTAACGACTTATGTAGATTTTGTGCTTAAATGAATTCATAAAAAAATATATTTCTCAAATAACAAAAATATAACAAAGTTCAACATAATTTTTTTGTAGTAGGAGAAAAAAGTATATAAAAATAGGATTTATGTTATTGTCAGTAATATTAAATATCTGTATAATATAAAATATATATATAAAATAGGTTGTACTTATATTTATTATGTTTTAAATGCAGTACATTCTATTATGTGGACGTGTTATTTGTGTGTTTATTGTATGTGAGGTTCAATTTCCTCGGTGGGTGGCTGTGAAGTAAATAGTCTCGTTGGAGATGATGGCCACAAAGAACGGACGGTCAGCTGTGAACTGAATCACTTGGGGTTCATCCAGTGTGAGGCAACATCCCACCATGACCATGGCTAAAAAAATAATTTACATTAGGATTATTTAAAAATTTAAGTAAATTACATTAATAGAAAATAATCAGTTTAAATCTAAAAATATTTTATCATTTCTATACAACTTTTACCTCTCTTCAAATGTATCAAGATATTTTTTAAATATATTAAGTTGCAATTAAAGAATTTACTCATTAACTCATACACAAAATATCACTTTTTCCCCTTTGGGGTAAAGTTCTCTATGTGAAACAGGTTCTATTTTACATTGTTCATTATTATCACCAAGCAGAGTTTGTATATATAGTCTTTTTTTCGTTTTTATAGGAAGTGTATATGAATAGTTTATTATGAATCATACCAGAAGCGGCGGCCGCCTCAGCGCCCTCCTCATTGACTTCAATGAAGGCCTTCTGTACAGCCTTTGATACAGAGAGCGGCTCGGAGTTATTCAATATTTTTGTCAAGCCGGAGTTATTTTGGTCGAAGATTGACTGAATACCAAGCTGAAAATATTAAAAACATCTATTATACCTTACAAATAGTGAATATAAAGATTTCCTAGAAAAATATTTTTTTGGTTCCTTTTTGGTCACAACGTAAATTATGAATATCTATTACAAATTATAAATAGGAGAGTTTTTGTTTTAGGTTTTCTTGTCTAACATCTAAGTATACCGACCTTGATATAAAGTTCTAAGAGTTAAGTTCACTTGTAACATTACAACAAGCATGTCTTTATTATCTATGTTATTCTAAAATGTCAAGCATCACACATTTAAAATGTCACCGTTATCGCTAAGAATTCTTAATAGCTATAAAGTCATTCGTAAAATCTGAACAGTTATTTTGTTAGAGAGAATGTATGTTTTATCATCACGGTGATGGCATGTAATTTTTATGTGTGTAATGTTAGGTTAAAATCGATTAATTATACTTACTTTGGGTAATAACTCAGCGAGATCGATTTCGGTCTCGATTTTGAACTTCGGTAGGGTCACTTGGACTTCCTTTTTGAACATATTTCTTACGTCATCCATCAAGTCGTACCCGTCAGCCAGCTTGGCGATGACGTCATTAAGACCGTCAATCTTCTCTGGTAGAACAATCAACATACTGGCTTCAGCCTCAGCATATTCCAGGCACAGCAGCTAGAAAACAAATTATAAATCATATTTTTGTATGCTAGAATTTTATACGGTATTGATAACAATAAATATTTTTCTATTGCTTAATGTAAGAAAATGTTATTGATAATTTTTGTTTGGATTTCACCCGAAATTAGAGGAAACATGTCGTCTGCTCGTGATTATGGTTGTTGTACAGAGAAATGATAATAAAATTTATTTTACAACTTATCTACTCACAATTTTTTTTTTAATTTGACATTAAGTACCTAGTAATTGTAGTTTAGAAACTACGAAGGATTTTTGATTTTGTATTAACAATATAGTTTACATATTATATATTTAGAATTGTTTGTTTACAACTTTTTCTCGTTTCGTTGGTCAGCCGGCTATATGACATCATATATTTTTTTTATATCAAAGTAAGGAAAAGAACGTGAGAGATAGCCTTATCGCGATAACTGGAATTGATTATATTATGCAATGTTGATGGGAATGTAAAATCTATAAACTATAAATAGATTTATTTAATAGTGAGGACTTAATTTTAATACCACCCATTTAGAGACAAACTATCGGTTTAGACTCGTTTGCTTACCCCAAGTTGGCATCGTCACACCAAATACAGAGCGTTAAGAGTTTTTCATTCATATATGTTCACATATAATATATAAACATGTATTATTGAATGAGAAACGGGACAAGTATCTCAATTAGTTTGACGATGTAAACTTGTAATAAGGAATTCTTTCCAACAAACAACAAGTCATGAACACAGGCGTATGTACTGTGGGGGATTTAAACTATGAAACATCGCAATTTCAATTTGGAAGATTTCAGACAATCAAAATAGTCATGACCGTGACCACAATGCATGACCTTAGGACACGATTTGTTTCCTCTACGTGAATCCAAAAGAACGAGCAAAAAAAATCTTATAGTCTAAGGTGTAAGATGACAAACAACATGACTAAACTAAACACTTAAATATAGTTAATCGAAACGACGGGTTAAACCATTTAAATGTAATCCAATAAACTGTTAATCCGAAAATAGGTTTAAAGTTAATTAATAAATAATGAAAGGAGTTCAAGTTTTTACTACAAAAAGAATTCGTCCTTGACGTAGACACGTTTTCTTTGTTACATTTGTATACAATTAATCATAGTAATAGGTATCGACTTTCAACTTTAATATACAAAAAAGGTTTTATAATCAATCACCTATCATCATTATTGGATCAATAAAAAAAAACTGTAATGTTCGCTGAAAAATATTTCTTTTACACTATAATTTTCTATATTCGAATAATTTTGTCTTTATAATTACGATCAAGGATAAAGAAAAGTCGTTTAATTTTTTTTATCAGACAGACATTCATTATAGGCGATATGGTATCGTCAATCGATAAGTTGAATTTAGTTTGAATAAAATCGAATATTTCCTTATAATAAAAAAATATATATTATCAATGACAACAAACAGGTGATAATTATTATCAGAGTTCAAGTTTTCCTTTAATAATTACTTTTATAAAAACGATCGAAAATTTCTAGTAGCCGTTATATTTCAAACTTGTTTACTTAAAAAAATATGTTGGATACGATCCAAATAACTGGATGTTTATTTTAACGAACCGCGATCTATGCTTTACAGATGTATGCTTCGATATGTTTAAAAAACTGCTAAGAATAGGAATAATGTCTAATTCATTTATGCAACATCTCATATGTTTTGGAGTTTAAATTATAAGTACTGTAATATTAGTTATTATAAATTTCTAATATGAAAAAAAAATGCGATAAATTTATTATGATAATATCTCACTTTTAAGTTAAATCATTATCACTAATACCTGTTTCATTAGACATTGTTAAAAAAAAAACTTTTTATACATATATAATATGGTTATTACCTGAGCATTCAACTCCTTGCTTTCTGAGTAGAAAAAATCATCTTCTTTGTACATCATAGGAACATCTATTGTCTCTGAAGGACTGATGTGGAATGGTTGGTCACTCGTGTTTAAGGGGTCAAATGGATTTCTCCAGGCACCCTAAAGTATAAACAAAAATCATCCCAAAGAGGTATTAATGAAATCATACGAAAAAAAAGATCATTCCAAAGAGGTCACTATTAATGCTATCAAATAAACTATGAATATGAAATAGTTAAAACATTAAACTTAATTAAATTGGTTTGTCTGTTTGATAAAAGATTTTACTTAATGAATTTTCAAACATACACATAAACCAATATAATAAATATTCTTTTTAAGTTTTTGTTCCCTTGCTCTAGTTAAAGTTTGTAATGTCCAGACTGATTTTGATAGGACAATCAGTACCAGATATTTGACAAAATAATAAGTTGTATGACTACTTCTAATTTTAGACATGTCATTCATTTTTATTTATAAAATAATTATTTCAAAGAAATTATCCCTGACAGAATATTGATATAAAGTAAAACAGTTTTATAGTGTAAAAAAATAATACATTACAATTATATACCTATATGTAAAAACTTCCTGTAACTAATATATAATAGATATTAATCACACATGTTTATCATATATAGGTATATGTATATACTATGATACATCATAATTTTGTTAATTATACATTATGTACTTTGATTATGACTAATGTAGCCATGTAATGGTATCAAGGACAAATTTTCCAATCAACTAGCAGTGTTTAAATAATTCAAAGGTAACAATAATGACACCAACATTATACCCACTTCTTCAAAAGAATCTATTTCAGAATTGTTTATTTAATTGCCTCTAGTAATGTTTGTATAACAGTTATTAAGAATGTATTGCTAAGTAAAAATACGATTTTAGGGCTATTTTTAATAAAAAAAAAGCATTTCCTTTTTCAAGGTGCCTAAAGTATGAAAATACAATATATAAAATATTATTATACATTTACACCTAATATACATATATAGTGATAACAGAATTTAATTATAATAATTGCATTGATGACTAACAACTAATCTAGAAATTATTTTTTATCATCACCGTGTCATGGTTTTTAATGTACAAATTTTATTAATCGGTTTGCATTTTATTTATATGTATATATATATTTACCTTGAAATAAATGGCATTAACAAGCACAAGACTGGTGCCATCATTGAGACTATCAGCGGGTATTAGTTCCTTGATTTTATTATTGGTCTGGTCTTCCACCTGTTCAGAAATAAAATACATATATATATATATTTAACATATAACACTACCTTATAAATATGTCAAAAAACATTGGTGTGTCTTTTTTGATTTAAATGATGATAAGATAAAACTGAAAGTGTACCCATTTGTTGATAAGGTTTGCAGCTGCTTTGCTTTGTGAAAAATCAACTTTTTCAAAGGCAGCATTGAATACTGAGACTGCATCCTTCTTAAGATCCTCATTGAGATCATAGTCACCTTCCTTAATGTACACCTTGTTAGCTACTTTGAGTGTAACACCTTTGATAGAGAGCAGGTTTTTGGACAGCGATTTGAATGATGAGCGAATCTGAAACACATATTAGTAGTTATAAATTTACTCAAACAAACAAAGCAGTTGAGTATTCATTATTTTATATTACCTCATCATCAGAAGAAATGCCCAGTGATGAAAGTAGTTCTGAATGTGCTGGATCCTCAGATCCCAAAGTAAGAAGAGCCAATAAAAATTTAGCCGAAAGTGGAGATGCAACAACACTCTGAGATTTATTCAACTCCTAAAATAAAAACGTATTTCCCATTTAATCTTACAAATATATGTACCGTTTTAATATTTTTACTAGAACTTGGAGAGGATATAAATTTTATTTCAACTTACATTACAGAACTTGGCAGAGAATTTAGCGACCGCTGAAGATAATGATTGGATATCCATAGTGAAAATTTTACTTGAAATTCGGAGTTAGACTTTAATAAATAAAAAAAATTTTCCTCAACAACAAGCGGTGTCTGACTCACGATACTCGGAAACAAACTGATCGATGCGGCAACGTTCGTTGCGTATAATTTTTGTAGGTAAACTCCCACCAACATTTTGGGCGATCGTTTTTATCTAGTCGGTCACTCCATTGTAACATATTGTAATGGTCTATTAAGGCCGAAATTCGCAGGAAGATGAGTCAGTCAACATTTACAAATTACGAGCCTATATATACTGTAGATACTTATGATTAAAACAATGGACACTGCCTTATAATATAAATAATGTGTAGCGAGAGATCTAAGAAACAAACAAATTTAAATGTTAAATACAAATAATTAAATGATGTTGTTTTGTTCATACATTGAAAATAAATTAAATTTTGAAATTTAAGTTTCACGTGAACGTCACTATCAGTGTTGCTATTTCTACAATTACCGGATTGTGAATGTGAATTTTCACTAAATAAATATAATTTTATTCAAGGAAAAAAAACATTGTACAAAAAACTTTGTAACAGCTGCTTCCATTTTTACTTCACGATGTAACGAGTATCCTTGCTTTTTGCCCTTAATATAATTAAATACTAAGTAAACAAAAAAAACTCCTGCTATGATTGCGTTTACATATATTTAGAGTTTATATTATTTAATTTTATGAGAAATATGTAAAAAATATTACTACTGCTAATTTTGGTTATTAGGTCATTTATACTGGCAGATTTAACTCTGTAAGACTGCTAATAAAAAAGAATAACGCTTTGTCAACAACCAAGCCAGAAATTTAAAGTGAATAATATAACAATGTAAGTTTTTTTAAAATAATCAATAAAACATAAAAATAATATGACTATTTTTGTACCAAACATTAATGAATTAATATCTCGGCGTTATGTGAGATATTATAGCTTTTGTTGTCCTCCACGTCGACCGGCGGGGCAGTGCGGTTGTCCACCGATGGTTCCTGGAGCCAGCAGCCAAATCAGACCTCCAGTAGAATGTCGACCTATTAAAATACCACCAAACCCATGCTGTCCACGTTTTCATCAAGCTAATTGGAGAAAGTATAAGCTTTTATTTTTCTTAGTATGTCTACCGTTAATCCTTATTCAATGTTTTAATACATATGGACATAAAACACCTGATAAGGGTGAATGTCGAGACTTCGAATATATGCGCCTACGTTATAAAAAGTATCCTTGGAGAGATGGTGTTCAGACTTTTCTTCATAATGACAGAGTGAACCACGTGCCGGGTGAATGTACGCCCCCACCTCTAGATTGTGATTGAGCTTTTGAATGATAAACACATTATACCCGAAATAACATGTAATATTTGGTCTATGCAGTATAAACAGGACTAGTGTTTTTAGAAAATTATCTTCTTGCTGGAGAAGAAAAAATTAAAGTAGAATAAAATATTTTTTTAATTCAGTTGGAAGAAAAAGTAAATAAAATAGAACCCTAGGGTCTGTTAAGAAGAAATGCGCACGCATCGGAACGAAAAAGGGCGTAAGTGGGCGAATGTGCGCTAGGGTTGGCCTAGAGCCTACGATCAATAGTGACACTGACGTCAATGTAGTGTCGTCCGCCATTGGCCCGCACGGCATTATTAAATAAACCTCCGGGGCGAGAGGAGTCGCGCCGCGGGCACAGCACCGCATCAGGCGGCGGGCCCGCGCACGCTCGCGGCTCGCCGCGCCCGCCATGGACGACATGCCGGACCTGTCGCATCTCACGCCCGAGGAGCGCGCCATCATCGAAGGGGTCATCATGCGCCAGCGACAGGAGGAACAGCGGGAGCACGAGATTATGAGGTGTGCCCACTCCTCCGCTTACACCCACCCTCAACCCTCGCTATTTACCCACCTAATGCACCATAATTATGTGACAACATTAAAAGTGTTTCTTATTTTGAATTCTACATTAAACGTATACACGTACTGTCGTTTTGTTAATATAAATGTTGGAAACACGAGTGATGTTTCTTTTCGATGTTTGATTCTGCAATATTGATATTGACGTAAATTCAGTGTCACATCTGCGCGTTCCGGCAACCGTGATTACGTATAAAATACATACCTAAGAAGGGTGAGATTAGTGTCTTCTGACCAATAAGTTCATTTTTGTTTCGAAAAAACGAGCTTTGAATAAACAGCGATAGAAAATTAAATCAAGGTATGAAAAAATATCTAAATTCAATTGGCAAGAACTAAAAACTTAATTGAATTGAACTTTTTGTTAATTACTTTGTGTTAGAATGAAATTTATATAATAGTATCAACATTAGCACTCATTGTAAATTATCAAAAACGTTTTGCAAAGAATATTTGATTGCCGTCGGAAAGTACGCGCTTTGGTTGTAGGAGTGTGGATGCAGTAAGAAATTTTAGTGACCTACTTTTAAACCTGCATAATACGCCATTTTTACTAACGATGTCGGTGGTCTGCCATTTACATTGAAGAGCCATATTTAATTGTTGTGGTAGTTTTATAAACTTTCCTCTATACATAGTAAAATTCATAGATTTAACATTTATAAATTACAATGAATTGCTACGAAATGTAAAAGACGTAGCGAGAATTACGTAGCTTCGTAGAAAAAACTCTTTCTTTGCAGTTTTCATTTTGTTGTTTCATGGTGAAGGAATTCTTTGTGTTTATAATAGCTTTTACTTTTTAAGCTCCTTGTAGTGTTGCAAATATTAATTAATTTAAAATAAAGAAATGTAGTAGTATGTATTTTTGATTGATATTAATTTAATTAGGATTACGTCCAAAGTTTTGATATCAATTTTGGATGTAGATTTATATTTTTAAATGGCCATTTCATGATTCTTGTTTGCCTTCTCAATATCCTATTGGGTGAAAGTTATTTATTGGGCAAATAAATTGAGTGTTACGCACTGAAGGTCGGAGCGCGCGTCAGTGGACACTACAGTGTACAAGTACCATCCGCCCACCTCATTTGATATCACTGATAACACTCTGATTTCACTACAGAGTAGGTACGTGGTCGTTTAAAGCTTTTTCCGATATTTGATATCTTGTTAACACCACCACTCGAGTTTCGGTTCTGAAATTTGTTCTATTTTTTTTTTTCTAACGTCCACCGTTATTGATTTAGTCATTTATAACTGGTTTAATATAAACAAATCTTAAAAAAAACTGAAGCAGAACTTTAGTAGGTACTGAAAAAACGACTACTATTCAAAAATTTGGAGAACATTAATGAAAATAATATCAAAATACCGAGAGATTTACAATAATATAGTATGAAACTATTGGGAAATCTTCTGTCGCTATATACGAAGGCTGACTGAAAAGACAGCTTGGTTTTTTGACCCTCGTCTCATCAGCTATTCCCGTCCCAAACCGAGCGCGAAATCAATACACGTTTATAGAATAAAAGAAACCATTTGACTGTTTTTCTATACATGAAAGAGGAGATTGCAAACAATATGATATTTATAGTCCATTGTATGTAAAGCTTACTCTTAGCATAGAAATTCGGGTAAAATATATACAATGAAAAGAAAAATATAAATATTCCAGACGAAAGCTGGAGTAAAATTTTACTCCAAAGATGTATTATGATATATTTTGAAACTGTGATTTAATTTTTAAAATATTTTGTGTGATTTGATTGTTTACATAATAGCTTTTTCATGTTAATCTATCAAATAAGATATATATTTATAGAATTTACCTTATTAATATAGAATTACATAAAGATTTCTCTACATATAAGTAGATGACTACTTACTTTCAACATCACCATCCTTTAGTAACAGTTAGGTATTCTTAACCGTTATGTTTAATATTTTAAGGGTATTAAAGTTAAAATAATATAAAACAGGAGTAAATATATAAGATATAGCAAAAATACATTAAAAAAAATTACATTTCGAATTCAGTTCTTCAGACGAAAAATTATATGGCTACGTTTTAAAAACTTGTAAGATTCTTTGTCTTGAAACAATTTGTTATTCTTAGGACCAAACTAAAGCTTAAAATATGATATAGTAAGGGGTAATATACGTGTTATTTCCTTGCTAGTACAACTATTATTGAGGTAAAATGTAAATATTGAGTATGGTAAATAGTCAATATACAGTAGGAATAGTGAAGAGAAACTAACAACATTAATTCCTTTACCCAGTCTCTTAGTGTCCTTTGAATTTGATGTTCTAATAATATCTTACATCACGTTCCTACGACGTATCCTATGCTGACCATTTTGTCATATTACAATATGATAAATATTTTTGTTATAATATAACACTTATGTAATTCTTTGTGTCTATACACACATGTTTACTATACGTAGAATCACATATTATTCTAAAATTCATACAAAATGGATTTTATATGTATTAGATGTTTTACTTTTTGAGCAAAAACTAGGAATCAGAAAATTATCTTTTCCCTTTTATTTTAATAAATTAAAAAAAAAGTAAGGATGAAGAAATAAAGGTTGAATTAAAGGCAACTGCAACTGAAGAAAAATGTTAACTTAGTACAAATAAAAAAATCTATAAATCTATATCAAAAATCTTACGTTCTTGAGTAAAAAGTAACAAAGATATCAAACTGCAAGAGAAATGAGAAACAAGAAATAAAATGTTGTTCGTAATAAAATATTCGAGTTCAATTTTAACAGGATTTTAAGGAATCTGTAATTTGATTCTACTCTTTAAAATTTGAGTATATCTAATACTACTAAAAACATTCTAAATATTTGGTTAAAATATGTACAGATTGCTTATATATACCCGCTGAATTATATATCTATATATTGAAATATAAAATTCATTTAAACTTTGTAACTAATCTTAAATATTATTTAATTATTCCAGTTATACATAACCCCAGTTTTAACAGTTTTGCTAAAGATTCGGTGATATATTTGTGACTTTTCGCTAGTAGCCCTTTTCCATCGTATGTACATTCCTTTTTATTGCAATTTCAATCTATCTTCATAGATCAAAATAATAAATATTAAAAAAAAACAAAAGTCGGAAGTAGAATACTATCAATCATCTTCCTCAGAAATCCAACTACCCCAGTTTAGAAATCATATTTTAATATATCTCATTTCTCTATAGACGTTATTGACCCAATTCCAGAACGTTCGATGTCAATTCGTCGACCGTTCTAATATTAACAAAATACCTTATATTATGTACCTCCAAATTATTTTATCTAATAACAGACGGAAACAAGATGAGGTCGCAGTGTTGGAGCAGACCATTCGTACGAGGAATGAAATGCAACGGGCAGCTGGCGTTGAATTAGCCGCCACTTGTCACATCTGTTTAAAAACAAAATTCGCAGACGGCGTCGGTCACTCCTGCCATTACTGCAGAGTCAGGTGCTGCGCTCGATGTGGCGGCAAGGTCACGTTAAGGTCGAATAAGGTGATTACAACAAGAAAAACATCGTAGCAATCGTAATAATTTCTGCGACGCTTCTATTTGCTTGCAACCTTACACATTTAATGCAAAGTCAAGGCTTTGTGACATAACTCAACTATGAGTTCACATTAACGCACACTATTGCACTTAAACTAATTCTCTCATTGATGTTGTTCAAAGTAGCCGTTCAAGCATGTACACTTATTTCAAGATATATTATTATCACAGAATTCTGCCATTTTTAAAATAAATAAGCACAAAATTGTACTTTAAGTATTTAGCAGTTTTAAAATATAATTTATATCAACATTTGTAGTATTGGTTGATCTTTATTTACTTATACCGTAGTTAGGAAACGCGTTTCCTACAGTGAATGTATCTTTATAAGAAGAATCTGCCGAGACAATACAGTTGAATATAAACTTACAGGTTATATGGGTTTGCATTCTCTGTCGCAAAAAACAAGAACTTTTATCAAAAACTGGCCAGTGGATACACAAGAGCGCTGGGCAGGACTCAATGTTATGGCGGATGGAATCCGATATGCGAGGTCTTCCGCCACAGGTTGAAACTTCTTTAGACAAGCGACCAAAGTTAGAAAGAGCACATAGTGCCGCAGAAAAAGAGAATCAACCTTTACAGAGATCAGGCAGTGCTCTCCGACGACAGTACAGTCAGCAAGAGGCACGCTATTACGGGGAGTTAGAGGGGCTCGCTCGAACCCATCCGCATCTAGTTCATCCCAGACAAAAGGCAGCATACGGAGTGGAAGATACGGCCATGGTCCCACCGCCGCAGGCGTCACAGCTGCTGCCGCTGCCTCACCTGGCCGGCGGCCATCCACCGCTCCCTCCTCGCTCATCGTCGTCGGACGACGAGGTACCGGAGTGCGTATCGGATGAGAACGACGAGTACCGAGACCGTGGTAAGTGCGCACGCTCTCCGGCACGCTCTCCGGCCGCCGACCCCTCCTTCCTCAGCCATCACGTATCCCCTCCATCCATGCAAAATTTTGTTTGTCACCTTACACAACAGCTACACTATACAACACGCAATCAACGTTTCAACGGTAACTTTAAATTAGTTATTCGATAAGTTCGATCACTAAGACCTTAATTAACTATTTGTCACTTTAGCTCCAAAAATTTAGCAGCGTTGAGGTTATGGTGTTCCGTGCGAGGTATTAGAATAATACAAATGTAGAAATGCTAGTGTCAGGAATCACTTGGTAATGTTTAACTATGATTAACTGTGGTAAATTACACTGGATTTTATATTATATAGCCAGTAAAGTCATCCATAGGTACATATACATATTTTATGTTTACACCATGTCTGATCATTTAGTACCTATCTGTGACAGAAGTAAGTATTTATCGACAGTTGTAAGTATAGTGGAGGATGTGTAATCATTTTTATGTATAAACAGGAATCTTTTTTCAGATTAACTACATATAACATGAGTATATATCAAGATATATCGAACACTGAACATGTTTCCTTTTAATTGTTATTATAAATGTATCGAGCGTCTCGCGCGTCTTCTACACGCCCGGTTCCGCGCCGCGCCGTGCTCCGCCCCGCCGCGTTGTTCGCCAACCCTTAGAGTCCGAAGCTCACCTCGCCATGCACTGTTCGCAGGTAATGCTAGAGATAGGAGCGGTCCCGCGGCCAACAGAAACCAGAGACAAGCTATATTAGATGAGAAAATGAAAAAATTCTTATCGGTGAGAGGGCTTTCGGGATAAATGCGTTGTAACTAAGCTAAACTATATATAGATGTTTGAGTTATGTTATTGTTCGTACGTAAATTGATCTACTTCTCTGGTAGGCAAACTGTGATCGCTGTTGACCATTGAATCTCTATCCTTCTTCGTGTACTTGAAACGTTGTGGTTACTGAAGTTATTTATGTTAAAGGAATTACATAAATGTCGTTACGATATGGAACAATAATTACAGTTTCAAATTATATATGACAGAGCATATAGAACATTTTTAATTATAAAACATTTATGTACTTCTAACTATATTGCTTGAACCAAACGATATATCCATTTTATGCTTTAAATATTTTTTTCTAGTCGTGTTCTTTAATAATAATTGTATATGTGACGCTAATGTTATGTTTATTTACTTTGCACAATATGCATACTTACTTACTTTACTTAACCATCTCTTACAATATATATTTCTTTATCTGTCTTATTTTCCCCCTTTTTCGTATATTTCTTTCTTTCTTCTTTGACTTTTTTCTAATCATTATATAATATTTCGTAGTACTATTGCAAAGTATGACCTATTTATTTATTTATTAGAGATATTGAAATAAAAATCTCTTGTAACTTTTTTTTGTTAAAAATCCAATCTGATCCTGGAGTAACCAGTTCTTTATTTTAATTGCAAAAAATACTAGAAGAATTATATATTGATATTTAATGTAACATTATCTATTTTATATGTCATCAAATCATTTTGTAGATAATTTAATAGGTTCTACTTTATAATAACAATTTGTTACATCCATACTTCTGATTGGTTCAAGCAATGCATGTTTGGGCGAAAAGAAGTGTTACATACAGGGGGATGAAAATGAATTTAGATTTCGTGATCGTGTTTATTTTGTAAATGTTGTTTATTATTTGACTTAAATAAACTGTTACACATTCTTTCCGCTTGTGCGTGATCACCGCTTTAAATGCGTTTAATTTTATCAAAGCTAATTTTGTTAGGGTAGGTTAGGTTAATAATTAAAACAACGTAACATTGTGAATTGTGAATATCGTAGAAATATTCCGGTAAAAACATGTGCAAACAAAGTGATGAGTATTATTTCCGATAACCGACCGGTTCCGGGCGCGTACGGGCGCGCAAGTCGTTGGACCGTTTGAATCTGCCTTTGTCCCGTGTCGATGTTTGCTGTTTATACGTTGTCATTCTTAGGACAACTCGAGGCGTGTTCATCGCTGCGGCATCCACAACTCCGTAGCTCCACTGTGGCTGCCAACAATTATTACAATTTGACTAATCATTCACCGGCGTCATACTTCGATCCGTCGAGGTCGGCGCCGGCGGGCGGCCGTAGCTTCGACTCGGTGACAGACTGTCGGTGGCGCGCCCGCGACGACGGCGAGGGTTCGTACTTGCGGCCCTACGTGCCCGACGGGGTCCCGCGTCCCGATCGTGCCATTTATAAGAGTGCTTACTTGTGGGAGGATTCCTCCGATAACAGACGTTTCACGGAGAGGAGAAAAAAAACTGTTCGCTTCGATGGGCACGAGGGGGCCGCGACGTTTCCTCGCGGTGGTCGTGACGCGTCTGGCGCGCCCAACGACTGGGCCTCCCTGCGCTGGGAGTCCGAGAGACAAACCAGCCAGGACTCGGCCACCAAAGACTCAGGCATCGATACCTCTAGCACTTTTACTTCCAGTGAAGACTCGAACAGGGGCGATTGCCCTAAGGTACATAGTAATACATTACACAACCTTATCGGTACTTTAGCTTGCTTTTTGAAAGAAATAACTATATTTTAAGTGTATACTAAAATATATATACTTTTACTTGTCTAAATATAACTATAAATACCAATAAAGTTTTCGGTTCGTATTAGGAATCTAATTCGCCGTTTATTAATTGACTAGATAATTTTGGTTATATAATGTATTAGGCAGGTTCGTTAGTTCCTGAGCTATATAAGAAAGCATATTTCTGTTTGGCTGCAGCATGATGCATTGGCAGGCATGTCTCGTTCTAGTTCCACTGAGTGTGCACTTTCGTTTTTGCGACACACTTCTTGCCGTTTTGCTGAGTATCTGTGATGATTATTCTTATTACGATGTTTCAAATTATTTTATCACTAACAGTTCCCATTGAGCTGGCAAGTTTCCTCTGACGGGACGCGTATGGTGGGTCATATGGTTCTACGGAAAAGCGTTGTGGAGGGTAGTTCCCATTCATCGGCAGCTATTCTTGGACTGAAAGTAGTAGGGGGAAAGATGTTACCAGACGGCACACGGGGTGCCATTGTCGAGAAAGTCAAGAAAGGGTCAATTGCAGATTTAGAAGGACAACTTAGAATAGGTAAAATTAAAAATAATTATATACATCGAGTGAACTTAAGTAATGAGAGTTTAAATTATCAAAAAAACTAGTCTTTATATAATCCAATACAATTTATGCAAAGAGATAATAATTGAATTGAACAATTATCTCGGGAAGTATTTAACGTGAGTAAGTATTATTAGTCATCTTTGATACAAATTGCTTTAGGTGATGAGGTGCTACAATGGAATGGGGTTCCACTTCAGGGTCGTAGAGCGGAGGAGGTGGCTTTAGTTGTTGCTAACAGTAAACACGACTCACACGTGGAGCTAGTAGTGTCCCGACCGCTGGCTCCTTCGCGTGCACCAGCTCAGCCCTGGCGTGCACACAAAGGTATTGTTATTAAATGTTTCTAATACTTAGGATATGATGATAGATAGTTTTATAACACGTAATGTTAAATTTAGAAGTGTATACCGAAATTATGGGTGGGTGTGAGAAGCCTAGTGTACTGGTGACTTCTCCCGGATCACCTGACATGCACTCTCGAAGACGTTCAGGGAGGCACACCGCTCATAACGTCAGTGTGGCTGGAAGGATACAGGTGAGGATAGATTAATGATATTTATGACTTTCATATTCATTTAAATGAAACTAAACGTATTATATTATAGTAAGAACTGCATACGCCCGAAGTTTAGGTTACTTTGAAGAAATTGTGATCACGGGCAAACTTGAAGTTAATGTCGAAATTTTTCCAGATAATGAAATATTATGTAATCCCAATATGTTAGTTTCATTTAGAGGATAGATTAGTTATTATCGCGAGTATCTTTGTACATTTTAGGTCATAATAATAACAAATTGCTTGTTGTTTTTAGCTTAAAGTATATTTCGATATCGCGGCTCTTCAGTTATTAGTGACCGTTGTATCAGCGAGTAACCTCAGTCCTCGTATAGACGGCTCTCCTAGATGTCCCTACGCGAAGATATTTCTTCTTCCCGATAAAAGCGAGAAAAGTAAACGACGAACAAAAACTCTAGCAAACACTTTAGAACCGAGGTGGAACCAGACGTTTGTTTATTGTGGAATAAGAATAACAGATCTGAAAAAGAGAACGTTAGAGGTAAAATATCGATTTAAATGATAATTTGAACTTCTAAGGCTTCAGAGTTTATATGTGATTAATTTTTTACGACTCAGGTAACAGTATGGGACTTAAATCGTTACGGACCAAATGATTTTCTGGGTGAAGTGCTTTTGGATCTCGACAGCGTTATGATGAATCATGAACCAAACTGGTATCTACTGAAACCACACGAAGACCTCGGTAATTACAGCGTAAGTATCTTTATTGGTCACATTTCGTATACTTATAGAATGAGAAACCAAATACTTATTGGTATTTTGAAGTAAAAATTAATATTTTTATCTGTTAGGACATCACTCTAATAAATCTCAGTGATATGTGTTGCAAATTTTTCATATATTATACATAAAGTTAAAAAATAATATTTGCTCAGTTGTGAAAAACTATAAGTACATCCAAACAAATACATCATGAAAGTTACAAGTATGATTCTTGCGTGTACCTAATTGATATATTATATCGATTCTATAATACTTTATAAGGTTTAAATGAAACTAATATTTTTCTAATATTTAAACTAGATATCTCCTGTGCCCGTAATCACGGTTGCCTTAAGAGCAGCCTTAACGTCGGAAGCATATAGGTTTACACAAAAATAAAGTTGCGTAGTATAATCCGATAAATATTTGTTTCATTTAAATGAAACTAGCGAGAATCTTAGATATCACTACGTTATATGTATGTTATATGGGTGATGTTTGTCCCTGGTAGCGATACCATGACGAGGAGGTGGATGGAGAGCACCTCTCCCCTCCATCGACTTCCACATCTCGTCTGTCGGATTCGGACACTCCCAGTGAGTGTGATCTCCGCAGACACCACTCACTGTCGAGCCTCGCCTCTAGTTCCAGTCCGCCGCCGCCACACGAGGTCATATATCCTTATATCACACATTTACAATACTTCTATAATGATACTAGCTGTCCCCGCTGTGTTACCTACGATTTCCGGGATGTAAAGCAGCCTATGCGTTATTCCTATACATCAACTTCCTGTATACTAAATTTTATCAATATCGGTTCAGCTGTTTGAGCGTGAAGAAGTAACAAACATACACACACTCACAAACTTTTGCAATTATAATATTAGTAGGATTACTATGATGGATCTTGAATTTAAAGCTTAATCAGTTTTTGTCTGCTGAGAATTTTCTAATCAATTTGTTTCTGCAACAAAAATTTATAGCAGAACTTACACATTTTGTTTCAAGTATTTCAATATGGATAAACTTTTCTTTAAAGATCGAAGGCACACGATGTAGTAGACGCGATATGTCGCCAGCCGGTAGGGTGAGGACCGCCGGCATGTCGAGAGAACGAGTAAGAATCAGATTAATTATAATAATATTGAGGATTAATTATATTGATAATGTAATGTTTGTTATTGATAGAGTGGTTACGTGGCACGGTCACAGTCAGCGGCGGGAGGGCGCAGTGTGTCTCCCAGACGGTCTCTGTCCCCGCCGGCCTCCGCCCCGCGCTACACAGGTCACCATACATACACACACACACACACATACAGAAACACACGAGTGTTCAATAAACAAATTCTTCTACCAAATACCTCCAAACTTCTATCGCTGTTGATGTCTGCATGATATATTTCATAAGAGATCTAGCGTACAACGAAGCATGATAAATATTTTCAATTCTATAATCAAACCGTTCTATCAGTGTGAGTACATTGACATCATTATACCGTTGTGTGATCAATGTATATGTTCTGGAACCGCAACGACGTTAGCGGTTCCCGGTTGTGGCGTCTCATGTTCGCCACAGTAGCCACGGTGCCTGGTGGGTGACGGGCCAGCCCTGACCCCGCACGGAACACGTCGCGATGCACCTCTCATCACCACTTTACTGCCACCTACTGTTCTACCTTCCTTTCATTTTTGTTTCAATTCCGTACCTATCCTCCCACTAGCACGCTATTAATCATTCAACTTCTGGTATCGTAAGCTCTAAAGCCACTTGTTAATTGTATCACGATGTTTGTAATTGCATGCCGTAATCTTTATTGTCGTTTAAGGCAAGTGTGGATAAGTACAATGTTATCGTTCCTTCAATTAACTTCTGAAAAAACTAACTAATATGAGGGACATTCAGTGTTGTTTTCGATAATAATGTCCTTGAATATTTCGAAAGCTTTATAAAGGATAGAACTAAAAGAGGGAAAGCAGCGTATTTTGCGTTGCAGTGTGTGAGGAGCGCGAGGGGTCTAGGCTGCCTACACACGCGTACGCGCCGCGGTTCCAGTCGAGGTCTGCTACAGCCACCCCCACCACGAGCCCCAAGAAGAGACAACTACCACAAATACCACACCAGGTTTGTAGCCAGCCTTACAGAACTCAATCACCAAACAATTATGAACCCTTCGTTTACAACTTCTTCTGAGCAATTGAATTATAAAATCAGAAATTAATACCTTTCGATTCAAATTCCTTTAATACAGCCATCATCACATATATACGAGGTGTGTTCAAAAAGTATCGCGAATTTTGAATTTTTTCGGGTTGCGTATAATCGAATTTCGATTTTTTTGTGGCGTTATGTTGGTACTCATGTCTGTCACTTATGCCGACAAGCTCGGCCATTTTGAATGTTCACCTAATTGTTGACACCTGTTTTGCTTGCACGTGTTTTGGATCGTCTTCGATTTTTACCATGGATCAAAGAACCTGTATCAAATTTTGTGTGAAAAACGGAATTAAGTGCGCAGATGCATTCCGAATGTTGACTGTGGCATACGAAGCTACGTTGGACCGAAGCAACGTTTATCGGTGGTACAAAATGTTCTCAGAAGGCCGAGAAGATGTGGATGACGAAGAGCGTGCCGGACGCCCGAACACTTCAACAACAGACGAAAAAATTAATGAAGTGGAGAAAATGGTATTGGCCAATCGTCGAATCACCGTTAGAGAAGTTGCTGAGGACCTAAAGATATCGATTGGCTCGTGCCATTCGATTTTAATCAATATTTTGGGCATGAGACACACTTTGATCCATGGTAAAAATCGAAGACGATCCAAAACACGTGCAAGCAAAACAGGTGTCAACAATTAGGTGAACATTCAAAATGGCCGAGCTTGTCGGCATAAGTGACAGACATGAGTACCAACATAACGCCACAAAAAAATCGAAATTCGATTATACGCAACCCGAAAAAATTCAAAATTCGCGATACTTTTTGAACACACCTCGTATATACAGGGTGACTGGTGAATTACTATCGATATTTGAGGACGTGATATTTGACCATCATATATGACAAAATAAAAATTAATGTAACATAAATATTAATAAACTTCTAAGTAAAGTTAACCAAAAGTTATGTAATTAATTACGCATCGTATGAACACCCTACAGATTAGGTATACACACACACACGCGTCCACACTTGGAACACTTGGAACGTGTCCACAATTTATTTATTTATACGGAAATTTGGTCAAAAATTAAGTATCTATTTTTTTAACATAATTCGAATGAGGATCATGTACCGAGTATGCTCCTTAAATATTGATAGTAATTCACCAGTCACCCTGTATATATATATATATATATATATATATATATATATATATATATATATATATATATATATATATATATATATATATAACGTTGACAGTTATTTGTATAGACGATTATCGTTATCAATAAGATGTCTCATAAAAAGTGTTTTATAGCAGAGCGGCCAGAGGGCAATGCGCGCTCAAGTGTCCGCGGATCTTGAAGAACGTAAGTGGATCGCCCCGCACCACATTGGCGCCACACTCACCTACCGCAGCACGCCACAAGGTCAATACACTCACCGCCATTCCCTCATCGACAGACGTTCAGACTGATTTTACCTTTACAAAAACATTCCCCTTCAAAATCTACGTAATTTTTAAAGGATAATGACGTCACCTATTGGTCACTTCCCAATCTTGTATAGTTAAAGAATTTTTAGTATCTCCTGTATTATATTTGAGTGAAATACAAAGGTTTGTCTTCTCTATACACTATACGACACTGCTTTGCCTAATAGTGTAGCAGTTTAGAAACTTAGAATAGCCTAGATGAAATACATATATTTAGTTTTTCTGCCTAGACTCCAAATAGTATCAGAACCCATCCAAACGCTGTTTAATTATTGCTATAATATAATATATGTAAGTATGTATTTATCTAAAAATGAAATGTTTAAAAATAGAGTAACTCTGAAGATTCAATACGTACTGCAGGTAACTTTTTAGTACCAAATATGAAATAGAAATTAATATAGCAATAAAATGTGAACATCCTTATTTATGATTCTCAAGTAAATATTTTGCAACAAAAATGTCTGATTTAAATATAAAAGTATGTATTAAGTATCATTAAAATATAATCGACACGAAAATGGTCGAATTACAATCTTAGTATACCAATGTAATGGTATTAACGATTATAAAATGATAAAATATTGTCTTAAATACATCAAGGGTTTCTTCATACAGAAATAACATCAATATAACTATGAAATATTTATATTTGATTCATCCAACAAAGGTTCTTAATATAACTAGTATAAACATATTATAAGCAACAGTTTGTATCACCGATATAGGATGGGAGAGGCATTATGCAGGCTTGTCTGATTCTGAGCTGGCTGCTCGTGGAGGCAGTTGGGCTCCTCGACGTAGACTCTCTCCAGACGCTACAGCTGCTGACTCAGACCTGGAATCAGTAGCCTCGGTTACTTCCAGCGCTTTCAGCACCCAGTCCGAAAGACCGCGACCCACAAGGATGCTCAGGTGATATAGTGCAGCATATATTACTCTATAACACTATCACATTATGTATTATTAATATATCTTACGTAATAAATCTCCCAACTAGGTACCACCAGCAAGATATAGGACAAGTATTCGATACAGATAAATATTTTATATCATTTAACCTTACACAAAATATCATTGTATCATCATCACGATATCTATATCATATTTTAATACGGAACATGTTATATGATTTGCATGTGAACTCTATTGGTTGCTTCCATGCTTTACAGCCGGATGCAAACGCTTCCTGTTGACAGCACTTTTACCTTCCGCAATAGCTTTACCCCTGCGTCTATTTGTCATTATGACGATGCGACGGGCGGGGAAATAGATATTGAAAGCAGCGATATATGTTTTCCATACGAAACATCTATTTTACAAACTTCTAACGGCACTCTACCTGCCCGTCGTTTTCGTCGTATAATTAGTCGCAGTTTATCCGCTGGTAGTAACACGAAACATTATAAACTATTCCCTGAATATCAAAGAAGTAACACTTTTCCTGACGACGATGACAGCTGCCTTGATAATACAGTGGAAGAAACATCAGAATCAGATCTCTCATTTACAATACCTTCACAGAAATATTTCATGAAACATAAATTAAAAAAACAATCTAGCCTCCCGTTTAACTATTTTAGAGATACTGATTATAAAGAAAGAAATAATCTAAAGTTTAAAATCATACCGAGCTTAAGAGAACGTTTTAAAAAATATCAGAGTCATAATTTCTCGAGTATACCATATTTAGAACTTAACAAGTCTATATTTGAGAAACAGCTAGATGTACTGAATCAAAAATCCCTTGAAACTATAGATGATGAGGTAAATCATTATCATTGCTATGGATACGCTAGTGATGATAGTATTGCTGAAACCACCATTCACGTAGACATAGACCAATCAATACGAGATAAACATGAATACAATACACCCGAGGAAATAAATTCATTCGATGTAGACCTTCCCAAACACAGCATTCGTAATTTGCATGCAAACAAAGAACGAAAAAAAGATTTGTTCTTAAATTTTAGATCATATAATAAGCAAAAAGATTACCATTTAATGCCTTTACATGATACAAAAATTGTTAATTATCACGATGATAAAGAATATTTAGAGCGTGAAACGAAGAGAATTGGTCAAGTTGATAAATTTAAAAGTCACAAAATTCGTAAGGTTAATTTAAATTCTTCAGTAAGTGAACGAAATACCGTCACCTCATACAAGACAGATGTTGATAATCCATTTAAAAATATCGGGTCAGATCATACCAAGGTTAAAACAAATACTTATAGACATTATAAATTAGAAAAGGATAATAATGAACAATATCAATTCGAAGTCGCCCCCCGTTCAGTACCAAAAAATAGACGTGAAATAGATGAGTCATATCACACCAGACGCTCTCATAATCCACTAAATCCTTTAGACGCAAATAATCATTTAGATTCTGTGACTAGTAAAATGGCTAATGATTTGTCTGTCGGTCTATCTCCCACGAACCTCGGCTCGTCTTGTGGTGTGCTTGCATCCGTCGCCCCGCACTTACCACCCGTCGACACTTACCACTCCACGACTACCGAACGACTGATGTCTCATCACACATCAACGGGATCATCCGAAAACATATCGAAATCAACAAAATTGGAACAACGTGATCGTCATCATAAATCTATACGAAAATACGATAATGCAACAAGTGGATACGAAAACTCCGACGAATCTGCTAAACAACAAAACAGTAATGATTACGGAGGACGTGAAAATGGACGGAATAACAACCAGACGCAGCCGTTAGAGAGGCGCGAGTCGCGACGGGGACAGTTTACACGCAGCCTTAGTAACGCCGACGTGCCTCCCGATGAAAAAGCAGGTAAATAACTTCTTATTTAAATAACAAATATATATACCTACATATTATACGCATCGAGACATTAAGTTGAATTGAGACATTTAGTGAAAGTTTTGTACATAAAACACGGTTAATATTAAACATATAATTTATTTTCTAAAGACGGCAGTCTGAGTGACACTGCGCTAGGCGGAACCACAGAAATAGAGCCCGCCAGTGATGACGCACTACTTAAAGCTGAACCAAGAGATTACTTCGGCCCAGGAATGGGAAAGAAGAGTAATTCCACCTCACAACTATCAGCTACAGGTAAATTTGTAATTTATAGATCCTTTAATTTTAATTTTTATGCACATACTGTATCTAAAATACCCTGGAGAGTGAACAACGTACTCGAGTAGGCCAGAAAGTAATTTACTCATGTTTAAGTTATTTGAAATGATCGACAGGACGAAAAAGAAGGTTAGGTTTCGGTAAACGTGGAAAAAATTCGTTTACGGTCCAACGCAGCGAGGAAGTGGTGCCCGGTGAGATGAGAGGCGGGGCGGGAGTGTCGCGGGCCTCGTCCGCCTCGAGCGAGAACGACGACGACAGGTTGGCGACTGGCGTTCAGCCTCGCACACACCTTGACACAATAGTGAGGCTCCGAGGCGGTAGATCTCGACGTTACGGCCCTCACATGACTTACGGGAGACTCTTAAATAGCGATTACATGACACAGCATGCTACAAGTATCAACCGCGATAGATGTACCTATGTGCAATGTGGCTTACGCAGAACCGGCTATGTAGAGCTTTTACTGGTAAATGTAATTGGCCTCTATGCGAGCGAGTTACATGACAAAGGAAATGGGCTTAAACGAATCCGTTTCTCCACGCGTCCTATGAATTGTAATGTAAATATTCTCATACCGAACCATTACGTAGGTAGCAACTAACAACCATCACGAGTATAATGTAACATATTAATAGATGTAACATGTATTTATTGTCTATGTTAATGAGCGTCAGTCCGAGGGTAGTCCTAGTGTGCGCGTGTGTCTGTCGGTCACGTGACCTCTGTCTGTCGCCTAGAGCTCGGGGGCGGCGCGCGTCGCAAGCGCTCCGGGCCCGCGGCCACGTCCTTCCAGCGCTCGCACGAGGTGTGCTCCACCAGCCTCATCTCCATATCTAGCTCGGAAGGATCCTCGTAAGTCCTCGCTCGCCCGCTCCGTCCCCAACACTAACTCTATGTGTGCATCGATGTTGCTCGCGTCTTCTCCTCTACCCTCTATACGCCTCCGTCTTGTACGCATGACGCCGTTTTGTGTTGGTGTTTTTACTTCACTCTATTCTGTTCAGCGCACACGTGTCTTCTTACGTATTGGCAACTCACTCGGGACCCATGTGAACTGTGTTCTTGACGGTTCATTAACAGGTTAACAAGTTATTGCGAAACTGTTGCAGATACTTTAGATATTATAATGGCGCTTTACTTTCGCTGCACGACTGTGATTGACTTATTAATGTTGCCTGAAAGCCTTTACGATGTTTGCACTGTTCATCTGTTTTTTTTTTTGTCAATTTTAACCTAGGCTGATATGTCATCCATGCATGTCTCACAATAATTTTACTGTTAGTATCTACACTTCATTATTTATCAATAAAATTATATTATTTTACACCATTTTCCATGTTTTAGGCTGGTCTTTTCTTATTTTTCTTTCAATCAATTTAGTTAAAGACACAAACATTCTCGAATAAATATTCTAAATTCTAAACTGTTCTACACTCAAAAGTATTCTTTAAATTATGATACATATAAAGTATTTAATTTAGTTGTAAATCTTTATGCTACTAATAATGAACATAAAATTAGAGACCGAAGATTTTAAAGACAATTAAGTCAACGAAAAAAAAACATTATTTGTTTATTTCATTAATTATTTAATAGAACAGATATATATTAGGTATTATCAGCCCACTACATACAGATTACAAACACATCACACTCTAAAGGTATTCAACATTTTTGTTATTATAATCCCATCACTTCATTTCTATCTTTATTTGTATAGAATTTTAAATGGTAGGTACAGAAGATTGTAAATAAATATTTGTGCATTTAGAATATACTTAATTAGATTATTATCGTCACAAAGTAGTGAAAATTTCAATTCCGTTTCAAGGATGTATCTTGTGTTAAAACGGATAGATCTGAAGTATTCTACGCAAACAAATTTATCAGACAGGTAGTCTGCTTTTATTATAAAGTGTTGTTTTAGCTTCCCATATAATTCCCCGAAGTCTACCGATAATCTCTTGTTTCCATAATGTATTAAACCTACTTAATTTAGTTCTATACGAAATCTACCGCCCCTTTCTTCACTATTGTATCAATGTTATAATTATTTAATATTTTATTTTAGTATATATTTTCTTGATTTTTATAATATCCTCATGGAAATCCAAGTCATTGCATTTTACAAACGAGTATATTCGTTTTAAAGAACAAACTTGGCTTTAAATAACTTGGATTTTCAAGTACCTATTTAGTCATAACAAATTTAACTGCTTTTACCTGTCCACTAAAGTTTAACCAGCAGTTTTGCTGCAGAACCTCCTCTACAAAGCTTTTTGATCCTGTAAGTTTGGATGTCTAAGTTCTACACGGTATCCTTGGATTGAAAAGATATAATGGCCCAATTTAATTGAGTTTCTATTAGAATTTTTGATATAACAATAAAAAAAGCTGATACTGAAAATATTAAAGTTATACAGTATACAAATAAGGTAAGTTATTTTATATATAATTTCGACAAAATGGCAATGATTTTAATTAAACGAGGGCCTCATAATAACAAAAGTACAGTAGATATTTGCAAGAAGCGTTAAGTCATATTTAAAGGTAGCTATGGAAATCTTAGTTATAGTAAGTTTTTAATAAGACGCTGCATACAGATGGTCTCCCGGTATGCGAGGGTCAGGGTCTTCTGACGGCGGAGGACTCTCGGACTTCATCGACGGTCTGGGCCCGGGACAGCTCGTGGGAAGACAACTGCTTGGAGCACCCACTCTGGGTGACGTGCAACTGTCCATGTGCTACCAAAAAGGATTCCTTGAGGTAATAACTCAAAAAATTACTCCATTTTTGATATTTTACGCATAAAAGCCTTTTTCTTTTGCTAAAACTTAAAATATGACCAATATCATACAAACTCTACTTGTGAACTAACAATACAAACTTAAAGTATGTATACACATATATTTATTACTGAATAGATAATTTGTTAACCAGGTAGAGGTGATAAGGGCGCGCGGGCTACAGGCGCGACAGGGCAGTCGCACGTTGCCCGCGCCCTACGTGAAAGTGTACCTCGTGAGTGGCAAACGATGTATAGCAAAAGCTAAGACCAGTACGGCGAGGAGGACCCTCGACCCTCTCTACCAACAAACACTCACCTTCAGAGAAAACTTTAAGGGATGTGTTTTGCAAGTAAGAAATATTCACATTATTACATATTGTTTTTTTTTTAATATACATATTTAGGCACGCAGCAATATCGCTTTATACGTTCGGTTGGACTGCTGATAATTGTTTTTTTAATTCATATAACATAACACAGCACAATATTATAGCCAGTTATTTGTTTGACTTTCCTATCAACATTAAAGTATCCTCTATTTTGAAGGTCACGGTATGGGGTGATTATGGTCGCATAGAAGGAAAAAAAGTATTTATGGGCGTCGCCCAAATAATGCTAGACGACCTCAACCTCTCCAATATAGTCATCGGATGGTACAAGTTGTTCGGAACCACATCCCTGGTAATTATTATTATATTAACAACCATATTCTATTTTTGAACGAAAAAATAAATAAAAACTATAAACATTCGTTTTGTGAATAATCACTTTTTAACGTTTGTTGAAGATTATTATCCTTTCTATATAAAGTTACAAATACTTTTCATTTCAGTAACCAAGGTGCGGCAGTGGCTAGTGTGTTCGCGGAACTATATATACAAATCAAAATTAACTTTGTCCAAATAAATACTTTAGTGATACTGCTTTAATATCATAATAAACTGCAAATATCTTGAACATAGTAAATTTTCTATAAAACGGAAGTTATATGTAAATTATTTATATTTATTTTCTTTTGGAATGCCTACCGGAGTTTTGAATAGATAGCATTTTATAGCAAGAAAATAAAATGTATAGTGTACTCGATAATATGTAATTAAGTATTAAAAGCCAAATGCAATATCCTCTATTTTTTTATGACCCACTCATAATTAACTGTTATATAATACAATGTGATAATTCTAATAGTAACAAATATAATTATTGAAATGGTATTTATTGGAGATGGTAGTGTTAAGTTTTATAATAAAAATAATGACAATAATAAAATACGATATGTTTAAAAATTATGTTTATTCTCTGTAAGGATATTTTACATAACAGTTATAATTTTGCACTTAATCTACTCGCTTCAATACTTACAACACCTCGTCAGTCGTTTAACGTCTTCCGACATTAAAGAACATTTACATTATGTATTTCAAGATTACGCCTCGCGATCGTCATAGCTCGTGGGATATTACATAGAAATTCTTAATAATAAAAAATATTATTCATCAGTACTACAATAAGAGTGCAAGCACGTTAATCATAGTTTATAGTTTCTCCATACATTACTAATGTACTCTAAGTAAAACCTCAGAAATGTTATTAAAATTAGTACAACAGTTGTTTTGGTTGCTTCGACGGCGAGGCTCCTGGCAGCCGGCCCTCACCAGCTCGCTTCACTCCCGTAGATTTTATATCTGGAACGAGAGTTTTAAAAACTATAATAAAAAAGTAATATGAAAATATATCTGAAATAATATCAAGTTTTTGGTACATTCGTGTAATAAATATTTTCCTTGATTGCGGTTGAGATAATTATTAATTAAAATAATTTCTGTTTAAATAAAAAGCTAGATATATATTTACTGTTTATTATTTAGTTAGTGTTCTGATGTCGAATACAATAAGCCGATTTGGTAACTTCCGTGTTTAATTAATAGGTAGAACTATCTCAGTAATAGCAATTGAAAAATTAATCACGTAAATGAAACTAATATTTTCCGAAAATTTTTACGCATTAGTTTATTATATTTAAAATTACATACTCCCGACGTTTTGGTTACTGCAAATTACCTGAAACGACTTAATAATACAGACGAAACCTCTTAGCACTCAATGGATTCACCGTGCGGGTGCCGGGTCCATCAATATTGACGCGTAGTAATCCGTAAATATTAGTTTCATTTAACTGAATACTCGTCTTAAATCTCATGAAGTTAGTCACTATAAATGTGTATTAGTGAGTAGTATGATACGTACCTTGTAGCCACCTGACCTGCGTGGCTGGTCCGTAGCCCTTGTCGTTCCTAGCCGCGATCCTGAAGATGATGGCTGGCTTGGTTGAGGAGTCAACATGCGCCGCGCCCAGCGACGCCTGACCCACAACACACGTGTTCGCCTTGCCGCAGTACACGCGCACGAACGCCAGCTGAGACTTTGAGGCCTCCTGTATCACAATATAATATGATTACAAACATTACGGAAACCAATCTCGCGAATTTTATATACGTTATGGTTATCATTATGGAATTGCGTCCTAGTAAATATACGTTTCAGATCACTAAAACAAAAGACATCTGATACTGAAATGATATTGCGCACTATTTTGATCGAACTAATCTTTAGAACGCAAATCTTAATATACAGGGTGACTGGTGAATTACTATCAATATTTAAGAAGAATACTCGGTACATGATTCTCATTCGAATTATGTAAAAAAAATAGGCACTTAATTTTTGACAAAATTTCCGTATAAATAAATAAAGTGTTGACACGTTCCAAGTGTTCTAAGTGTGGACGCGTGCGGCGGCGTGCTGATACAACACCACGTCACGACACGCGTATGTGTGAGTGTGAGTGTATACCTAATCTGTAGGGTGTTCACACGATGCGTCATTAATTACATAACTTTTGGTTAACTTTACTTAGAAGTTTATTAATATTTATGTTATATTAATTTTTATTTTGTCATATATGATCGTCAAATATCACGTCCTCAAGTATCGATAGTAATTCACCAGTCACCCTGTATATAATTCTTCTGTGAGTGTGTATGTCAGTCACTGAACTTCTCTCAAACGACTGAACCATTTTGATGAAATTTTTTGTGTGTTCAAGGGGATCTGGGTATGGTTTAGATTCACAATTTTGTCCGCTGGACAACGTTTTTTAGTTAATTTTTAATTTATTAGTAGTTGTTGATACAAACTTTTTTTTGACATTAGATTTGACAACTAACTAACTAATATGTCAATCATTCTGTCGCTCTTCAAAACACGGAGGTTTAAGGGTTTAATAGGTAAACTCCAAAAATATAAATAAAAAAAACGTAACAGATATTTCTTGATTATAGGGCGATACGAAGTTCGCCGGGTCTTCTAGTAAAATTATAAAAAAAATCGTTAATATATAAAGTAAGAGAAAAAATTACCAAAGGTTTTATTAACGATAGTAAATATGTATCTTGAATGAACTTACCTTTGGTTGTGGATTAGATCTCACAGCTAGATATACTGAGTACTCGAAGATTCCATCAGCGGCGACCTGCGGCGGCTCCCACGACAGGTGAGCGCCTTCTACTGACTTGGATATCTTGATGGCAGAGGGCGCTCCCGGGAACCCTGGCAGACAGGTCTTGAACGCTGCCTCCTGGAATATATACATATAGAACAATTAATGAATGTGAATATAATAGAATGTGAAGTTATTCGTGATTGCAAAATAAAATAATAGTTCAATCTATATGACCTTACTGATGGTTAGTATTACATATTTAATAATTAATAAAGCTAATTTCATATGAAGTGTCTGTTTTTCTGTATTTTATCTAAATCGAGAATTTCTTTTAGTTAGATAGCAAAAGTGAGCTATGGCTATCAAGTCACAAAAATGATGTCATTAGTTAATACAAACAGTCAAACAAATGTTCACAAATACATACTTCACTGAATTCTCCCTTCCCGCACGAGTTGATGGCAGCGATTCTAAACTTATATGCCGTCCCATGTTCTAGCGGGGTAGTCGGTAAGTTCGACAGATCTGGCAAACTGTCCAACGAGAGACTTGATAGATCCACATTTGCATCGGATATGTAATTTTGTACCTGAAAAATTATGTATATTAAATATTTTATATTATTAATCATTATACTAAACAAAAATTATTATATAATACTCACTGTGAATGTGGTTCCTTTGACAAAGCCCACTGTGTACCAGACATCCTCATCGTTTTGTGGCTTTTGGTCTTCTGGTTCATTCTGGAACAAACAGTTATTCATATACCACTAATGATAATTTAATTTTTGGATTAGTAAGTACTAGTCATGGGAAAAAATGTATGTATATTTTTTACATACTTACAAGTGTAATTTAACTGATATTATTTAAGCTTATTTATCTATATCTCGTAAATTATTTTATTGTCATTAATTCCAGATATCCTTATTATTTTTAAAAATCCAAGTCACTTGGTAGTTCAAAGTTTGTCAATTTTAAATAAATAACTACAAGCAGGAACTCAATATGTAAGCACAGTATAAACTCTTTATAACGAAACTTGAGGGACTGAGAGTTTTTTGTCATTATAGAGAGTTATCGTTATATGGAGTGAACAAAGAACAATCAAATTAATAAGAATTTTTAATACATATGTATGTCGTAGATAATAAATACTTTCAAATTATTGTTTACACGTATATAGTCTGATAACTTTGTCTGACGTTTTTTACTATGCCAGCACTTGTTTTGTATTATTTTATGCATTCTATAAAGAATAAACATTCTACCAACTTAGCGACATCTAGGGCTTGTTGAGTTAAAGAATACCGGTAAAAAATATTTACTGTCTAAAAATAGGAACACATTTCTTCGTAATAGAGAATGTAGTATCGCTATGAAGAGTGTTTCAATATGTGGTTTTTAAGGCAAACCAACCAAGTTGGGCTCACTTCAATGTTACATGAAGTTTATTGTTATATAGGCCAAAGACCGTGCAAAGTGGAGGCGTTTATGTAGGAAGGCAGACCTTGGCTAAGGCTGGGAAATTGCCAGGAAGAAGAAGAAAGGATGATGTTATAAAGAGTTTACATTATATATATTAGTTTTGTTATTATCAAACCTGTTCATGTTGATGATGCAGCGCTGCACTAGCAAGGGTAGCAAGCGCGTGAGCGGCGTCCGTGGGCGGTAGAGGCGGGGCTCCGTTAGCGGACTGAGCGGCGCCGGAGCTGCTCACAGCACCCTCACCCTCGCCCGCACCGCTCTCAGAACTGAGGCCAGCCACCGAAGAAGACACACCAGCACCACTCTCATCACCTGAACATTTATAACAAATATTTATAAGAGATCTAAGATTTTCACGAGTTTTATTCATTTAAATGAATCTAATACTACGCGTCTTGTTACCAGCACCACTCTCATCACCTGAACATTTATAACAAATATTTATAAGAGATCTAAGATTTTCACGAGTTTTATTCATTTAAATGAATCTAATACTACGCGTCTTGTTACCAGCACCACTCTCATCACCTGAACATTTATAACAAATATTTATAAGAGATCTAAGATTTTCACGAGTTTTATTCATTTAAATGAATCTAATACTACGCGTCTTGTTACCAGCACCACTCTCATCACCTGAACATTTATAACAAATATTTATAAGAGATCTAAGATTTTCACGAGTTTTATTCATTTAAATGAATCTAATACTACGCGTCTTGTTACCAGCACCACTCTCATCACCTGAACATTTATAACAAATATTTATAAGAGATCTAAGATTTTCACGAGTTTTATTCATTTAAATGAATCTAATACTACGCGTCTTGTTACCAGCACCACTCTCATCACCTGAACATTTATAACAAACATTTATAAGAGATCTAAGATTTTCACGAGTTTTATTCATTTAAATGAATCTAATACTACGCGTCTTGTTACCAGCACCACTCTCATCACCTGAACATTTATAACAAACACTTATTTTTTTTTTTTTTTTTTTTTTTATGGGAAAAGGGGGCAACTGAGCAGACGGCCTACTTGATGGTAGGTAGTTACCGTCGCCCATGGACATCCGCAACGTAGATTTGCGGATGTGTTGCCGCCCTTGATTGGGGAAAAGGAGGAGGAAAAGGTGGGAAAGGGAGGGAAAGGAAAGGTTGGGAAAAGGGAAAGGGCAACCGGCTCTCTCACTCACCGGACGAAACGCAGCCTTTAAAGACTACTTTACGCCGATTTTCTATGAGAGGGTGGTACTTCCCCGGTCGAGCCAGCCCATGTTCGAGCTGTAGTAAATTGACTACAGCTAGGCTCTACCACCTCAAACTTACACTTATTAGAGATCAAAATTTTCACCAGTTTTATTCATTAAAGTGAAAGTAATATTTTTCGGATTATACAACAAGACTCTTTTTTAACAAGTTTTATTTAAAAGACTTATAAGAGACATGTATTAACCCGTGATCACACTTGATTCAAAGTAACCGAAAAATTGAGAGTATGTAGTTTTAAAAATAATAAAATAAACCATTGTACTTTGGTTTCATTTTAATAAATACCCGATAAAGTCTTAGATCTCATCATTCTTAGTCATACCACTATCAATATGGACAAACTAACATCACTATCTATTTTCGAATCATAATAAAAAAATTAATTCACTTCATTGCAGAAGACTTTTTCTTCTTCGACCTGGCAATTTCCCAGCTTTAGCCAGGGTCTGCCTTACTTATTGTAAATAGTTTTGGCTATTTGTTTTTACGACCGGCCGCCTGCCTGACATCAACCTTCTTTGAGAAAAATTTGAGTATAATATCAATTTTTTTCAAACCTTGTAGTAAGTTTGGTGAAAGTATTGCTGATCCATTCGCCGTCATAGTGATCAACGGCATTGACTCACTGACTGAGGGCATTGTGTCCGCAGCACCTTCCATCTCTGATGTATCAGCATCACTGAATCTGTACAGAGTTATACAAATTTATATAAAGAAATATTATGAAACAAATTTTTACAATAAATAAAATTTCATTAACATTTGTAAGAAAAATCATTTTACATTTGATTAAAGTCTTTCTTTATATTATAATGAACTAACTCATTAGCTTGCTGCTGTTGAGGTAGTACAGAGAAGGAATGCAGTAATGCAGGGCCGTTAGCCGTAGATGATATCAGGGCCGCCTCAGTTTGCCCACTGCTTGTAATGTCTGCACCTTCTGTGGTACTTGAACTGAACATAGATTTCGCTTTATTATTAATTATAAAGACATTAATGATATAAAATTGTTTCTCTACAATGATATATTCCATAATATAGTTGGGCTCACCTTATGCCAGTGCTTAGGACTTCTGCGGCAGCACTGCTTATATCATTGACATCGTCACTGCTGGCGACACCCTCGCCTCCACCCATATCTTCATCCATTGTACTAGATTCTTCTAGAATATTAAGGTTATATATTATATATGTTCCTAAAATTTGTTGTCAGTTTATTCTGTTATTAAAAATTACAAAATTGTTTCATTAGTTGCATTTATTTCATTGTCTTATTTTTATTTGTCATATATAAGATGTAAAAACAAGTTAATTATCAGTTAAGTGTGTTATATCAACTATTTATAGTGATGTTTTGTAACAGTATGTTATAAATATTTCTTAATACTTACCATCTTGTATGATAGGGGCGCCGTCACCTTCTATTGGTAAAGCCGAACTTATAGATTGGTCGGGAGACTCCTCCTGGGCTCCTTCAAGACCTTCTCCCTCACCCTCACCCTCTAACATGTGATCCTTAAGTAACGAGTGCTCCTCTTGTGGTGAATTATCTTCAGTTTCCGCCTGAATTTGATGTTTTATTAATATCATGTGAAAATTATAATTAATTTTATCTTTTAAATGTTCAATGACTAAAACTTGAGGTTCTATTTACATTCGTGAAATTTTCATTCATATTATTTTACCTTTTATTACAGATCTAATATTGAAGTTATATTATCTTATTAATAAGATATTTTAATACTAACTGGAGTAGATAAACAATTGTCTCCGATATATGCTGATTCGTCAACAGTTCCCGGGGTAGTTTCATCTATGTCCATTTCTTCTTCAGCTTCGGCGTTAGCTAAAAAAATTAAAGCTCATAAACAGTAATAGACAAACTTTTATGCTACATCCATACCTGATATAAAGCCAAAATCTATAGCATGTGTGCAACGGAAAACAAAAACCTTTGAAGCCAGGTTACCTTGATGCGGAAGTGGTTCTTCATGTTCTACCGGCTGTCCAGCAGGTTCTAGATCCAAAACATCACTGCTACTAGTTGGAGCACCACCATTTGTTGCTACATGCAATAATATTTTTCTACATGATAAAATTCAAAAAACATAATATTCATATAAGGGAGAACCATTACCAATAACGCAAACACTGCAAGCTCAATTAAATACCATCACTATGACTACTACTATTGTAACTACTTGTGGCACAGCAATACTGATATAATAATGTACCATTTTTCATACGTACTGTGGTCGGTCACGATATTCAAACAAGAAAAAAGTTGCTACATGCGATTTTGCTCATTTTAACACACCTGCGTCTTCTTCTGTAGGTACAGATTCTGATTCCTCAGCTGCTCCATTGTTATCACCATTTTCTTCTAGTGTTTCTGTTGGGTTTTCTACTAGAGGGGACATTTCCGCGCCATCGGGAACATCACCGTGAAGAGCAGAGTCCGACTCCATTTTAGATAAAATAAACAATCACACTTTGTTTAGCACAAATAAACATTGAAATACGAATAGTTCTAGAAGTAACAATATAATATTATCATAATTATTAAGATTTTTTAAATATTTTTGACAATTAACAGTTTACTAGTACTGTTCTGCGGTCCTGCCAAGCCAACTCGGCGTCATGTTGAATTTCTAAATTTTTAAAAGTATTGACAGATACTAGGTTTTTCAGAGAAGAAAGAAACAATACAAAAATGTATAAACCAATTATCGCAATGAAATTAAACATTTAAAATATTTAATAATACTAATGCAATTATTTAAAATTTAGTTAAACCTATTTATTAAAAGTTTGTAGTTTTATACACTGTAGTTTGATAGTTCTCATGAGTGACATTGAAGCATGTCAGTTATGAGTTAACAAGTCTAAATACTTTCAGTAAAAATTTAAAAGGGAGAATTTCTACCAATAAAAAAAATACACCAAAAAAAATATTTTTGACCTAAATTTTGTTGTGAATTGGTGTTTAAACATTTATCCGCTGGTATTTGCTTATTGCAAATAATTACAAGATTACTTAACTTGGTATAATCACATTATATTTTATCATAACTCTAACCCATTTAATTCATTGGTAAATATTTAATTTCAGTTTTATCACTACTAATTGTAAACAAATATACTTCTGAATGAACGTTATTCTTAACATGAATGAGTACCCTTGCTTCAAACTACTCATCCCTAAATATTTTGTTACATTAATCTTTTATCTTCTATACATCTTTTAACTTAATAAATTGTAAGAATTAGTAACGACTAAAACTCTAATGAAACTGTAATGTAAACAGAGAGCCAGATTTATTTCATGTCTAGGTGACTGTAATTAGAATAATTTCTTTGGACAAATAGCTTTACATAAATGTAGGCTATAAATACATTAAATAAAATCAATGATGGTATAAATATCTTTGTCATAAGTTTCATTAAGTAAAGAAAGGACAAACCTTTTTCAAAGTGCCTAATTACATTAATGTAATTCCAAATTAATATGTTTTTAAACATAATTTAAGGAATGTTGGTCTAATCATTTTAATATCAATGAAATAAGTAACAACAAGCATAAAAATCTGCTGGAGTATCGCTAGTATCTTTTCAATTAAGTTTTTGTAGTAAAATATTAAAAAAACACTCCATACTTACCTTACCTCAGGGTAGGGTAGGGTTTTAAAGTTTTCTCTATAAATACATAACTAATACAAAAATATAACAATGTCAGGATTTCACGTGTCTTTCTGATGTTAATGAATATTAATATTTCCATAAAAGTCACAATAATATCAGAAAAGCTATATATTAAATATTTGTTGAATAAAAACTAAGCCTCAATTACTTCATCATGAATCATTATTGCTATTATTACAATAATTATAATTCACTGATGAATTATTAATTTTAATCAGACAATTATGACTAAAACACTACATACATTTATAGTTATAGATTTAAAAATGTATAAGTTATTTTTTAGTCATTAATCATTACCAATATTCCTTTTTTAGATTCAAATTATGTGTATTTTCATACCATATTTTTTTTTTTTTTTTTTTTTTTTTTTGTTTTCCCAGGGGAAATCTGTTCACAGATACCCGGCCAAGCGGGGACTTGACCGGGTTATGTGGGGTTTCGACCCACTAAAACCCCTGGGTGTTCCTCAACCACGCCACCTAGGCAGGGCCACGGTATATCACGAGCTTGCCTCGCGACCCTGCCGGCGCTTGTCCACTCCGGACCTCAAACTAGGGGGGACAAATCCCCCCGCAGACCACCACCGCGAGCCGCCCCCGGAACAAGAGGGGCTAGCACCGCACTGATCCTATCAACGGGCGACAGAAGTCCCCGTCTGCCACCCAGGATCACGTCGCCCGGCGCTTAACCTATGGCTGTAAAGAGGCCAGATAGGCTCGGCGCCGGCGACCAATTCGCCGACGACGGAGGGCAGGGGCCTCCGGGTTGCTCTCCCTGGCCCGCTCCGCTGCCTCCTTCGCGCTGATGACCGCTTCGGCAAAAGCGGCCACCGCCTCCCATGCCTCCTCGCTGCCGACCATAGCCGAGATTATAGCCGGCAACGAGAGGTCCCTCCCTATGACCGTAGTCAAAGCAGCGCGAAGGCTGTCCCACGCTGGGCATGACTCGCGAGTATGCTGCGCCGAGTCCTCCACGCCACCCCCGCAGTGATGGCAGGCGGGGCTTTCTTCCCTGCCCACCACCCGCCACAGATACCTGCCGAAACATCCGTGTCCCGACAGCAACTGTGACAGGCGGTAGGTCAGTGGGCCAAACGTGCGACCCACCCACTCGCAAAGAACAGGCCTGACAGCGGTGGCCAGTTCATAACTGGCCGTCGGAGAAGCCAGTCGCTCACCCCATCTACGTAGAACGTTGGCCGCCGCATCCCTTCTCCATTCGGCGACCGACCCGGACGCAACTCCTCCGTCATGGCTGCGAGCCTCCGCGCGCCGGTGATAGACAGCCGACAACGCATCGGCCTCCAGGTACCACGGTGGCGTGCTGGCCAGCACGCAGGCCCCCTCAAAAGACACTGTACGGTACGCCCGCGCCACCCGTCGCGCCAAGATACGCTGCGGACGGCGGAGGTAGGCTGTCGTTCGCGGGCCGAGAGACCGGGCCCATACAGGCGCACCGTACAGTGCCATCGATCTAACGACCCCAGTGTAGAGTCTACGACATGCCACACTGGGACCACCGACGTTCGGAAGCAGGCGCCCCAACGCGCCAGCCGCCGCGACCAACTTGGGCTCCAGTTGCCGGAAATGCTCGCCGAACGTCCATCGACTGTCGAGGACCAGCCCTAGGTACTTCAGCCAGGGCTGAACAGAGATAAAAGTTCCTCCGACCACAATACACGCTCCCCTCGGCGGTCCCCTCCGAGGACCGTGGAAGGAAATGGCCTCGCACTTGTCAAGAGCCACCTCCAATCCCAGGGTACGAATCCGTCGCACGACTTGAGCCACACCCGCTGTTGCGACGATTGACGCCTCTCGATAAGATGAACCGTAAGCCGTGACCAGGGTGTCGTCTGCGTAACAAGTCACGCAGACACCGGGAACATTAGCTCCCCGTAACACCCAGTCGTAGCCGATGTTCCACAAGAGGGGGCCTAGGACAGACCCCTGTGGAACACCGCATGACATCGCCTTATAGACCCAACGGCCCCCCTGCGTGGGGTATACTATTTTGCGGCCCACAAAATAGTCCGCCACTACGACCTGCAGGTACTCGGGCACCCCGTGCCACCTCAGGCCTGCAAGTATTGTCTCCCAGGGAAGTGTGTTGAAGGCGTTGGAGATGTCTAGCGATACCGCTAGCAACACCCCACCCTGAGACACAGCCTCCTCAGCGAGCGACCTGACACGCAGGATTGCGTCGACCGTCGACCGGCCCTCTCTGAAGCCGAACTGGGTCTCGTGCAGACTTCTGCTCATCGACTGGACGAGACGAGCCGCGAGCACTCGCTCAAAGAGCTTACCCGCCTCGTCCAGGAGCACAATCGGCCGATATGCCGACGGTAGGACCTCGTCCCGGCCTGGTTTCCGTAGTAGGACCAGTTTCCCCACCTTCCAACAAGCCGGAAACCGGCCTCGGTCCAGGCACATGGAGAACACCTCACGTATCCATGCCTCCATTGCCTCAGACGCTATGTTCACCACCCGACCGGGAACTCCGTCCAAGCCCGGGGCGGTCCTCTTGCTCCGCAGCTTTGCACGCGCACGACACAGTTCCTCCTCGGATACCGCCGGACTACCGGACTCGTTTGGCGAGTTATCAGCCATAGCTGGAGGCGTCCAAGGCTCCCTTCGAGGAAACAACGCCTCCACCACCTCCTCCAGGAACTGTGGCTGAAGAGTGGTCGTGATCGGCTGGGTCCAAGGCCTGGATTTGGCCCTGATGACCTTGTAGGGCCGCCCCCACGGATCCCGATCCAGTGACTCTAGCCACTCGTTCCAGGCCGCCTCCTTGGCAGCGCTGATCCCCATCCGCAGAGCCTTGCGTGCAGTCCGGTACTCCTCGTATAGGACGTCCTCTCTCTGAACGTCCCGTACGCTCCTACGCCTGGCGCGGGCATGGCGACGGCGGGCGGTGACACACGCTCGACGCAAATCGCGGAGTTCGTCTCGCCACCAGTACACCCGGTGCCGTGGGGTGACCGGACGCGCTTTCGGCATCGAGGCTTCGCATATACGGACCAGCGCACCGCAGAACACGTCAACTTCGTGATCCAGGTTGTCGGACGATAACCTCCTGGACCACTCTTCCACGATGGCCGCTTCTTTGGCCAGGGAAATGTCCAGTTTTCCCAGCACCCATTTTCTTCCATCTCCAGTAGGGGAAGCTCCGACTTGTGACGTAGAAGACGCGGCCACCCTGAATCGGATATAGCGGTGATCCGACAGGGTTTCAGCGTCAACCACCACTGTCCAATCTGCGATACGGCGCGCCAGGGGGGCAGAGGCGAATGTGACGTCAACCACCGACCCTCCATTGTGACGTACACACGTCAACTCGCTTCCCCTGTTGAGGACCTCCAAACCGAGGCTTATAGCCCACTCCTCCAGTAAATTTCCCCGTGCGTTCGTCACCGCAGATCCCCACGCTCGAGATTTGGCGTTGAAATCCCCGGCGACTAGCACGGGGCAAGGGTGCACTCTGTTGACTAGAGCTCCCACCTCAACAAGAACTTGCTGAAAAGCAGTAAAGCCCTCGTTAGGGGAGCAGTACACCCCCACTACTGCAGTGCCGCCCACGCTAACCATCACATAACCTCGGCCCCTGGCTGTAAATATCAGAGGAGGGGCTCCGTTGACTCGCGATGCGACGATGGCCACTAGTCCCTCCGTATCCCCAACCCAGTCATCCCGAGGGGGCACGACGTATGGCTCAGCGACCACTGCGATCTGTGTTTGCCACTCCGCCATGGTCTGGACAAAAAGATCCTGGGCCCTGGCGCAGTGGTTTACGTTCGCTTGCAGTATTTCTAGATCCATGGATTAGGATGTATCCATGTCTCCTCTGCTGGAGGGCTTAGGGAGCCTTGCCCCCCCACTGCCCTTTTTCGCTGTCTGGGCTTTGAGGCAGCACCCTTCGGATCCGGCCACGTGTGTGGCTGGTTTTTCTAGTGCGGTACACGCCGCACACAGTTCGGATCGTTTTTGCAATCCCGTGCGAAATGACCCGGCTGTCCGCAGCGATAGCAGTGGCCCCGGGGAACTCCCTGGGCGACCTTGCACATGGCCGCTAAGTGTCCGGTCGCCAGGCACCGGAAACATTTCCGAGCCACCGGTGCCATTGCTGAAATGCGAGCGGAACTCCATCCGACGATGATCCGGCCCGCGTCAACCACTTTTTTGGCGGCTGCCGCTGGGACTCCCAGCAGGATAGCGCCCGACGCTGAGAGGGAACCTGCAACGATAAGCTCGGCGGGGCAGCCGCCCACCTGAGCAACCGTTGCCACTACCTCAGCCTGAGTAACGGACTCGTCCAGACCAGCGACTCGGATTGAAGTGCGCATCACTGGGCGGTGGATCTTCACTGCCTCGGGATTCACTACCTCCCTGAGCTTTTCAGCGAAGAGGTCTGCCTTCGCAGCAGAGCCCTCCCCACCGATCTCAAATATCCGAGCCCCGGTCTGCGCTTTCCTCCATTTTAAGGGCCCAAGACCCAGCGCCTGGACATCTACGCGTTGGCGTGCCTCCCTCAGCACCGCCTCATAGGTGGCGTTTTCTCCTGCCTCCGGGAGGATGGTGATAGCGACCGCCGCAGTCTTCGGCGGTTTGATCTTCACCGTCTTCTTCTTGGGGGGTGGTGGCGCCGTTTTTGGTTTTGGGGCGCTCTTCTTTCTAACCACCTGGCTCCAAGACGGAGCTTTGTTCTTCTCCGGGGCTTCTGTTGACGGAGACGCGTCTACGGGCTTTAGCGATGATCCCAGTGCAGCCTCAGTTGCGGCCATAGATGCCTTCTTGCGGACCTTCTTTGAATGGCCCTTTTCCCCCGCTACAGCCGGCAGTGCTGGAGCCAGAGGTCCAGGAGCCGTCGAGGTAGTGGCCGTCACCGCCGTCCTTCTTCCATCACTAGCTAGCGGAGGCCTGAGCCGGAGCTCTGGCATATTCGCACGGCCCAATGCTTCCACAACCTTACGGACAACTCTGTCTTCATCGAACTCCTGAGTAGAAGCTTTAACGCTTTGAACAAGTTGGGCAATCGTTGCGTCCATCTCCTCCAGACGCTTGCGTAGCTCAGCGTTCTCTTCTCGCAAGAGCTTGATCTCCTCATCCCGCTTTCCGCTTCCTCGCGTGGAGCAGGCCACTGCTTGGAGTCTCGCCTCTTTCTCTTGGGCCCTGGCCAGCTCTACTTTGGCACGGTGTAAGCCAACGTATTGGCCAGTAGAAGGAGGCCTTCCCCGCCCTCTTTTTGATTTGTGCGCCGCTCCTTTGATTGGAGCGACGCTCGCCTCAGTGGCCGTCTCTTCCGCCGTCTCGGGAGAGTTGAGCGCACTCCCGGCGGACCTTTTCCTCCACAGCCGACTGTCCGAAAGTGACTCCGCTGTCCGCACGCTACAGTCAGACATTTCCGAATCCGACAACCTCGGCACACGTACTCGGTAATCCTTTATTCCATAGCCTTTGTCCAACATGGAGCCACCCACAATCTTTGCGGGTGAAGCCCCATCACTGTCCATCTCAGTCACCACATCAACTCCGCCCGTCACAGACATCAAAGTCTAAAGTCAGTTGACCTTGGGCATATAACACAAACACAGTCAGAGCGTTTTTAAAACACGACACGACAGATAACCTTGAATGTTACGAACATTAGTCACGGACGCGACGCGATCGAACGACACGTCCGCCTTCGACGGCTGACGCGCAGCGACTTTTTCATACCATATTATATAATATAGAACAGTTGAACCCTTATTAAAGAATTTAATGAAATAAATTTAAAAATGTTAAACTTTATTTAATTATTTAAAAAAAGGACATTAACCATTGAGATGTAAATTTAAAACATGTCTGAAAATTAGTAGTACCCATTATCCAATACAGTCAAGTACATGCATGCATTACTTTTAAATTATTTCAAAGAGTAGTTTTATTATATAACTTTGATATCTTTCAGATTTGAGGTAATAATAGGTGTCCACAACTAACACAGCAATGTCTTCAAATACTTCTGGCAATGAGAAGCCTGGTGAAGGAATCCGTTCAATGCGCTCTACTAACGCATTTCGTGTTATCAACTTTGAATTATACGCGAAACCCGTAAGTTAATAACAAATCAATATTGTTCCTATCAAACAATCAAACAAGTTTAATAAATGTATCTGACTAAATACAAATAGAATTAATAGTTTTTGCCGTATTTAAAAATGAATGCACAGGAGTATCTAACTATCTACTTTTGTATAAAATTTAAATTTAACCTGTAACTTAAAGAAAGCAATACAAGTGAAATTAAATATTGGCTCATTAATTTTCGTCTGAATTGTTTTTCTATTTTTAGAAAATATTTTGGAGATATTTAAATTAAATCTTATCCTGTTTTCAGAATATCGTGATAATGAGCATTGGTGTGACATGTTTTGGACTCGCGTTGGGATATATTGCATACATGAGACAGAAATATGAATCCATGGGTTACTATGCTGCAGTCGATAAAGATGGAAAGGAAATATTTGAAAAAAAGAAATCCAAATGGGATTGATGTTAAAAAAAAATAGTACAACTGTTTGAATTAGATAATTTTATGTAAATAATGTAAAATAAATAGATATATAATTTTTTTATTACCTATTATTCAAAAGAAAAGTAAGATACGAGTTCAAATCTATACATATAATAAAATTGTAGAAAAGTGCTGTCTGTACATCTATACTAATATTATAAAGCTGAAGTGTTTGTTTGTTTGTTTTTTTGAAAGCGCTAATCTCCGAAACTACTGGTTCGAATTGAATAATTCTTTTTGTGTTGGATAGTCCAGTTATCGAGGAAGGTTGTGGGCTATATAACATCACGCCTCGACCAATAGGAGCAAAGACATAGTGGTAAATGTGTAAAAAACGGGAGAAATTATTTCATCTTTGAAGCCTTCCGTTGCGTGCGCCGTGAAAACGGTTCAAGATACACATAAAATATGTATTCAAGAATAATAGCTCTTTTAATGATTTAAAAAACAGTCCGCGACAGTGTATGTCCATCTTTTAAGATTAACTCCGAAAACCGTTTTTATGGTACCTAATTTGGTCGAAATAATTTGTTTAAGTTGTACAACATAATACATAATATTAACCTTTATTCAAATAAACAAATAAATGTGTTGTTGGTTAAGAGTACTTCATTGTGAATTAAAAAAAACATAGGTTATATCCTGAAAATTCTACGGGAACTCGACCATTCCGAAAACCCCGCAAGAAAGGGAACTATGTGGGAAGAACCAAAAATCTGCCGGAAGTCACTATTCCACGCGGACGAAGTCGCGGCAAAAGCTAGTTGAAATAAAAATAAAAAAAATAGCAGGGGTTATTGTTATGTCGATGTCGAACCCAAAAATGTAATTAACTTTTTTTGTCTGTTTGTCTGTTCACGCTAATCTCAGAAACGGCTGATCTGAGTTGGATGCGGTTTTCACGAATATATTGGGGTATACTTCAGTTATGCTTTAGTGTTTGTTTCATGTCAATCGGTTCATAAATATAAAAGTAATGTCAAATTAAAGAACTGAAGAACTGCGTTCAATATTTGATCGGGTGTGTCGATTGTATGTGACTCTGTCCCGTGTTAGCAATCCCAGCAGCCTGTATGCTTAATCACCCCCGATGGCCATACGTCTAATATTGTATACAGAGAAGCATTACAGTAAAGTAGGTTTTTTAGCTACCCAAAATGACTGATTATGATCCAAAAAAAAAAGTATATATTTAAAAAAAAATGCTGCTCATAGTCACTATTCCACGCGAACGAAGTCGCGGATACAACTAGTATTGCCGTTTGCTGTTTGCTATCGTATCATTAATAGTGACATAGATTTTGGTAAATATTTAAATATGATTAGTTTATAAAAGTTGTAATAACATCACAAGTACAAAGATTTGATTTTAGTAGTTAACGGTTGGATCTCTTTTGGAAAGTTTATTTTAAACAATTGTCTCATATAATCAAAGTTTGGTGAATTTTTGAAAGAAACGTGTACTCTACAGTTAGTGTAAAATGCTACAACTTATATTACTCTAGTGATTATAGTTGAATGCATACGAGTTTCCCCAGTCCCTTTTACTATTCCTATAGCGTCCTAGACATGAGATAGTGGTTTCGTTGTAATATATTGTATAGAAATGTTTTTCTTCAAACCAACCACCGTGTTTCACTTCCATACTATGTGAAAATGTTGTCAAAAATCAAAAACAAGTTTTTGATTAAAATTTATTAAAATGATAGGCAAGATATGTTTATTGTTCTGTCCAACATTTCGTTCAAGTCTTTTTTATATGATTATTAATATTGTAATTTTATGAGACTGTATATTGCGCTATTATATAAAGGTTTAGTGGTTGCCCTTGGTACTTATTTACATACTTGTCAAACGATGACAAGTGACAGTTGAATAATGTAAAGAGACTGTCGTCGTGTTATTATTTTTTCATATATTATTGTTGATAGTCTTGATGTTGTAAATAAGTAACATAGTGTTTATATGAGTATTTTAAGGAAATCAGCCTTAAAATGTTTTCCGCTCTTAAGAAATTGACGAGAAGTGGAGATGACCGGTGTCCAGCCCCAATGCCCATGTCCTCTTCATTGCAGAAAAAATTCTCTAGAGGAGTTCATTTTAATAGTAAATTGAATTAATATTTATGTTATTGTAGAAAAATATACAACTCTTATGACATCTTTTAAAGTTATAAAAAACTTACTATCTAACTTTTATTTCGTTTTAGTGAAAATATTGATCAAAGGAGATAGGAATGTGGGAAAATCATGTCTTCTACAACGTTTACAAGGCGGACCATTTACTGAAAAATATACTCCAACAGAACAAATACAAGTAGCACCCATTCATTGGACATACAAAAATACTGATTATATTGTAAAGGTATGTTTAACAGTAGCATTAATTTGTAAGTATTCAATTATTATTACATGTCTTTTCATTTTGCTGATAATTTTTAAATATAAGACAAGAACCAATAAATAAAAAGCTTAATTATTTTTAAATATCTATCACATCTCTACTGAAAATTGAGGATACACATTAGATATCGGTATAAATCAACTACCTGTTAATTACTTCTGCATCCTTAAAGTACAGAACCTAAAAAGAGTCACATGAAATGAATATGTGTATTTATTTGCAATTGTTACATATCTTACAAATTATTGTTGGACCCTTAGCCTATTAAAATTCAATAATACTCTTTGCTAAATAAATTTAAGTTTAAAGAAGTTCTAAATCCAGAGGAAACCATAAAATATATGGTGTATAAAAGTTACCTCAAATATAAGTAAACCAGTGTCTATTTTTAAAAAGATTTTTTTAAAGAAAAACCACTAAGAGACACTTTAACAGTAAAAGCTATAATTTTAATCTTATATTTAACAGTATATACATATTCGAAATTCGAATTAAGTAATTGATACCCTGTAATGTCAAGAATGGATGGAAATGGAATTTGAATTTTATTAAAATTTTATCTTGGCAATAGTCTACACCATTTACCAAAATGCAATGAATCAATGTAAACAAAATCATATATAAATAAAATGAAATATTAATCATCCAAAATTAATCACTGTATATGTGACTATCCATCTATAAAGGTAATATTATATACAAATTCAACTGTAGTTAGTTGGACTTAAGCGGAGCTTTGCATTTATGTGAGTGAAAGTAAAAGTAGAGTTAGACAAAAAACTTAGAATTCAATTTCATTATATTTTAAATTGATACATAACATAAATGTTATAAAATAAGCAAATCTTGTAAGAGGCCAGATGGAAATATTATGAATATTATGGGAAAAAAATTATTGATTAATAAAAATTTTGTAAAAACTATACAAATTCTTATTCACTTGACATTGCATTTTCAACATTTGATTTTGCTATCAGTACAAAGGGTGAAGTGCGGAAGGTGCGGGTCCAAGTAAAAGCAGTATAAACCGGTTCAAAACTAGAAAAGAATGTGGCATTCAAAAATTTGACATCATACCTACACCATCCGTGTGCACTCACACAAATGCAAAGCTCAGCTTAAATCAAACGCACTATACATATGTTTGTATATCTGTTCAGAAAAGCTTTTAATATTGCCTATATAATAATTTTTCTAATTTTAAAAATATGTTGCTGTTTGCAAAATGTTAGTATTTAAAAAAAAAAATAAACATTACAGGTTGAAGTTTGGGAAGTAGTTGATAAAGGCCGTGCAAAAAAGAAGCCACCTTTGGGTCTCAAGTTGGAGAACCAAACAGCTCCCGTTGAAACTGAAGAACAATATGAAACACCAGTACTGGATGCAACATTTCTAGATGTTTATAAGAATGCTAGTGGAGTTATATTAATGATGGACATTACAAAGCCATGGTAAGTATAAGATTACTTTAAAAATATAATTATTTTATATTGATTTATTGTACAGTAGGACCTCGATTATCCGGACTAATTGTTGTCGGTAGGCATCCGGATAATTGAAAGTCCGGATAATCCAATATATGAAGAAAAACGGGCTTTTTGCATATGTACATATGTAGTCTGTACCATACATATGTAATGTTAGGTGTTTATTTAAAACAACAAATACATATGAGCGAAAATCAACGTTTATTAAGAAATTGTACATAATGTACGTATAAGTGTTATATTATAAGTGGCGTGGCGTTATGCAAGTTCTGACATGTAAATCTATACATATAATAAAATTGTAGAAAAGTGCTGTCTGTACATTGAAAATAAAAATTAAAAAAATATCAGGGGTTATTGTTATGTCGATGTCGAACAAAAAAATGTAATTAACTTTTTTTTGTGTGTTTGTCTGTTCACGCTAATCTCAGAAACGGCTGATCCGAGTTGGATGAGGTTTTCACTAATTTATGATTTAGTGTTTGTTTCATGTCAATCGGTTCATAAATAAAAAAGTTATGTCAAATTAAAGAACTGAAGAACTGCGTTCAATATTCGACCGGGTGTGTCAATTGTATGTGGCTCTGTCCCGTGTTAGCAATCCCAGCAGCCTGTATGCTTTCACCCCCGATGGCCATACGTCTAATATTGTATATAGAGAAGCATTAGTAAAGTAGGTTTTTTAGCTACCCAAAATGACTGTGATTATGATCCAAAATAAAAATAAGTATATATTAAAAAAAACGCTGCTCATAGTCACTATTCCACGCGAACGAAGTCGCGGGCACAGCTAGTGTTAGAATAAACTCGTCGCGATTGGCAGTCCGGATAATCGCGAATTCGGATAACCGAGGTTCGGATAATCGGGGTCCTACTGTATATACTTTTGTTTGTACTTTTAGGACATATGAATATGTGGTGAAGGAGTTGTCTAACATACCAAAAGACCTGCCAGTGGTGATACTCGGCAATCATTGTGATATGCAGCATCATAGACAAGTGCATCCCCATCACATTGAACAGGCCTTGGAACATGCGAAATTAATAAGGTAAGATACATGACAACAATGATATTGTATTTTTTTATATGGACTTAGTTAAGAGTTGCTATATTACATAGAAGTTGTTATATTCTTCAGGAATTTGTTTTCGTTTACTTTTATAGAGCGGCGCCAATACGATATGCAGAATCATCAATGAGAAACGGCTTTGGCTTAAGACTGCTGCACAAGTTTCTGAGTGTTCCATTTTTGAAATTACAAAAAACCAGCCTTCTGGAACAACTCCAAAGAAATCAAAAAGATATGGAGGAAATTGAGAAGGAACTTGATGATTTTCAAGTGAGGTTACATAAATATTATACTAATTTAACTACAAACAATGTTATATAAAAAAATGTAAGACAAATGGTAGTATGAAACTCCCATTAACATAATAAATTACCATTACCATTTAGTTTGTAAGACCAAGATTTTATGTTTGTAGTTTGTTCAATTCCACTTTAGGATTTGTTTTCCTACCTCCAGTTTCAATTGAATAATAAAAACTTTCAGAACTCAGATGAATCCCGTTACGATCAGTTTGTGGAGCGTCTCGCCAGTAAACGTCGGCAGAACGACGATCCACCGCGGTTGATCGAACGTGCTCCGAGTATAGTGCTAGGAGCTGGGAAGCCCATCATACCACCAGGCGTTAACCCACTAGTATGTATTAAAAATACTTTATATATATACTAGCTGCGCCCCGCGGAGTTACCCGCGGATTTCCGGGATGTAAAGTAGCCTATATGTTATTCCTGGACATCAGCTTCCTGTATACAAAATAATATCAAATTCGGTTCAGCCGTTTGAGCGTGAAGAAGTAACAAACATACACACACACAAACTTTCGCAATAATAATATTAGTAGGATCAGTCCCAACTAGGTAGGGAGGGAAAAAAAAATCAGTTTATGTACTATCAAAAAAGGCATTAAACCTAAAGATGTTCGGAAGCTACCCTCACCTAATATGTGCAATAGGATATTATATACACAATAATATATAAAATTAGGTAGACATTTTATATCAAATAGTAAACTTTTAAGTTTCATTTATTTATCAACTCTTTCACTAGCTTTTCTGACATGTTTTGATTACTTTTACTATTATTTTTGATTACTATTACAATTTCTTAATGTATCAAATAGTGAATATGTAAAGAAATAACTAAACAATCACTGTAACTGAAAGGTCTTGTTAAAATGAAATGTACATGAGTATACACAGTATTTTTTATTAATAAATGGAATATCTGAAATGAGATGCAGAGTATTTGACATTGGTTACTTCAGTACTGCTTTCATTTCTTTAATTACCCAAGTAAGTTTGTATTTTTTGTTGCAGTTAGCACAATCTATTAATCCTACAATCGTTAAGCCGCCATCAAATGAAAGTACATCGACAACACAATCTCAATATGTAAGTCCGGAATTAATGAGGCCTAAACCTCCTGTCAGCATGGAAATGACTCCTTCGAAAGTTCAAGATAGGTAAGATCTTTTGAGCCCTGTGTAAACATTACATATGTAGATATGTGTACTTATTAATGAAAATTAAATATTAATTAATAATTATTTTTCAAAAGCGTTCCAAGTACACCCATCACAAATGCGTCTATGGGATCATCTGGCGCGTTAGAAGAGTTCTATGCAGGCACTCTTGATAGCAGTTTTCTAGAAGATCTACAACCTATGAATAGTAACAGTCAAGAAATTACCTACGACACTGATAGGTAACAAAATATGTTTTACAGAAACCATATTATATGGAAAGTATTTTGAAATAACCATATTTCCCTTATTTGCAGTGATGATGACAATAAAATCAATCCTAAAGTGATTGTTGATGAAGATGACTTAGAACTTGATTATAGCCCACCAGTCCTACAAACTGTTCCTAGGAAAACAAGTGCTGAAGAGATAAAGAGAGATATTAATAGAGAAACAGAAGACTTTGAAAAGATGTTTATTAGTCAAGCGACCATCAGTAAGGAAGTCAAATATAATGAACATGATTTTTCTATATTGGATGATGGTTTAAATAATATGAGTAGTGATTACCCATTGTGGGCTGGAGATGCAACTGTTAGACGATCTCCAGAAGGTAACATCATATTATTTATAATTAATAGTCCTTCAAATAGCTTGAAACTAAAATGTAATTGTCAACAGGTGGTGAGGATCCAGATAATTCTAAAGAGCCTGATGTTAAGGTAGGAATATTTTTGTTATTAAATACATTAATTAATTATGAATAATATTTTCACAATATTTTTATGCAGGCGGAGAAGAAACACAAAAAGAAAAAGTCTAAAGACAAAGACAAGGGTGACTACAGTGATAAGTCTGATAGAAAGGAAAAGAAACATAAACATAAAAAATCCAAAGGAGAAAAACCGAACCCTCAAAGAGATTTACTGGAGCCATCCGTCACGACAGACTTTAATTATGAAGAATATGATAGTATTTAAATTATAATCGTTTTGATAGATTATATAACAGAAATTATTATATTATAATGAACGTTTTTTACCTTTCCTTTATATGGATCACATATAAAACGGTAATTAATGTACAATATATTATATTGTGAAGGATATTTAATTATCTCTTCAAAAGATATCTATTTATATATATATACTAATATGTATTAATTATATGAGCTTTAGATGTTGCTAGATGCTTAATGTGGAATTATATTAAACGATATGACTTGAAAAATGTATGCACTAGTTTTAAAAAGACCTTGCCAGTTAATTTAAAAGAAAAATTATTTCGAATATTAATGAAGATTTATAACTCGTACCTTGAACACGTCGCCATATTTAAATATCGAGATTTGATAATATTGTTGAGTAGTTAAGTTATTTTACTTTTTCAATGAAAAAACAATTTTACATAGTAAATATAAATATAATTAACTATAAATAAATAAATATAAGTTATGTTACAGTCTTATTTACGTTATATTATGTATATTGTCTATTATAAATGTTCGTGTCTTGATGTCGTACATCTTTGCATTTGCATGCAATTACCTATAAAATAATTATAATGGAATTTGCAGATGCTTTAAAGTGAATTTCGTGTTATTAACAACTATATAAACAATATATATGTAAAAATACGGTAATGAGCCATGGTAGGATTATTTTTATTATAATTTTTATTAATAGTTGCGCTGCTTCATTGTGGGTTGAATAAACACTTTAAAAAATTACTTAAAAAAATCAAATATACTTTATTTCCTTTCAAACAATTGTTATATGATACTATCTCTTTATTTCTTACTGTCGCTAGTTTGAAAGAGATTCAAACTTAAAATAAAAACATATAAATGCAAATTGAAATTGTTTTTTATATAAATATATTCTAGTCATTGATAAAGTATAGTAACTGATGTCTCCCAAACAACTTCCTTCTACATGAATTTTATATTAATCATTATCTTACAGTTACAATGATATTTACTTTTTCTTTGCTATATTTGACGATGGCGTTGTGTAGAAAGCTTTTTAAATTCTTTGAATAAATCAAAATTTATTAATATAATATGAGAGTGGATTACAGAAGTGTTAACATCACATTAATGCTGATGTAAATGTGATCGATCTGAAATTTTATATATCAAATTTTTTATTAATATGTAATAAATGTTATGGCTTGTTATAGAAATAAACCATTTTTTTACAGCTTTACTAGTTTCATTCCTTTAAAATTTCTTTTATTATCTGTGTTTGATTACCTTTACTATTCGGTTTTAGCGCAATTTAAACACAAATCGAATGATAAGTCAATCAGTGAGTGACAGAAAAAAAACATTTGAGTTAGAAGTGCAACAAGTTATATCGAAAAGTTAAAACTTATTACAAATGGAAGGAAAACGGGGAATGGAGGAACGTTAATGACGGGTGTAATATTGGTTTCAACATAAGAGTTTTAATAAATAGATTACAATCTATTCAAAATGTAAATATACAACCACATCGATATTTTATTGGTTAGATTATAAAAATTGGACCACTTGTGTGAAGTCCACGCAGTAATGTAACAATATTACAAACAAAAATCTCTACATAACAGAACTTACAGATATTAGTCAACTTTATTTTATACATTCTATAGTACACGATTATTTAACATTAATATTTACCTAATATTATATTTTATACATTCTATGTATAGTAGATAATATTCTCCAATTTGTAATAAGTTAAATAAAACTATAAAATATTCTCTTCAGTTACAGTATAGGCATTCAATAAGGCTAATGTAGGTAATGAAAACAATATTTGGTGATTTCGCGGTTCTCTTTGAATACAAATAATTAATTGAATATAATTTTTTTCTTACAAAGCACTTTGTACTTGACATTACATTTTAAATTAAATATTGAAGTTTCGAAATAAACGTTTTGTATCTAACGCGGTCTTAAAATTATATTTTAAATCATGATAATTTGGCTGATATTTACTTTATATAAAAAAATAATATTAAAATATATAAAACAATACAAAATGATCGATATATTAAAATAATATAATAGCACTTAGAAAATATAATTTCATTAATTCCACAAAAAAAGCTACGTCAGAAATTGTACTTATGATGACCTAGCAAAGGATAAAAATGAATTATAACACAAAAGTCAACTAAGTAAATACATTACATAACCAATACATTGTGACATATAGATGTAAAGATAAATCTTTAATGATACATTTGGTTTAATTAAATTACGTTATTTATTAACAGGTATCAGCTACATAAAATTAATACTAAAGCAAAAAATCCGATATCAATTCGTTAACAAATTAATTATATATACATATTCAATATAACTAGTCCTAAAGAAACCGATAGGTCACCAGCCGTTAAACCTGTACATAAATAACAGAAATTCAATATATACCGAATTTAGATTTAAACATACATAAATATTTTAATATCAGCAACATTAGCGAACACTCAATAGCTGCTCAAAGTATCACTTCGAGCACTGGTCATACTCGTGCATTGTCAACAATATTAACAGTCGAAGTATAAAGCGATTGAAACTTCATGTTAAGGGAATTTAATCTCATAACAATGTAAAGGAAGTTTTTTAAATTATATATAATCTATCAGAGGAATGTTGATTCTATTGACACCGCGGCAAACGTCAGTGTTGCGATGTATGCTTATCTGTCAATTCATGCCACAGGTATTGTACAATGTTTCAAGATTAAATAAATGACAAATGACAGGGTCATAATTTATCTGCCATCATAAGACAGATATATAAAAAAATAAAATAGAACATATTAATAGGCCACATTTGTTAAAAAATTTCATTCCATCATACATAAATTTAGGCAGTCAATCTATCCAACCTGTCTCTTGAATTTTCTGATAGCATACAGAAAACGGTACAAAACAATATTTGGCTTGAATTAATAAATTTATTACCTATTTCATTTATTATGACTATTAATATTCACCGAAGTACAACATACTGAGAACATACTAGCACTCGGATAAAAAACAACGTTATCTACCTTTAATGATTTCTCTAACTTCTAATATAATTATCTGTATCTCTCATAAACTATGGGCTGCAAAATAATTTGAATGCACTTAGCTTCCTTATACTTAAGAACTAACTAGATAATCTTATTTACAATTTCTAACAATAATTGTTCAAAACTATAATTACATCACCCAGAACTGAACACGCGAGTCTCGTCACCGTACGCGTCAGTCCACTCGCGAGGGCTCAGAGAAGCTCTCCTCCAAGTAACTCTGGAGCGTATGCGACGGATGACCGAGATGGCCGCTCAAAGAATCGAAGCTCACTGTTTGCTCTACGAAAGTATTGTGCACTTGATTCGGTGGCTCCACTCGGAACTGTCCAAACGTCCAGGGGTCACTAGGGTCGGTGGACCTTCGTAAGGTGCTATCGAAAGGAGTCAGGTCGTTCCAGGGTTGGGGGGGCGGCGTGGTGAGCATCGTGGACACGTTGTCGCGCGACTGCGACATGGGCGACTGCAGCGCCGGCTCCGTGTTGAACGAACCGCTCCCCCAGACGAGAGAGTCGATAGCGGACGTCGGTGTACCCATGTGGTTGAAACCCCACGAGTTCGGTATTTCAGGCGGTGGGACACTCTGTGGAACTTCGGTGACCTTGGACACTTGCCGTCCGTACATATCCTGCGTTCGTCCACTCAGATGCGGTCGAGACACGTGACCTCCATCCGGGCTCGGTAAATGACAGTCGGGTCTCATCATAGGGCTGTACTTGCCTACTCCGGGGCTCTTTTTGTTGTTGTAATTATTTTCCACGCTCGGTCTCGGTGAGTATGGACTCTGGTGTTGCTGTCGTGACATTGGACTATACTGACCGGGCGTTTTGTTAGGGTTATTTCGAAGACCATCATTTTTGACGCCCAGGCCGGGATCTGGACTGGTGTGTGTGGAGGGATGTGGTGAGAAGGGCGCATGGTGTTTTGGCATTGGACTAAAGTTGCCGGTGTTCCACCCGCCAGTCTTTTGGTGTTCCGCTTTAACTATTTGACTGGTGTCGGGGCTCGGTTGAGCAGAGTAGGGGCTAGGTTGAGACGAATACGGACTGGGCTGTGTGGAGTAGGGGCTGGGCTGGGTCGAGTACGGACTGGGCTGAGCAGGACTCGGTTGAGCTGAGTAAGGACTTCTTTGAGACGAAAACTGGCTGTCCTGTCGTGGCATGGGGCTATAGCTACCGTAATTCCAATTATTAGGATGTTTTATATCTTGCTCTTTATGTTTCATACCTAATGTCTCCGGACTCGGCTTGTTCTCTAAAGAAGTCGTTGGACTACATTGCTCTACTATTTTGCTATGTCTTAATTTCGAATGACTATCTAACCGATTGATTGGACTCGCCTCAGACTTTTGAGTGGGTGTGCTTTTAAACTGTCCTAGACTCCATGAGTGGTTACTTTTAACCGAATCTCGTTGGATATCAGGACTACTAGGGACTTGACTATCAGGTTTTTGGACTGGACTAAAGTGAGGACTACCTATATCAGACTTAGTTGGTTCCGACCGTGGAGTTGAAGAAGAATCTGGCTTCGATTGAGCGAGGGGGCTAGACAAATTGGGAGTGGTCGAGCCTCTAGAAAGTAAATGCGATGTATCGTTTTCTAAAATATTTTTCGACTGTTCTAGAATCTTATTGCTAGGAGAAGACTTAATTGGTGTATCGTTAGAGGTACGTTTGTCAGACATATTCCCTGAATCGGATACACTTTTCGGTTCTTGAAATACACCCGCGGAAGACTTATCTGTAGATTTTATAACACTTTTACTACCTGAACTTTCGGAGGTATCATCTTTTGGGGAAGCCTTTTTATCATCACATTTTACTTCAGCCTTTGTCTTCTTTTTCTTTGATTCCTCACTTTTGTTCTCTTTGGTCTTTACTTTCTCCGGGTCTAAACTATCTTTCAGGTCTTGAAGTTCTTTTCCTGTATAAAGACGTTTCATGCCTCTCGGCAAAGCCCGACATGAACTTAGATTTAAAGACTCTAGGTGGGGACACTTTAACAGCACTTTTTTGACGGCCTCGAAAGAAACCGATGATCCACATAAATTGAGTATTCTGAAAACAAAAATACGAATATATATGAACGCTCAAAATCAAGAAGATTAATGTTTTTAAACAGACAATAAAAATAATAATAATGACTCGCAAATAAAGTGACAATTTTACAAAAAATTGTTTAAAAAATATTGACATTTCCAAAATCATAGTGTGAGTGAGTGGCAACCATCAATTTATTATTATAGTATTGAAAAATGTACAGTACCTTAGTTTGCTACTTGGTGCATCGGCGAGTGCGCACACGGCGTCGTGGAGGACTTTAGCAGCGGACGCCCACGACAGGTCCAGCTCTAACAAACTGTGAGACCACTTCTCACAGATCAACTCCAGACACGCGTTTGTTTGACGGAGCACATTGCAACCTGGTACGTATTGTCAATAATAATTATCCGTCACAATATCAACGGTATACAAAAGTATAGTATACTAGAAGACCTGGCGAACTTCGTATCGCCCTATAATCAAGAAATATCTATTACGTTTTTTTATTTATATTTTTGGAGTTTACCTGGAAGCCATAAATCTCCGTGTTTTGAAGTGCGACAGAATGATTGACATATTAGTTAGTTGTCAAATCTAATGTCAAAAAAAACGTTTGTGTGGGAAATAGAAAAGGGCTGTTTTTATGGTTTTCCCAGTAATGAATCATTTTTTTCTCAGCTTTTATACCTTCCCTGAACCTCCACGAACATTTCAAGACTAAGATAAGATAAATCCGTTCAGCTGTTCTTGAGTTTTAGCGAGACTAAGGAACAGCCATCCATTTTTATATATATAGAAGAAGAAGATTATTCAAGGTTAGGATGCATAAATATACGTTATTTAACAAAAAAAGTGTTGCGTATAGCAATTTTTAAGTACATCATTGTGATCCAGTACATATGTTTCATGAACATAATTGAAAAAAATGCCAATAAGAAAAACGTACCTCCAAGGAATAAATGCTGAAGGTCCCATGCGGGGACCCGCACGAGGCCTGAGTCCGTGAGTCGTTGTAGGCCTCGCAGGTCCAGCAGTCTGAGTCTGGTAGCAGCCCTCACTAGCCGGCCGAGGGCTTCGTCTCCTAGCCGGTACTCGCCTACCGCGGTTCTCTCCTCAGCAGCACTACACGCAACTGATACTTCCTCTAATAGAGTCCAACCTCCGGCTTCCATCTACAATACCAACGATAACTTTCGTAAAATTTTACGAAATAAAGATTTTTATACATGGATAATAAATTAAATTTCAAAGTATAAATTAATTTGTTACCATCTTTGTTTTTTCTTTCCAATACTTTTGAAGGAAAGTTTAACTACATTAACATGGCATATCTTAACAATGACTTTTCGATTACAAATAATCATAATATACCACACTCATATAAGCTCAAAACTTTTCGGTCATTTGTTTGATATATTTACAAACTATATGATTACAACCCGAATTATTTGTACCTGTTGCGATGTTGTAGCGGAGGCCAGTACTAGCTGAGCGTTCGCCGCTCTAAAGACTCTCATCTTAGGGCATCCTTTCTGCAACGCCTCTAGCGGTATGGGCGCCGGATGTGACGTCGCTAGAGCCCCTGATATATCTAACACTTCGAGATTCGGACAGTGAGCCTGTTTATTTAAGAATATTTGTATTATTTATTCAATTACATTGTCATATACGTATTGGATGGTTTAGATTGTATATAATTATAATCATATTAATGGAGATTAGTTACATCATAAAATAATTATTCATATAATTTTTCTAATCTTTTATATGCGTTTTTTCTTATTTTTAATATGCATTTTTTTTCAACTAAATAGATATAAAAAATATATATATAAAATGTTTCTTTTAGAGATCTGTATTATAGGGAGTATGTAGTTTAAAGTTAAAAATAAAAATGCGAATAAATGCGAAAATATTAGTTTCATTTAAATGAGTAGTCGCGAAATTCTTAGATCACATTATCTGTATTATAGATACATCATAATTTACGTCCACTGTTTGAACCTGAACTATTTTTATTGGTTATACTCACAGCTACTGATGATAGTATTTGCGGTAGAGCGGAGAACTTATTGTTAGCTAGCGTGAGGTGTGTGAGACGATCGCCGAAGTTGCTGGCGATGCGAGCCATAGACGCTGCTGAGAGACAAGTACTGGAACCACCGGTCTCAGACTGGGGGTAAAACAAATATCACAGGTTAGGGACGTTATGACGTATCATAGTATTATGATATACATATTAGTTATAAAGTTCTCATACTAGTATAATGCACAGTTAGGTTTAAAGTAAATATCTATTATGTATATTAAAATAAATAAACTAAAATGTGTAAAAACTCATCATAGCTAAAAGAATAAGTTTGAACTTGTATTTTTTTATCATTTTATCCTTAACTTGAATTTAAAAAAAAATCTTTGTCGTTCGCCTAATTTATACCTTTGGGTGGTTTATTATTTTGTAAACCATTATTAATTGAAATTATTTTAATAAATTACTGTAATAATCATTATTATTTACTCTAGCCAGCAGGCGCGCAAAATACCCACTCCCCGCGTAGGGAGAAGGTAACAAACATACGAACCAACAAACTAGTGAAGCTTTATAAGAACCGTGTAAAATAGGAAATCGACAACACATGACATTCAAAAGTTAAAATTAACTCAATCAACAATACAGAGTAACACCTAAATGTTAATGTCTCTGTTAGTTTATACATATAAGAAAAAAATACTACTTATAATCTAATTTCGAAGCAGCAGTCACTTTAAGCCACTACAATGAGACATCAATAATAAATGGCAATACACAAAACAAATATGCAAGCCATCAAGAACAAGAAAAAACATCGACGTGTTAAGAAAAATATCATAGCTAGATATAAATTTAATAGAAAAATTTAAAAAAAAATTGGCCGACTAAGAAATAGGTGAAAATTATTGTCTGATGAGACCAATATTAATAAAGCACAGAAAGTCGAATATGGAATTAGAAAAATATGACAGAACCATAACAAGCAAAAATTTATACGAACAATGAAACATAGTGGTCGCAATAATTGTGTTGATTTGGAATAATATAAGTAAATTAAGGAAATATTAATGACAAAATGCATTGCAACATTCATCAGACACATTTGTCCTGTATAATTCATAAATTTTTTGTGGTTCCACTCTAGTATGTGGGAAACTTGTAAATGTATGGAAAACAGATTGCATGCTGTTAAAATTAATACTTAGATAAATAGTGATAAAGTTACCCAATCATATTTGCAGTAATCATGAGAAAAAACTTAAGTCTATTACATCTTCATTATCAGAGTAAGTAATTAATATAGTTTTAAATTACATATTATATATTTAATTGACTGACATTCTTTTAATTATTCTATATATAGATGTAAGGTACTAATTACTTTTTAGAACTAAATTTATATATAAAAATTTTAACTTTATTAACAGGGAATGGTCTTATGATCAGTCAATAGCTTGATATTGGTTGTAACTTGTATGCACCAGTACCATTATAACAACTGTATTACATAATTCCATATATGATAGTACCGTCAAGGAGAGATCTAGTCGTTGCAGTTGTGGGAGTCCCTGTAGAAGGTCGAACAGCTGATCCGGTGTGATACGACTCCAGCCAGCCACACTCAGCTCGACCAGACCAGGACAGTAGTCCACAACACATGCTAACACCCAGGACACATTACACACCTTCCATTGAGCTGAAATATATCATACAGATTATATAACATATCATAGATATACATATTAAGATAATTAGGAATTGAGCTCCTTATCTCAATACTTTAAATATGGAGACATTTTGTTGTATTTGTATTATAATTATGTTTATAAGAACAATCACATGATTTTTACAATTATTTTCAAAAATCATCTAGTTATTCGTAAAATGTCTAATTATCTATTTAATATATTTAAAATTTTTGTTTTATAGAAATTCATTAAAATAAGGCACTATAGTTTGTAAACATTTTTAAAACAAATTAGTAACTATTAAAAACATACAAGAAATTCTTAAATATTAAAACGTCATAAACATAAAAATTAAATATAATTAAAAAGTAATTTAAACGAAGTAACTAATTAACATATATTCCGCTCGTGATATAACAGCTGACATAAATAGTAATCATTCAATACTCACCAATATTTAAACTGTGACAAAGAGATAAACGATTTTCGAGAAGCCAGACCAGTTTGTAGTCAGTTTTACATTTTTCAACAGTATATTGTGCAAGGTCCACATTCTTCCACAACTCTGGCCTACAGCTGACGGTGTGCCATAATTTACAAACCCTGCTCAATCTGAAAATATTTATATATTTTTTTTATTCACTACAAGCAAGCAATGTTTTTTATATATTTTTGAGGTTAAGCTTTTTTATGAGAAAACATCTTTTGGCTAAACGCTTATCATAAAGTTATAAATACATATTTATTATGTACACCGAAATTGCAATTATAATAAGTTTTATGGTTTTATTACGACGTTCGTTAAATAAGGTAAAGTTAAAATTACATTGCAAATTAATTTATATATAATATACGTAGTTCGAATGAAAAAATATCATATTCGATTCCACTGATTTATAGATTACTGTCTTAAATTACATATATTTATTGTCAAATCCTTACCTTACAATACCAGGTAAGCTACCCTGCTGTACAACATATTCAAATATTTTCACTAATATCTCCTCAGGCATGGAATGTGCCCACGGACTTTGTGGTTTACTCCCTTTATCCACAGCACTACCTCTAGTTCTTTCAGTCTTTTGAGCTTTATCTATAACGATATGAAATATACACATAAAAAAAGTTATAAAATATTTAGTATACCATTTAAGACCGTTTGGCATACCTTTAGTTTTTGAGTTATTATTATTGGACTTTTTGACCTTCGCCCTTGGTTGCCTTGATTTTGTAGCTGCGACACTCATAACGGCGGCCGTGTCACCTCGCGTGGGGTCATATTCCTCACCAGAACTAGCACTCACCGCCGGTGACACCGCACGCTTCTTCTTGGACCTCCTCTGACCGATATCAGCTATTGATACTGGGGCTGGAGTTATCTGAAGATTTAATGATACATTTTATAGTACTTACGTGTTATTATACTTCTTTCAAAAGTAATATCCGACCTAAATTATGCCGTAAATTAAAGTATATAAGAATTCCTGTTAGAATTCTAATAGGATATGACCAAATTGGTATATATATCTATATTTATATATTATATAACACACAATATATTCTTTATTGGAAATTTTAATCAGGAAATACAATTATCAAGTTATTAAGTATATAGTTATCTGATAATTGTGAGAGTATGAATAAAGTGATTTTTTTCTGAGTTTACAAAAAAAAATGTTATTACAATAAAAAAAATTAAGCTGTTCATATTAATTTACGAAATGTCACACAACAAATTTTATTTAGATTTTTGAAATAAAATTCAATATGGACACATATACATTTAAATATTTTTGCATTTGTTAAAGTTGATTAAGTTTTTATTGTACCTACTTAAATCAGAGATATTTTTATGTAGTGCAAAAACTTTAATGAATTGTTGAAATTCTTTCATAAACATAAAATAATGTTTCAATTTGATATCTTGATCAGAATTGCAGCGATAGTAGGGACTATTCATTGCTTTTAAAATTAATAAAGTAGATAAATTAAGCTAAATAAAAAAGGTTTATCAAGATGCCCTAAGTATCTGAATATGAGTGCATGGGTAACTTGCACATACTAAAATATAGAAGTGAAATTGCTTAAAATTTCAGTAACAAGATATACGAAAGGTTGGTACAGAATTTAAGTGTATATTATAAAATAAATACCTTTTCATGGAAACTGTTAATACACCTATTTAGTTGCAAAAATATTAATGTGTCCACTTGTATGTCCAGGACAGATCATAAACATAATATTATCAGACATATTTTGAGAAGATACAATGCTTTAAGCGACATAGTAACATATTACAAGAATTTAATATAGAAGTTACCAACATCACATTAAAACCACATATCAATGTGTTAGCACCATAGGTATAATGGTTAGTTTTATTGTGTGGTTGTCGTAGGTATACTTGTGGCCTAAAAGGATTGTACATATGGATTTTAAATTATTGAATGAAGTTAACTGATCCATATACATAACTTTCTTATCCAATTATTAGTTTACAAGAAAGTTAGTTAAAATTATAAATGTTTTTGCCATGTCTCGTAATTGTTCAGAAAGTTATTTTGTAAATAATGCTTACTCTCTTTTCACTCTGTATTGGAATATTAATTTTTTAGTCTCTATTACTTTCTATTTCTTTCAAGTCTTTGAAAGTAAAAAGTATCATGAATTATAATAAATACATAGTAGAGATTAACTCCATTTAGTTTAAGACCGGAAAACAAATAATCATATTATGTTTTATTTTTATGTTGTATAACTAATTTTGTTATACGAAATATATATAATTAGTATGAGATTACATATTATATACTATCTTAAACAAACATGAAATTGACCTAAATATTTTCAATCTTATTTTATACAAACCATATCTTTCAAAGAATTTATGAAATTAAAATAATATATGACGTTATGATAATATTTTTAAATTTATTCTGATTCTTCATAGTTTTACTTTAATAAATTATGAATTGCCAGTCAATACTAGAATAAATAATTTATTCAGTACTAAGTAAGTCAAGATTTTCCTATTTGACTCGGTTTTTTAGCAATGTTCATATTTATAAGGAAAGGAAGAAAGAAAATAAAACATATTGTTGTAGCAAATAATAAAAGTTTTTAACTAAACATTTAAAATGTATGTATCCCAGAACTACATACTGTATGGTTACTTGAAACTTGTTTGTTTTTAAAATGAAATCTTTATTAGACTTAAGTCTTGCTCTTAAAGTTTAAAGTTATGATAGAATTAAACTTCCTATGATAAATTTGATAATTAATTCATTAAGTAATTACTTATTAATCATGTAAAAAGGAAATATTATGAAAACAAAAATAATTCAGTTATATAATGTTTGAAGTAAAGAGGCATTCAGCTATTCTAACATTTATTTCTAAAATGTCTTTAGTGAACCCTAAATTTTTTTTGTTCAAACTTATTGATAATTATAATTGAATATTATTTGAATTTAAAAGAGTAAATAATACTTTCAATCAGATCCTTTCCTTCATCTATATGGTGAATAGCGAACACTATTTTTATGGTTTATAATTTTTAATTTAACATTCTTCAATAAAAACTCCACTTAACATACACAATATTTAAGATTAAGTGAAAGTATTTTAACACGCCTTGCCCTTTACATTCATGATCCATGATATAACAAAATATTTTTTGGAATATATGTAAATATAAGTTTATTTTTAGTTTCTGAGTTCTTACTTAGTATGTAATAATATTATGGTTTATTAACTCTTACCACATCCTGAATGCTTGTCCTTCTAATTTTAATCTTTAGTTTAGTACTAGTATCCACTATCTGGCTTTGATATGTGGGGGGAGTGACTTCAGACTTCTTGGATTTCTTTTTGCTTCGGGAGCTACAGAATCCCAACATGGAACGAGGTTTACCACTACAAGGTATCACTATACGAGTCCTTTGTTCCTTTGACGATTCCTTAGATTTACTCTTTTTTGTTGATAATTGACTAAGTTCATGACTGTAAGGTTTACCACTTTGTCGTGATATTAACGGTAACTTTACACTACTCTTTAACACTTCATCCTCAGAACTATCACTTTCATCTTCCTCTACTTCACCTTCATCACCGTCCTGATACTCACTACTACTCACTAAGTTTAAGTTTTTGCCACCTTTCACTTTCGTCACTATACTATTTTTTGAAGGTGTCCATTTACGAGAGTCATGAGAACTCTTTTTCCTCTTCTTCTCCTTAGGTGGACACCCATTATGCGTCGTATAGTCTGAATCACGTTTGGAGTGCTGCTTATGTTTCCTGTGGCGAGGCCGTGTCGGGGACGGCAGCGCTCCATTAACCACCTGCATCTTCTGTTGAGCAATGTCATCAATGCTCTTCTCGAAGTCAGTCTCCAGTTTTACACAAGATACAGCTTCGAGCTCGTCTTGTGCAGTCTCAGATTCTGTATCTGAATCGGAGGTTCCTTTCAGCAAGCGAATTTCTGGAAAGAGATCCTTGCGTACCGAGAGCCTCATAGCAGGCTCAGCAGCATCGTAGCCGCCGTTTACGGGACTCGAACGGCCCGACATACCGCCCGCCTCCCGCCGCCCTCGCGTACCACTTCTACAAACCGCTCACCGTCACCTGTCCGTCGTGAAGTAAACAATCAGTTTGACACATCACATTTTCACTTTTGATACAGTGGCAAATACGAATAATTAAACGTAAGCACGATCACGTCTTGTTGTCGATAATCGACGTAACGACCATAATTACATTTTTTAACTCGCACTTCTTGAGACAATCCAAAGCATCTTTTTTTCTTTACGTATTCGCATTTTAGGTCATCCATGTTCATGTAACGTTGTGATTGCGAAAAACAAAGTATATATCATTTTTGCAGACACCAACACTAAATCTTTACTAAGGACAGACTAAATACTGTAACTCTGTGTGTATATACCAATTCTTAATTATTTTTGTCGACTACAAGTTGATGAAAACTGTTGACCTTGTTAAAAGCTTATTAGGTTTCAAATTTTAGTCAACAGATGCAGACATTGTCACAAAGGTTGTTCTTGGTTGTTGTGAATACAGTGTCTTTGAAAAGGCGTACATAACATTTGTTATGATATAATATTTGTTTTTACCATATACTGATATGGTATTAATTAACTTGAACTAACATATATTTTATTTATTATTATGTAAAAGGTGCTAATTTATTAATAAACGTAAATAAATATTAAACCTAAAAGAAATATTTTTGTACGCCGTAACAAACATAGCTTTTGTGTCAACACAATGACAAAAGTGAACTTAAATTTGGTAACACTGCAAGTCAAATATAGCCAATAGCAACACGTCTTGACTTTTCTTGAAGTATATTATTGGTGAAGGTTTTGAGGTTATAGATTTTATCCAATGAAACATTCGTAAATTGAGAAATTATTTAATTGCGCACAATACAAACTTGCTGTGTAGCTAGGCAATATGTTTAACAGACTCTAAATATAAATCAGAGATGGCAGCACTTATATGTTTAACAGAAATTCAATACAATATTGAAAGGATTATATTTTTTGTTGTTTCTCTTAACGTTAGGGCTTGTACTTTTTGCTCTTAATTATACCGCATTGCTCTTAGAATGATGTGATCGCGTTGTAACATTATTGTTAAACAAATGTTTAAGGTTTTGACCTCTGTAAAAGTATTGTAATGTGTTCTATCTATGACGCGTGTGTCCTATGTACTGTGTGTGATAATGATAACCTACACGCTCTTTCTGTAGCCAGTATATAAGCGGTGAGTCATATTTAAATTTATTTGCTGTATCGATGATCTCATAATATTGTAGGTATACTTTGCTAACATCATTGCCATGATTAGTACGATGGATACGATTTGGTTTTTATCATAATGCGCAATAGTAACACAATGAAAGGTTGTGTGTTTTGTCAAAACGAAAACCATGGAAAATAAGACTCATCGCTGAAATTGAAATGAAAAGTGGTCTAATTGTTAGTTCAGGATTGTATTCAAAAAAATAATCAATGCAATCAATTTAGCTATTAAAAATACACATGATTATTTATAAGACCAACGATTTACACAGACAGTTTGATAATCAATAACATGTATCCAATTTTCATGAATCGTCTTTTAATGTCTTTTGTTCTGTAGAAACTAATGTGTTATCAAATACAGTAGTTTTCCATTCACCTATTGTAATAAATAAAATAATAAATATGTTATGTGTTTTTAGCTTTCAAACGTAAGAAATGTTGCCAGGACGTAATAAATATACGTATAAAGGCCAAAAATGTGCGATGTTATTTAAATTAATATTTTAAAGAAAGTATTTTGTCCTTTAGTTTTTTACCACTATTGTGATGAAAAACAAATAAAAAGAGGTGTTATAATTTTATATTTTTTATAGTCTTTTTATATTTGTATTTAATGTGCTCATTTTTAAAGTTTAAAAAACAACGAATTCATATTGGAGCTATTGGTAATTCCGTTACAAATTTTCGTGGTTTTAAAGATGAAATAAAAAAATTAAATAAATAAATTTTGTGTTATCACTGGTAATTTAAAATCCCCGATAGGTTTATAAAATAAAAAAAATAAAATTTATATCACAGTTAGTTAATAAGGTTTAAAAACCGTTCTCATGATATCTTTTATTATTATTATGATTTTATTTTATCTGAGGACTTTTTTTTGGACCAGCCCCATTGTATCTTTACCTTTAATGATGACAGAACAAAAGTGTATTATATATTTTTTGCTCTTTTTGGATGTCCAGACAAAAAATTATGAAAAGCTCCTATATGTCTTATCTTTTTATTTTCTTCTGTCGTCAGCTTTCTTCGCAATAACTTATTAAAAGTCATTTTTTTAAATTTCAGTATTTCCAGTTAATCTAAGTCGTCTAAAACGTTAAATCGCATTTGTATCATAAAACATTGATTTTAACCCCATTATAAGATTTTACATGGAATAAATTATATAAAAGCCGTTGTTGCATCGTACGTGAAGTAAGGACCTTATTTTACTAGAGATACTACAGTTTTAACGCTTCAAATAAATTAAATGTTTTCGTTGTTCCAGAATCAGTAAACTTGAAGCGGATGTTCACGGTGTAGATACTAGAAGGTTATTTCGATCTGTTACCAAGTTTGTAGATCAGTGGGGTAGTTAGTGATGTGTGTGCGTGTGGTAGTGGACGGTGGTGGTGAATGGTGATCAGTCAGTGATGCTCGCGGTGATGCAGAGGCATGGTGGACGCGGCAGCGGAGCGCCAGGCCGCCGCCGCGGGCTACCGAGACACAAGTGCCTCCAGTCTTACCAAGTTAGTAATTCAACGTGCTTGTCTATGGTGTGGTTGGTGTTCTATTTTATAGGTATATTGTATGTAAATATCATTCAACATTGATATTGAAAGGTTAATTTTAAAATTCAATAGAATTTTTGTATTTTAAATTGTTCCCTAATTCATTATGTACTTTAAGCTCTTAAACCTTTTAGTTAAGCAGAAGTCAAAGCAAGTGATGCTTATTAAAAAAACTTAATTGTGTTTATTAAGGAATAAAAAATATATATTGCGCGTTGCGAAAATATTACATAAGTACCCAGAGAATTTCCAACTTAGATATATAATAGATATTTCAAGGAATAACAATTTAGCGCGCGGATAGTTAGTGGATGCCATCAAATGTATGCCGCGTTCCTTTAGTCCTTTGACTGTATCATAAGTTGTCGAGTAAATTGTTTGATTACATGTAAGCCGAGCCGGGCACGCAATATGAGTTAGTTAATGAGAGTACCGATACGGCTCGTCACGGCTGTGTTATCAGGGCCGTGTGCGATAGTGTGCTGTGGCCGTACATACGACGGTCGCGCGTGTGTGCAGCAATAGTAGCGCTTCCAGGAAATACGAGCGGATTTCTCGGAACCGATTGAATGTCGCGCGCGTTTTCAGCAATGAATGACAATAGCAAGACAATTTTTGTAAACGCTGATACTGACGAACGGCTGAAATGCATGCCGTTTTCGCTGAGTTATCTTATCTGACACAACGCACGATAGATATGAAATGTATAAACATCGTCCTCCTTTGTATCTATTCAATGAAACGAGTTTCGCTTTAATCAAATTTAAATGTAATAAAGTTGGATACATCTGTTTTTATGACGATTACTGTATGTAGTAGCAATTTTTTTTTATAAAATTTGTTTAATACTCTGCTTCAAATTATTATAAACATCTGTCGTAATCGATCTTGACAGATTTAGCATTTAAATTATTACTCAGATGCTTTTAATCAAATATATTATGTGATATCGATCTGTATATGTTTTATTAATAATTGAACCTCCTCGATACGGTTCAAGTACGGCGGTACATCGTTTTTAAATCTTTGTCATCGATGAATATGGACTTCCGGAAAAAAACACACCAGGTGCGATCTGTCAGGAGTCAAGGCCGTATTTCGCGTGACTGATCCATCGGATGTTCGCTTTATTTTTTTCGCATTAAGAACATTTAAAAAAAAACTATACACGATAATACTATTGTTCTTGTACGTGTGTGTAATTGATGTTTTAATTTTTTTTATACGTCATTATCGATTTCACAGAGACCTTCAATTCAATTATTGAGTCTTCGTTTATTAATCTTTTTTTCATATATACATACATTAAACATCTATCGATTAATATAAGTAAATTAATGGATTATTAGTACGGTAGTAATATTTATGTTAATTTTCAATATAACAAATAGGCGACATAAATATTTAATTAGGTACAGCCGGGCTACGCTCCAAACAATTGTTTTTTTTATTAGGTACTATTACCCGATTTTTCCTCCAGAGCTCTGTCATTTTCAAGAATATAATATATTGAGATTAGGGTAACAGCATATAACAAAAATTAATGAACAATAACAATTTAACAAACCTGTCATGTTAATGAAGTTTCGTTTATATGCTTAAAGAATTTTTCATAGAAATCTAAGACCAAACATATGTTTAAAATTAAATGTGTGAAGTAATTATACTATGACTATACAAAAAGCTTACGTTAGTAAAAAAATATCAAGCACTTATTTTAATAATTAAATACTCTTAGGAGATGATTTCCTCGTGTCTAATAAAACTTGTCAAAATCAAAACTGTTACCTAACAAAATCATCGCTTTTTGGAACTTAATAAAGTTGAAGTTATAAAATCATGCTTAAAACTTATATTTTTTAATATATCAGTGTACTGTGATTTTAATACAATAAAATTAAAAACTTAACGAATTATAAACGGTAGAGGTCATGTAGTATTAGGTAGTCTTATGAGAGTTGAGACGAAACCTCTTAGCACTGAATGGACTCACCGTGCGGGTGCCGGGTCCATTACGTTACAGAGAGAGGAGCTTTAACAGTGTCTGGGACTTACGACCCAGGTGTAGGTTTAAAGGACTCTTTTCTAACGGACGTTAAACGCTCACCCCCACTTTCCAAGCTACTCTCTGGCATTGAAAATACTGATAAAGTAAATTTAAATAGTTTACACTCGAAGGAGAGACAAACATTTTAAATCTCTTCATTCTTACATACTTTTTTTTACTTAAATACATTGTAAAAATATATACATGTACTAATTTGGATTGTGAGAAAATAATTGAATAAATAATTGTTTTTTTTTGTTAAGTGTCATCAGTTTTTCTTCATTCAAGTATGTACATGTGTCATTAGAAAGTTGTCGATATATTTTTCTTCGAAAGAACTTTCTCTAATAATCATTGATCGCCTGTCATGTGCAATTTAATTATTAAACTTCAATTACATTAACTTTTTCAAATACATACTTAAATCTTGCTTGAGAAATTTATTTTGGGGTCAGTAGGTATAAAAAAAAAGTTTTGTCTACAAAAAGAAATGAGAGCTCTTATTCTGCGTCCGAAATGTTAATCTTCTTCTTCTATATCTTCTATATATATAAAAATGGATTGCTGTTCCTTAGTCTCGCTAAAACTCGAGAACAGCTGAACCGATTTGGTTAATTTTAGTCTTGAAATACTCCTGGAAGTCCAGGGAAGGTTTAAAAGGTGAGAAAAATTTGAATAATTGCCGGGAAAACCCTAAAAACAGCCCTTTTCTATTTCCCATACAAACGATTTTTTGACATTAGACTTGACAACTAACTAATATGTCAATCATTCTGTTCGATTGAAACAGTAGAAATATAATAAATACCAATACCGGGTTATTGAAGAAGGAATAGAGTTTGCCCGGTCAGCTATACCTATATTACTAATGACGAAATTAACGCGGACGAAGTCGCGGGCAAAAACTAGTACATATATAAAAATGGATTGCTGTTCCTTAGTCTCGCTAAAACTCGAGAACAGCTGAACGGATTTATCTTATCTTAGTCTTGAAATGTTCGTGGAGGTTCAGGGAAGGTATAAAAGGTGAGAAAAATTGATTCATTACTGGGAAAACCATAAAAACAGCCGTTTTCTATTTCCCATACAAACGTTTTTTTTGACATTAGATTTGACAACTAACTAATATGTCAATCATTCTGTCGTAATAGATATTTCTTGATTATAGGGCGATACGAAGTTCGCCAGGTCTTCTAGTATCAGATATTTTAGATGTTATATTTTCATCTCTAACTACTTAACTTATTTTACTTCACTAAGAGCAGCGAAAAACGTCTAAGTTTAAATTCATATAGTGCCAATATGGATATTTTTTTTATAAAAAACACTGTCTTCGCATAACGGTCGATGAAAAAGTTTATCTTCTATCTTCTATATATATAAAAATGGATTGCTGTTCCTTAGTCTCGCTAAAACTCGAGAACGGCTGAACGGATTTATCTTATCTTAGTCTTGAAATGTTCGTGGAGGTTCAGGGAAGGTATAAAAGGTGAGAAAAATTGGAATAATTTCCGGGAAAACCCTAAAAACAGCCCTTTTCTATTTCCCATACAAACGCTTTTTTTGACATTAGATTTGACAACTAACTAATATGTCAATCATTCTGTTTGATTGAAATAGGAAAAACCTGATTATTTATGGCCTCTAAGACGGAATAGAGTTCGCCCGTTCAGCTATACATATATTACTAATGACGAAACTAACGCGGACGAAGTCGCGGGCAAAAACTAGTTATTAAATAAAAAAATAATAATGACAAGTGAGTTGTCAAACATGTGAAGGAAGGCTGTCCGGTCGGCTGCTATATCTGTCGGTGACGGCGCGGGGCCTGCGGCGGGACGGGGACTATTTTCGTCTGGCGGCCACGTTTGGAAAATGCGGCGGTGACGTCACACTCCACCACGGCGATGGCATCATACAGCGACACGCACACGACAAGCCAAAATATAGCACGGAGCACCCGCGACCGGCTTTATTTTGGTCATTCATCCAGTCATTGTCGAATACAAATCTCACCCCACGCGTCTCATGACACTAATGACCCCCGGCTCGCAATATATTTAATCCGTTCTAATTTATATAATTATCTGTTTTGTATGACTGTTTAATGGTTGTATGAATAGTAAACAATCGACGTGAGAGCGAGTGTCTTTCGAAAGACTCGATATTTTTGAGTGGCCTGTATGTAACGTAACGCTAAATAAATCTTGTCTTACAAATTGGAATATGTGTTTTGAATATAGTGTACCGAATTCTTTTTATATTTTTACTCAGGATTAGCAATTTTTATTTTGTAATTTGTAACGCTTCAGGCTTAATTTTCGGGTTAAAGTTTAGTTTCTAGATAATTAAAATTTTACTAGCATATATTTTTTATATCTATCTAGGGTCTTTGACATTGAGTGGAATTTTTTGACAAAAGCCTCTCCTACATTACGCTAGGAGTACAAAGGAGACGGGCTAATATTTTCTGATAGGCTAGAAAAGAAATCCACATATTCCAGTTTTAAGATTGCATGTGAATTTCTTGTATAATGTAAACGAATTGTACTCGTGTTTGTTTACTTACTTTATGTAAAACAATACTATGTATTAAACGTTAAAGCGTACCTGTTATCAGTGTCTAGTCAACAATACTGACTCCTACCAAGTTAGATGGAATATATTTTTTCAGCGTTGCTATTCGCGTTCCGTTTTGAGTATGAGCGATAATAGAGCTCGAACGTGATTCGTGAAATATCGTGGTACAAGTGTAGGGTCGGGCGAACGCTATCGTTCGTCAGTCATCAGTACTGCGCTACCGTCGCCGCAGCGTGGTGCTGTCCGCATATTAAAACGTTCGTTAATTGAATCATTCCACGTTATTTACGGTTCAGTTGTGTATATAACAATCATGTTGTAACCAGTGGAAGCTTCCCATTGATACGTTAACCGTTGATTCGTACTCCTGAACTGTCCGCGGTGATCATGGCCCCATACACTGAACGTTATCGAACATCCTAAAGGGATGCGTAAATCGTGAAATCGTGTCGTGCTATATATTTACAATATAATGTCATTTTACGATTATATTATTGATGTTTGTGCTGTTTTAGGTAATACAATATGTACTGTGTGAATACATAACATACATGTTAATTATGTCATACGTTATTTATAATAAACGTTATATATGTATATTTCCTTTTTATATTTATATATATGTATATCTATATATCATCCATTTTCGTATAAGATTTGACAGAATAAATTATATTATATAAAATTAATAGTCAAATGTCATCGAGATTAGAATCCGCGTGTTTCGGATACATATAGTTATTTGTACGTTTAATAAGATTTTTATTTTTAACTCGCTTGTTGCCTGGCAACTGTAGTAAACAAGTTACGAAACGAGAGGAATAGGTATTAAGAATTGAGTTTATTTTACTCCACCGAGTAAATTATTTTACATGATTCTTATGTATTATGTAGGTATATATGAGAGCTATTTTAGAAAAGGCTAAAGGTATTTTTTTAAAATTGAATATACGATTACGTCGAAGGTTGCTAACTTAAATTGTAATGTAAATATTTATTTCTTTGTTCAATTATATTTAGAAATAAAGTTCACGTAGTTTTATAAATTTGTGCTGGTCATTAAATATTTGAATGTTAATAATTTGTACATATCGATAGTTTAAATCGATTTTTTTAAATATCACCTTTTTTTCTATGTATTTAAATGTTTATATTATAAATGTTATATATTTACTATGCTGGCTACTGAAAGGGTTATCTTATAAAATCATACCTATCTCGTTTTATAAACTAAATTTATAATATTATTAAATTAACTAATTAATCCTACACAATACAGTTTTGCAAGAAAAGTTAAATAAAACTAAACGACCTTCAACGTTGTGAAATGATTGATTAAAATATAATCGCGTGTATGTTATGATATGTCACTAATTCGTTTGACACTTGAAGAATAAGGTTGGTTTTACACTGTCGTGAATGAGTTCGTTCATTATATAGAAAAAAAATGAGTTATAACTTAACATATTTTTGAAATATAAATCTTAACTTGACATAATAAAATGAACTCATTGTTTCTCGGTTTAAGATCTTTGTCGCCAGTGTGTATGATGGCTTAGTGATTTGATGAAGAGGCAGGATGTAACAAGCGTCAGTAAAAGCTTTGTCAGGATGTCTTGTACCAATTCCATTGATGAGATCACAATCGATATCAGACGTTTGACCTTTTTCTATTGTAAGCTAACATATATCATCATATATTTCAATCATATGTATCCGGGTTTACGGTAGGTATTGTTGAACCAGTTCTAACGAACTGGTGAGCGGTCTCCGTATGATCGTTGGTGTTAAGACTGAATAGTACCGTTAGGAGATAGCTGTTGTTGCTTGGCTCTTGTTGTTAAGATATAAGTAGTCAGTTTTTTTAATATATTTATTATTTTTAAAGCGTAATTCATAAGAAAATTACTGCTGTTGTTAGTACAATAAATTGTTTAATCTACAACAATCTCGTTCATAACATTGGTATAAAATGTTCGCTGAATATTATTGTTTCTATAATTATATAAATATAATTCACTTGTAATTTTTTATAGGATTGTATTTTTCATACAAGTCATATTTTTCAATTTTCGACTAAGCCATAGCCGTTGTATATTTCGCCAAACAGTGACATTCTGGCTGATTTTTATAAACGAAGGTATGGTTTAAAAACAACATAGAAATAATCCAAAAAAATGGTGATATATTTTGCATTCTGGGTTTTTACAAGTTACTAATTTACTTATATGTTCAACAAGCCTAATTTCGATATTATCTACGAGTATATAATGAGTTTGAATGTTTATAATGGCGACATATTTTACTTATATGGTTTTATTCGTATGTAGGACCCTCCGCCCACGTCGACTAGCGGCCAGCGACACCACAACACATCCGTCCCGCTGTGATTGATAAAGCAATTTAAAATATTGTCGTGGGAAATGTAATATATATTCCTATATAGGATTTTAAAAAATACTCAACAGTACCGTCGCTATACGATAGCGATCTGTGAAGCATACATAAATTAAATCAAAGCCGTTTCCATTTGTTTTATAACGTGATAGGTTATTTGAATTAAACGATGATAAAATGGCAACTGAATATACTATCTGTGAATAGGTCATGTACTGAACAGTAATGTGGTGCTCATAATACTGAACAGAAACCAATTAGACCAATTACCGGTTAACTGACATGAAATCGAGTAACAGGTAGAAATAATTACAGATGTTTTGTGGGCGATATTCAGCCTTGATCTCTCAGTACAGGTTTCAACGCCACGTTATTGTAACGACACGGTACTAGACTAACAATTACCAGCTAGTTACTTTATATACAGGGTGTTTAATGTTTATTGTTGCGTTCATTCTATGTAATAATTACTACCTAATTTACACCTTATATCTCACGTTTTATGTTTGTCTTTATAAAGTTATTGTTGGATGACAAATGTTCTAATAAATTGCATTAGCAGTCCCAGGACATAATGTGACTTCAACGATGTTGAGTTGTCTCAGTAAATAGACGTGGGCGGTGATGAATTGTTCTGTTGCACTTTTATACGTACATCCTATGTTATATTGTGGCAACAATTTCATTTCGAAACTCATACTTTTATGAGTAAAATAATTAAAATATATAAACAAAGTTCGTCTTTAATACTATAGAGGATATAGCTTGTAATATCGATGTTCACAGATCGTTGATTTCTTAGTATTAAATAGGTAATATGAAGTCGCGCAAGCATGAAACCTATTGAGTGGTGGGAGGCAGCCTAAGATGTTAGATCGGCTTGGAAGCTGATGTCAGCGCGCCTACAACCCGCCCCCACTACGAACACTGACCGCGAAGCCTTCCGCAAATCTAAATATTCTAATCTTAAACCAGACTCGCTGGATAGTTTGAAATGTTGTTATGCAATATTACAACAACTTAGAGAAGTTTTCTTACTATTATAACCTGTATATATACAGAAGTATTACTTAACGTTTCTAAATGATACTTGAGAAGAAAAACAAAATGATAATCTTATTAAAATAATGTTAATTTCATTTAGTTTTATGTATATCCGTAATGCTATTATTAACAACCATAACATATTTAATGACAACCGCGAACAAAAATGCGTTCAATTAATTGTGTATTCGTCATTTAATACAGTTATTTTGATCATCTCACACCGATTGTTATTGTTATAGATATCATGCTTCTGAAATCATCACTTTATTTTCTCTTTTTATTATAGACGGATAACGAAATTAAAATGTACGTAGCTGATATACTATACATAATAAGATATACGCAGAAATCTATGACATATATATAAGAAGATAATTATTAAGTGTAGTGAAATATAAAAATGGATTCGAACATACAATAAGTGTAGTGTTATAAAATAGTGTAAACAGAAATGGAGGGTGCTATATTGAGCACCCCAAGTAGTAGTAGATTTCGTACTCATTTGAAGAATGCGGCAACGGCTTTGTGCGCGAGGACGTTGCCTAAGTCGAGATGCAGCGAACAGTCGGCTAGTTCAGCTCGACATCACACGTATCCAAGGACTACTCCTCCGAAGAGAGCTGCTATACCGTGCAGGATGGAACCACTCATGTGTGAACTGCCGACGTTACAGACAGATGCTATACATCGGGTCACACCGGCGAACAGCAAACCCAATGGGGTCAAATTGAAAGGAACATTCGCTAGGTGAGTTTATGATAAAGAGATGATCTTTTTTTATTTTGCAGAAAATATACTGAAGTTTATTACGAATTTTCACTACTTAACAATATAAAGTTTTTGTTTACAAGATTTTTATTCATACCATTCTTATATTATTTTTTAAATATATTTACGAAACCCGTCAAAACATAGTACTTAGCTTTAATACGTATTACTTGTAAATACATTTTATTTCTTCCGACGTGGATTAAACAGTTGTAAAATATTAACATTTATTCAAAATGTTTCCTACACCTTGCTTTGTAATATGTATATTCTAAGAATATTTTTTTATTTTATATTTCTATGTTGTTAATAATATTATATAAGTTTATCTGAACGTATGTCGTAACACTTGTTCATTACACAGTGGTATTAAAAATAAATATGATCAAATAACCGAGGCTTTGTGACAGAGCAATTGTAATCTTAATCGCATTCAGATAGTATCTCTTTTAAAATTACATTTTATCGTTTACAGAAATAATTACATGCTTATAAAGCTTAATGTTTTGTTTCTTTTTTTTGTGAATATTAATATGTTAAATACTATAAGGACTGTTTCTTTTAAAAGAACATTTTATTGAATAGTTTTTTTTTACTTTGTTATGTTTATAATCTGATTTATGATGTTATTCCAATAAATGACGAAGATAAGGTTAGGCTCACTGAAAGATTTTAAACATTTCGATTATTTTACATATATACAAGAGTATGAATATCGAAAAATACCTTTGTTTGTTTCAGTAGAGTTGGTAATTTTTAATTATTTATAATTTAACTAAATATCATTTGATTTTTAAGTATTTTACGCCGTTCGTAGACGTATCTACTTTTGTTTATAAGTGAGATTTTTTTTGAATATTTTGAATAAGTTTGTGGTTTTATTATAAGTACTTAAACATTAAAACTATAAAATAAGAACCACTAGTAATGTGGACACTTAAATTGGTTTTGGGTAAACAAAATATAAGTGCTGTTTTGTGAAAATATTTTTAGATATTTTTTTTACAGTAAGTATTCGTATTTTTAACAATAACATTTCATTCTACCAGTCTCTTACTTTCGTAACAAACTAAATATAAATAGTTAAATTTTAATATGACTTTTTTTAATTCTCAAACAAACGCCGTAATCAAATCGGTCATTAATTGCTGGCATGCTTAAAAAAATGAATGCCTCTATAGATTGCGGTCGGGTCAACAAATGAACATGACATCATGTTAGCTTGTTTACACCGCGCACCGCAGGGCGGAGGTGATGTCGCAAACTACGTACGGCTCGTAAAATATATGCGCATTCAAATTTATAATATGAAAAAATTTCAATTATTATAATAATAAAAAAATAAGATTGTACACACACACACACACATACATACACACACACATGTATATATGTATTATTTCATAATGCCTCCTCAGTCGTCAAAGACTTTTCAAATGTTATATATCTAATTATTGCGTCATCCTTAATATTTGATATCACTGAAAGTCATTAAAACTATATGTAATTCTAATCACTCTAGTAGGTGACTTGTATCACCTTTGAGTGACGTCATACTCAAAAGCTTTGCACTTAGTCAAGACCTCTTGGCTCCGGATTGACATCGTGTGTACTTGCCTTATATACATATACATATATATATATACATATATTCGGGGGAGTCATGTGTAAGGCATCGCTTTTGTCACATACTATTAAAATAAGTTGATAGTATTTTGTATAGACGCTTTTAAGTAACTGAGAAATATTTTAACAATCATGTTCAAACAGAAATACGAATTTATTATATATGTAGCATTTACAGGCGTATTAAGTTTTTTATTTTTATTTTTTATTTATTTACACGTAAAATTTAATACTTACATTTTTTCTCAGTACTTTAACAATGTCATATGAAATGTTATTTTTTTAAATATTTATATTGAATGTGTTTAAAACTTTAACACATTCTGCGATTATTTGACTAGCTCATTAAGGAAATCAATGGATTCCTTTGTATGGACGTCTCAAATCATTAATTAAAATTATCTCCTGATTACAATAGGGAAATATTTAAATTCTTAAACTTCATTGCAATAGCAAGTCATTGTAAACAAAATTGTTAAAAATAAAATGATTCATGTACAAGGAAGTAAAATCCGATCAAACGCTTATTTATCGACTATAAAAATTAAACGTTAATTAAATATATTTTTAGATACTGAATAATATTTGGGGAGGTAATGCTTAACGGTGCGTGACCAGTTTGCGAGATATAATAATATTTATAATAAGCTGAGATATAATAAAAATTTTAATGAACAGCCTGTTGATATTTAATCCTAATTTATTGTAATTTAATGTCTCAAGCATTTTTATCTCGTTGTGTTTGGTTAAGCCTTTTTTTTTTGTTATCGTACCTACCTACGTCGAATTTTTAAAAATCGAACTTAATTGAACGCGAATGTAGTAAATGCACTCGCTAGTGTATTTATAATGAGCGTGTTGTGTGCGAGAGAGACGGTTGTATGCTGTCTCTCTCGCACACCATGATGTCATGGTATATTTTTAAGACGCTCGCCGGCCTGGGTCATACAAGTTTTTAGCATTTAGTATGGACATCTTGACCATCGTTGGTATTGGTTTTTTAGATGGCTCTAATTAGGGTGGGAACCAATTCTGGAATCTAGAATATTATTATAAAGGACCTGTCTTTAATAAAAATGTTTATTTTGTTAGTAAATAATGAATCCGTTTTAATATTGAGAATTATTCCTTTAGTTTTTGTAAAAGTGTTTAAGTTACGTGCGACATTAACACACGCCTTTGAACTGTAGTTGTATGATATCATATGTATATTTTTTTTATATATAAATATTCATGCATTACATCATCGGCGTAACATTTATTCTAAATACATTTCATTATAATAATAATAAAGTTTTTGAAAAAAATATTTTACACATTATTGTATTAAACTAAAGGATTTTGGACCTTTACTATTTTTTTAAACAATCCTTAATATACCTCTGTGATACTCTTCTTTTAAATCTACTTATAAGTAAATTATATATTTGACATGAAATTAAAAAGGCTGTGTGGTTAAAACCGTAGACAGCTTTCATCAAACGTTTGAATTAAAAAAAAAAACTTTTTACAGATAAAAAAGAATATATTTTAGTAATGATAAACTAATTACTCTAAAACATATTATATTATTTTTAATATTTGCCTCATAGTATTATTAGATGTACTGATAAGGGACACAAACCAACCGTCTGTGTAATGTACCTATTCTGATTGAATTACTACCAAACTGACCTCATCACTCATTTTTACGTTGTTTAATAACCAATGAACGATCGACGGTCTATTCTCTTTGTTCTGTCTCTTTGAAGCTATAAAACTATTTGGAAATATTTAACATTAAAATTAAAACAAAAAAAAACTTAATATATAAAAATACTCCAAAGATTTATTCCTTTCGGCTCATATAAACGATACATAAAACAATGTAATCACTAAACTTATCAAATACCTGAATTTTTATCGTGAAATTCATCGTCGCATTGTTTTTAATCAATTATATTATTGGGATTTTTTTTTGTAATGTAAATATATTGACGAAATTAACTTTTATTTATTTAATTGACATTTTGTTCATGTGTTCATATTGGAATCGTTTCGATATTGGGAATTGTTTTAATGTTAAAGATAATTTTGAATGTGGAAGTATTCAGAGAGTTTATGATATAATTGTCAAAAGATACGGAACCAATGTCTTTATATGTATGAAAATAACAAATACAGATGTTATCGGTCAGGTCAGGATCACGCCCCGGCGACCGTCTCGACTCTAGACCATCACGTCATACATCAATCGAATACTCTAAGATTTTATTACAAACAGTTAGTTAGTTACTCCTTGTTACTCTATACAATTGTACTGTTTTTATAATAATATTGTAATGTACGCATACAAGTTTTTCACTATAGTCATGTGTTGTGAATTGGCATCTTCATTTCTTTTACCCATCGTCACTACATGCGACTGTGATCTACTGGCTTCGTTTATCGAATGCTCTTCGTAAGTTATATTTATGTTGGAAGATTTTTGTGCATTTCATTAAGGTCGAACTATATTTTTCGTGTACTGGATGTTAGCCAGACCGGATATTTTACGGATGCAGTCATTATTTATAGATTTTATACAACGTTAATAAAGATAATGAGTTATGAATTAAATTGCATTTTTTTTATTAGATATTGAAAGGTTCGATGTCAGTGGTTTTGAGTAATAACGATTAGGTGTAGCGATTTAAACAAGAAGCGTCCTTGTACGAAATGACTAAACAGATGTTTTGTTATCGTAAATAATTGATTTAGGTAATTTGATGTTTCGTATCGACGTGGCTTAATGGTTTTGTGATTCTTGATGATGATTGATTAAATAAATAATTTTAACTCTTAAGTTTGTTGAGAATAGATCCAGACTCCAGTATGCTCAGCATCTGTGCATTCTCATTACCTACCTACGAAGCGTTTCTTGTTAGTCAATTACCTACTTTCATATTATAATCTCCATGTGAGAAATATGTCTTTGCTTAGCAGTGGGCTCTGATAGGCTGATGACGATATTATAATGTGTGAACATTTATGAATGGAAAACTGTTAACGCTACGTTAATAAAAACTGGAAGTAACCGTAATAATCTTGTATCTTACATTTACTTTCACGTGGGACCGACCAGTGTAATCGGAACCTTGGTATTCGTTGCAGTATTTATATGTATCACTTGACAATCTTAACAAATTATGTCCTATAAAATGCAATAAATATACATTTTATTTTTATAACAAAAAGTATTAAAGATATTACAATAAATAGTTGTCCTTTTGAACTCTTTGACATGATACGTGACATATTTTTGCTCGTAGGACCTAAGTTATGAGCATACAGTAGGTAATGCAAAATTAAGCGTAATAAGGTGTTTAAAATATTTTGCAAAGACACAGCTTGTTTCATTATAATACGGCTTGATTCAGAGTCTGGGAAGCTATACGATGATAAATAGCTTCCCAGTAATTCGACCCCGTATTTCGCTCCCTTTAAGAAACTTGACCACGGGAATTTGTTTTGTCTACGAATAGTAGAGGTAGCAAGCCGTGCCCACGACGTTTAAAGTGTGGGACCGAGAGCTTAGAAATGTACTTGTTCACATCATAGTTAGGTCAGATCGTTCGATGAGGAGTGAAGTGCTCATATAAAGTGCTCATAGATCAGTGGACAGATGTAAAGGACTTATATGATAAGATGGCTAAATATAATGCGTATGGCCGCGTTTTTGGAAGGTCGGTTAGTGATTAAATGCATGTTTTAATTTGAATAAAATTAGCTCCAGAAATATATATAAAACTGTTCTGTTTGGTGTGTCGTTTAAGTTTATTATTTGTTATTTATGTAAAGTTAGGTGTTGTTAAGTGTGAATCTGTCTCGACAAATAACAATTTCAAACGTAATTCACAGTGCAAATCAAAGCAATCAACTTGAGGGATATCTCTAATTGGACATGTGCATGGCAAATTGAGCTTTGCATCAATACAAATAGAATATATTTCCGTAGGGAGGTGGCGCACGCTTGGGAGTGCCGCATCGGCCCGCCCGACCATCCGGCGCCCGCCCACCGTGTGCAGAGCCTCTTCAACGATATCGAATTGTATCCAACTAAAACACAGGGTGAGTTACATTTATTATTTAACAGAGGTCAACTATCATTGGTCTGATTCAGCAGATATTTGTGTCGGCTTACAACGCTACAGGCTATAGACGCTATTCTAAAACGAATACATTATATGTATAAAACATACTTAATACATAAGTTTACCATGATTTTTTTACGATTGTATTTTTTAATCCAACTGTTCATTGGTCTACATTAAATAAAATCACTCGGCATTAATCATACAGTTATAATTTTGATTTTAATTAGCAACAAACGATCCTACTTTCAAATGTCCACAGATAATCAATAGCTTATAGTTTATCGAGCGATGACGTCAGCGATAACGTAAAAAGTTATTATTAGAGTGTACTCTCCAATGTGAACATTATTCGGCGTTATACTTAAGTACTTATTACAACGTGAGCAGAGAACAGACTGTTCTATTTCATCACATCTGTAAAATATGAATGATGTCACAATAGACGATAATGAATCAGTACCACTTGGAATGTAATTGGAAATGAATTTAATATTTATAATGAAAAAATTCGGTTCCTTAGTTAAAGTAAATTAAAGTTTTTCAATATGTTATGTTAAATTCGTTATTGTTGAGAGTTAAATGCTGATCCCTTCGTAGTACGCTGGGCACCCTCCTAATCTGGCTTTTATTAAAATATATATAATTCTTAAACATAATTTCTGATGTTAATGTTGATTTCTTATATAAAAAAGTTTATTGACATCGTTCAAAAATATTTCAATTGATATGTATTTAATTTTCTATGAAACGATTTTACAGAAAAACAAAACAAAAAAAACTACAACTCTATAGTTTCAGTGTCGGAAAATCAATGAAGCGTTTTATTCTTGCGGTCGTTTTTTGTAATTTTAATTTGGTTTTATTTAAGAGAAAATGTGCTCTTTGGACAAAGAGATTTTTTAATGAATTTTAAAGGTTCTGTCTTTACGACTATTTGAATTTATCTCAAAGAGGATTTAACTAAATAAATTATGCTTTTATGTGAATTTTTGTCCTAAAAAGAGTTCGATTAATGATAAATTGTATTTGTAATATTTGATTCAGTGAAATAGTGCCGATCTATTTAATGGTAAGTTTTGGATATACATATTCAATTAGTTTTCTTATTTTTATTTTATTATTATTATTATTAAGTAATAAAAATTGAAAAAAAAAACAATCGGCCTAGTATATTTCTGTATAATCTAAAACAATTTATATAAAGCCTTAATACAAATTTGTATATTACTCCGAAATGTTAAATTCCATTACAAGGTAATACAAGAACCTTTTAAGAAAATACCGAACAATAAAATTGATTGCTTTAGAACAAATTGCTGATGGATTTTCTGTAACGAAGTAAATGAATTTTACTTATCTCAAAAATAGTATATGGAATTTGTTTAAGGGTGGGTAATTCTCAGATTCAAAATATTTTAAAACAATTATATATTTTCTTATATAAGGGACATTATACTATTTGTATACGCGAAGCTTTTTGACACTTACGAGTAGGTATGTTAGTGATGGGAACTGTATTGTTATCTCTTAATTGTGAATCTTATCGATCAGGTTGTAAACTGATTATGTCCGAACTCACCAGGTGTTCAAATATTAGCGCTTTATTAAAACGAATGATGTTTTCTAAGTCTATTTATTATAAAATTACAAAGAAAAAATAAAACAATCATTATATTAAGCCATCAAAATTTTTATACATAATTTACAATGTGGTGTCCATTAACGTGCTCCCTACTGGGCATAGTTAAGTTGACGATTTAGTAAAACGATAATACTCGTATTGTATAAATGGTAGTCTTGATGTGACTTCAATACTTACACTGACGAACGTTCCACAGTCAATCATCATAATTAGTAACGATTCTATCATAATAGTTTATTAGTAGATTATAAGAAGACAATTTGATATGTTCGGTTACTCATCATTCCAGTTCCTTCTACAGCTAATAATAATTACAAATTAAAGAGACCGACGATGCCACGATATCAGATAAAGAATACGAGTCATAGCTGAATCAGCGTGTTGTGATTTTAATTTAAAACCGAATTTTTTTTTAACTTTTTTAAGCAGTTAAATTATATATAACATGTTTTGATATTATAGGTACATATCAATTTAGAAGTTTCAAATTTTGTCATACGTTGTTTGGTTACATACAAAGCCATGTGAAGGTGTAGAAATGAAAGTAGAAAGTGTTTAAATTGATTAAGGATATACCTACTAAGACTTAAGAAGATAAAAGCCATTACTTATATATAATATTATATTAATCTTTTATATAATATATTAATCCAATATAAATACAGGTAGCTGATAGCTCATTAATTACTCGACGATCTTCAACCGAACTGAAAAAAGATACTTAGAATATCTAGAATCGTTTCTTAGTATAACATTTTAATAGAACCATATGGTTACTTCATAGAACTATTAAATGATTCAATGCTTAAGATCATGGATTTCTTAAAAGAAGTCCCAAAGAATGTTCTTTGATTGTTGATGTGAGATAGGTATTAGAAAGAAATATTTATTGATGTGTGAGAAAAAAAGATTGCTTTCAATTTCTACCGAGTGGATATAGTTGAATCAAAAATATTGTGGTTCATAGATTTTGACGTCTTGCATACATAAAATTGAGACCTTCATATGTAGAAATTGTGGCAAGTTGATATATACATATTGAATATTTTTTGATGCAAAAAAACACAACAAAACTAGGCGTTCTCACAAAGTGGGAATTTTTTTTAAAGCAGGACACGACAATACTGAAACCCTCAAACGAATAAAAATTAATTTACCATTGAATTGTATAATACTAAAGTATTTACATTAAACTTTCAAAACACGTGTTTAAATAATATTATGTAAAGAAGCGAAATTTAATAGAAACTTGTGTAGTACAGGCCAGGCATTACCAATAATGGCATCGTATAAAAACTAGTTCATTACGTTCATTTCAATAATGATATCACCTTTGACGAGGTCGTATAGCCCTTAGAGAGAAAAAACCTTCAAGAATAATAAATATCGACCGTTATCTAAAGTTATCTATTACGAGTCACAGTATTCTAGTCATTTGTAGGACAAAACTATTAAAGATATCGATTAACGAACGAATACAAGTGTTACAAAAAGGCAAATAAGTGAGCAATTATTTTTATAGTGACTAAGATACCTACCAGGAAGATTAAATACATCAATCACTCACACAGTAATCATGACAGTCGAGAAGATTCCGCCTCTGTTGCTCCTTTGATGTGTTCTATATAAATATTTTAATTAATTAATGCGTTCTCATATAACGCGATATTGAAATATATATAAAAAAAATATTAAAACCTTTATCAGTAATGCCACAATAATAAAATAAATTGACATGTACGATACTTCCATGTGATTTGATTGCATCGTCGAACGATACGCGTGTCGTTTAAAACAATTTACGGGTTCGCAGTGTCAGGTTATGCTCTATGGTAATTTTATGAATCATAAATTTAAACCACTCCCTTATACCACAATAGTGTTTTTATTTTTATTATTTTTTATGATATATATGACTGGTTTTGTGTATTTTGAGCTGTTATTTATATTTCACAGTAAATGTCTAATATGGTGAATAGACCTGAACAAGTTTATTTATAATTACGATAATATCGGATGGTTTTTATTATATTCTACTAGCTTTCCGCCCGCAGCTTCGCCCGCGTGGAGTTCGGTTATATCGCGTTTCCAAGAGAACCTTTCAAAAGTCTGGGATAAAAACTATCCTGTTCTTTCTCAAGGTCAATTCTATATCTGTACCAAATTTCATTAAAATCAGTTCAGTGGCTTAGGCGTGAAAGCGTAACAGACAGATAGACAGGAGTTAATTTCGCATTTATAATAGTAGTAGGAATTATTATTTTCCTATAAGATATAACCTACTGAACCAATATTTGTATAGAGATATATTTTTACTATATCAATAAATAAATTAAGAATGCGTACCAGGAAATAAAATCAAAACATGAATGAATCAGACTATAGTCTGACTACTATCTTATCTCGTAGTATATACATATATACCTTAACAGATCTATTTACCTATTAGTAGTAATTCTTTCGAGTCTCATGAAACTGTTATGTTTACGTGCTCGCTCCATGTACCAGGTGTAACTCCATATGATCTCATCTATTGCTCACAAATGATGCCTACTTGTTCATAAGTGGAACGACCGTAAGTGGTGAGCTGTCATTATTACCCTTCAATACGTGAACATGTAGAGAACGTTATCATTTTTTTAAATTCAATACATGAACATGTACAGAAGTTTTTTTTATCCGTTTTATTTGAGTGCCAATTATATAAACATTGTCGAGTATTTGTTTTCAACTTATGAATAGCGAATGTAAGTTTTTTTTTAATGTTGATTTTAATATGTAACAATTTTATAATTGGAATGTAATGATTTTTTTGATTTATAATACTTAGTTTACTTCAAAATAAATTTTCGTGTATTATCAATTAATTATATTTAAAATTATTTTCTTTAGTTCGTTTTGTGGTAATGTTTGTACTGTTGCTAATAATCTGTAACTGATAAAGTTATTTATTTTTATATTACAGGAAATAAGAGATCTAATTACTAAGAATAAATGTCAAAGGGTCAACTTCCGTTGGTTTGATAATTATTTATTATTACAACAATAATAATGTTTTCAAATTAGTTGTAAATTTGATAACATTTTTAAAATATCCTCAACGTGATTAAAATATATAAAAAATTTCGTGTTATCATGCTTATTGTTAGATATATAAAATAATAGAAAAAAATACAATTCTCGTTAGATTTATAGTAGATTTTTAATAATAGATAACATAATAAATGCATATGTATATCAAATAAAAGACATGTTATTTACTTATTAAATGCTATTGTTATATATTAATTAACAACTATAGAGATACTACATATATACAGAGAAACAACTATATCTTAAATAGAGCAGATTTTATATAGAGAATAACATACATAACGCTCACATTATTGATATCGGTTATAAAAACATTTGTTGAAATAATTTAACTTAAAATACAGCTGTAAAAATAACTAATTTATGATTTGTTTTTTATCAAGGGAAAGGTTTTTACTCAATAAATATGTTTTGAACATTTATTATTATTTTTATTTTTAAATAAATTTATATTATTCATAGGAACGGGAAAAATCTCGACAGCACATTATTCAGTAAATAATTTATAATAGGAAGTAAATGATTGAGACTATATAATAAAATGTATTAAATAAATTATATATAATAGAGAATAGTTTAGTCGAGCATACGGATATAGTGATGACAGCATTATATATATACCTACACATTTATATACAATATAGTTTAGGTTTATGATAAATAAAAACTATTATAGAGTATATTTTCTTGTACTAATTTCTTCTATGTCGATAATATGTCCTAAAGATACCTATATGTCCTAGACATACTTACGTTTTATTTTACTATAGAAGAACATTTTTTGAAAGTATTAAAACGACCTGAAAGTATATAAAGTATAGTATAGAAGTAGATTTTTGTTACATTTATCTATGTAAGTGTTCTTTGGTGTGTACTATATATAGTTAAAAAATATTTATACAGTCATACTTCAACAACTCTTTTAATAAGGTAGCGGTTTTAAATGTAATCAAACGTTGGATGGATTTTAAAATTATTATCATTCATTTATTTTTAATACCGAAGAGACCATTTTAAATCAAATGGGTTGTCTTGACCATTATAAAACATGTCAAGTTTTATATAAAGTTAAATTAAAAACATGATGACTTCAAAATAGTTAAAAAATATACAATTTAAATTATTTATCTTCAAAACAAGTGACAAATTTGATTATTTTATTCTTAGTATTTTAGAAATGTGATGTACTGGGGTCTTCCCCGTATAAAGGGACTTCGAAGAGTGTCAAATAAATATGATTCATTGCACCTTAAAAATATTAACAAATTTTGTTATAGCAGTAGATTACAGCTTACGAGGGGATTTTGTAATTTAGTGACTATTCAATTGTTCTACGTGGCACTGAACCAAATTATGTGTCAGATAGTTTAGTAATTTACAATAAACGTGCTATGAAATGTAATTGTAGGGAGTTGGAGGGGATGTAGTAAATGTTAAAGAAAATGACTAATGTGAATTAGTCTCTTCCATAGTAATTAGGAACTAAAATAGGAACTAAAATACTTGGTGATTTAAGAATATAAGTTCACAGCGTGAATTTCCTAATGCATTTTTAGTTTTTACAATTATGCGAGCAACAAACTTCTAATAATATTTATTGTACGTACTATAATACGTCATTCCATTTTATGCTTTGGCATGAAGTCACAGATTAACAAAGACGAAGGTATTTTTTTTAACTAATTTAATGATGAATCGTCCTGTTTGCGAATAAAACTAATGAAGGGTTTTCCTTATTGCTCATACGTTTTATGAGTTATGACACGTTATTTTCGAGGAAAACCGGGAAATAAAGAATTTAACCTGTTTTTTTTTATAGACATAATATTGAAAATGTCAGGTTATTTACTGCAGAATAAATAATAATAAAATAAAATGCCTTTCCACATAGAGTTTTATAAAACAACGGATAAGAGAAAGATAAAAAAATAATGTGAATTCTTATATGACTAACGCATCAATAGTAATAAAATACGAAATATCGATAACAATTTCAAGTGTTATGATATACTCAGTTTGTGTTTATGTTTCCAAACTCCTGGGCGTTACCGACGTATTCACGTGCCAGTCACGAGTTGGCAGGAACTGGATTTTGTGGAATTTTACTATTTGGAATATATATTATATATATAAAGTGTTACTAAAGTTCAATACCGCTAACAGAAACAACTGATCTATGAACGTAATTTTTTATTATTTATATGTCGGTAATCCTATTGTATTTTTCATTTGTTACAGTTTTTGAGATGCTGGTCTGTGCACGTCAGTGTGCACGCAGAAAATCATTAATCCTTACGTTTGGGGAGTTTTGCGTTTTCGCAGCTGAACTACGACGCTGTTCCAGACAAACAAGACAGTATGTATAAATATATATATTTGAATATTAAACAGCGACATATTTACGTGCTAACCTTATTTGGTTTGTCACAAATTTAACTCTTCGATTAGATCATCGCATAAATATATCGTTACGTTCAGGTGACTTTAATGACTGCTCATAATTACCTTGATATAAGAAGCACTTGAACGACGTGCGCATAGAGTCTTGGCAGTAAAACGGAATTCTGAACGTCGAACCGATGTAATGGTATTATGTTATCGTAAAAATATCAATTATAACTAAGTGCGATCGTAATTAGAGTCCTCTGTGTCCGTTTCCGGTTTGTTTTCGAACAGGTTAATTCTGTCGATGACGTTAACTGTAGTTCTAACAGTCAGGGTACTTGAACCAAGCAGCGTTCCAGCGGTTGCCGCAGCGTTCGCGTGCGTTGACCCATGAATGTCGCATAAAATGTTGGTCATGCACCGAATCGTGCTTATAACAACTTGCATTTATAATCTCTACTAGGTTCAATATATAATGGACAAAATTACACTTATTCTGGCCCATTACTAATGTATGTAAGTTAATTTATCTCTTTTGTTAACAGAACATCAAATAAACCGGATTCGCCCGTGAGGAATCTAGACAAAGAACTACGGGATAAAGAAGCTATATGCAAATATGTTAACGGTAAGAACAATTTTCATATAACCGTTCTATATTCATCCTACCAAATGATTAAAGTTGGCAAGCTGCCTCTGAACTGCTTTGTTATGCCGACACATTATTTTTGGTAAACACTGTTTGTCATATCCTTTGATGACAGTTATCATTTATATATAACAAAGTTCGTTGACAGTTTTCCCGCCTACATGAGATATAAGTGGTAATTATAATTAATTAGTAATATTGTTTAGTATTGCATATTTATGTGACGTATTATTCATATATGTTAATCGTTTGGGAGGAGTTAGACCTGTACTAACGTGATGCACGTTGAGTGACTTTCCGCACGGTACTAATCCAGAAATACTCTACCATCCCTGATCTATAGCGGTCAAACGTAAGTTCAGTGTCGCGAGTTATTGGTCAGGTTTTATTGTTTATGACATATAATTATATTTAGTTAACAATAATATTCCGTCTTCTAGAAACTTTAACGTTTGCCGTAAGCTAAATCTAAATTGACTTTTATTATGAAAAGATTTTCATGAATCTGTTAAAGTAAATTTTGTTCGTAAGTTATGAAGAAGTATTGTAAGGATTTTCATCTACCAAACACTACTCCTTTCATAGGGTTATTTATTATGAAAGAATTCGTCTCAAAACTGTCAATGATTATATTTTTCTTGTCTTGGGCATAGAAATTGCATATAAGATAGATATTAAGGAACAAGTATAGCATACTTAAATTGTATTGTGAATTATTTCATGTAACCGTAAAATAATTTTCTGTCATTCATTACAGTAACGGTGTCGTCTCTCATTGGAAAGTTTATAAAGTTAAAAGTTCAGTAATCAACAGTTCTCATCATACATCAGTTGTATTATCAAAGTAACAAATCAAATACATTACTTTATGTCTTATAAATGATTTATTAACACTGAAACTAATTGTAAAACGATTACCGATATAAGGAGCGTTTTCTATAGCGAAAGGGAGCAGGCTGTTATTCATTTTGATTAATTGACTAACTTGATCCGTTGCTGACCTTAAAGTTGCATATTACGATAAAATAAGGTTACAGTTTTATTATTGATTCATCTAAATATCTTGATAGAAATGGTTCGTATGATATCACTAGTTTCCTCCACCAGCTATGTCCGTGATTGTACAATGGATTTTATGACTGTATCTATATGTCATAAACTTTATTCACGGCTAAGGCAGAGTATACATTGTCAACTCATCTATGAATAAATTTATTTGTAGTAGTTTCTATTTTTCTTATAATTTCCATTACCGTAGAGTTTCACAAGGAATGGATGAAAGCCATGATTTAAATATTGATCTCGTCTGCCCGTGATCACGGTTTATAATCAAAAATAAAAAATCGCGTAGTAAATCCGAAAATATTATTTGTTTCATTTAAATATTGAATTGATATCTAAGGTGATGTCTAGGTTTTGATTGAAAGAGAAGAAAATAATACATCTATCCTAATATCATTAATATACATATAAGTAGATATGAAAATAGTAGAACTATGTACAATAGCTTTGTTTGTGAGTGAGTAACATTAATATAATCCAGTGTAGTAGGAACAATCATCAGATACATTGGAATTTAAATTGGCTGCAGGGAATTTCTTAATTTACGTCATCGTGCGGCGCATCTTTGTTTATTTAATAGTTTTGCTTGTTTTCAAGACCACAGTCGCCATAAAAATGTCGTCACTTAATTATAAGTGCTTTAAAGAGCTGTACATGATTGAAACATTTTAACCGGTTTTACCTTGTATATAGAAAATTTTAATTGCTTTGCGCTATTGTTATAATGGAGAGGTTTAAGGTAATATTTATTCAACCTATATGAAAAACGGAATACACTCTAAAAACAAATTATTATTCAGTAAGTGACCGCCATCTTTAAATCCATGACGATTTCGCATTGATCGCACGAGACTCACGTCCCAGACGGACTGACATGCCGGCGCCGACTCTGTATGGGAACGTAAAGATTATAACTCGTTCCAGATTAACATATAAACTCCTTTCACCCACATTTGAATAAGTTACAAAAAAATACTATCATTGCAGAACGCGTCGATAATGACCGTAAGGCATCTTCAAATCAAGAAATGACCGAACACCTTTAATTGCATGTTCGTGTATCATTTTATGGTCGTATAAAATTAATTGGTTTCGAATATAAAAATTAACACACCTAAATTTTTTACGTGTGGCAACACAGGTTGATAATGATAGCGATGACTCATTGTTTTATTAATTCACATAATTTACATGATTTCCTTAAATGCCTAAATATAAAAAATGTCTTAAATCAGTTCCGGATCTTATTCTCGTTATACCTTATCTGATATTACGAGTATTTTAATAGGAAGTGAATAATAAAAAAATAAACATTAAAAAATCTTAAAAGGCACCGTTCCTTTTTCGTCTCCTTAGATCATTTTCGAGAGACGCCTATGTGTAATGTTCCTAAAACATTAGTCATTATAGTTAACACAAACTCGACGTTCTGTATGACACAGTAATTCTGAAACAATGTGAATCTTACCCTTCGTTTCCGCATAATCCCGCTACATAAAAGTAAACAAACTCAAATAAACGTCTGTCGCGACCTTCCTGGCTCTTCCGTACAAACTATAAACAGAGCACGGAAACGCTGCGATGTTAACTAAATCAAATCTAATTATATTTTATATTGATAAATGACGTTTATTGTTATATTAAACTCGACCTTTCTATATAAATATACTTGTCATAGTATTCGTATTCAATTTCTATCTTTTAAATTATTTATATGGTTTCTAAATCGTATGCTCTGTTCTTGTTGGACGATACCGTCATCAAACCCTTGTCAAATATGTCGTGATTAAAACATACATACGTTTTACCTTTTTTTGTTATATTTTGTTATTCCTAAAGCGGACTTAAGCTAAACACACCATGTATAAAAATAGCTCTATAAAAATAATTTTATTTAAGATTATATATTATTTTAAACTAAAATTATGCTATAGTAAAGAAATATAATTATAAACTATGTGTATTAAAATAGATGAAATAGATTTCAGTGGAATGATTTAAATTGATTATTTAGTACATAATAACATTGGAACCTTAATTGTTTTCTCTTTTTGTATCACCATTGCTTAAATTAAAATATAGTATAAATATTCAATATTTATAAAAAATTCTTAGTATCGTCATTATAACAAATTGTATTGTAATCGAAATTTATGACATCATCGAATGAAAAGTAATCAATTAAGATTTAAGGGCACCGTTAGAGTCGAAGGCAATAAATAATTACTAGAAAAATAACTCTATATACAATGTACATTAATTGAAATACATTTTGTTGCTCTATACGCACAATTTTAAATGATTTTCTCATGTATGGGTGCAATTTATAATGATAGCGTATGTATGAATCGGTAACGGATTAATAAGATAATAAGCTGATGTTATGGTGTGTATGATTCGTATAGTAATGATTGTGTGTCATGTTTTGTATAGAAATAACGGAATATTTTAAAATGCGGAATTGGCTGTTAGTGTCGGACGTTGTGTTGGCCGTGTACTGTGGAGTGTGGACGTTAGTTGGCCGTCGACCGTCAACCGGGAGAGCGCGCCTCGACGCGATTGTTCATACACGGAGCCATGCCGCCTACAACAATGATAGTACCCTGTGCGTCCGGAATAATCGTAAACGTTTTATTATTTGATTATAACTACATACAGACAATGTGTTGTGTTAGTTAATTCATTCACTATAGTAGAATATGTACACAATTATAAGTGCGCGGGCGTAAGTAAGGGATGTTGATAGTTTGTTGGTCACGCGTCTGTGTTTACGTTCATGTGATGTTGTTGTTACTCAATTGGATAGTGCGTCGACGTTTTGATATATATTTATTATTAAGCTAGTTTAACTCTATATACCGTCTGTTATGTGAGTCTGTGTTCAATAGATTGTGTTTGATTTTATTCCAACTTGTTTTTCTATTGGCATCTTGCTATCTGTTGTATTTGTAGGTGTCGCGACGTGTTGGTCGATGCTTGATCATTAGCTTTGGGCGCCAGGTTATACTGACCACACGCGTTAACAGTACACTTTCTAAATTAAGGAGTATTGTAACATTACTCACAACTATTTTTAGCAACCCAAATACATTTATATGTCTTCCGGGTGATGTTTTACGGTGTTAGAATTTTTTTATTGGAAAATATTTATAAATCTCAATCTGTACAAAAATCATAATGTAAATAATATATGTATCCTTTTACACAAAATTTACATAGTTTAAACAGACTATTGAACTTAATAATCTTTATATATTCCCCAAAATTTGAATATAAAATAATTTGTTACAGCTGATCTTTAGTATTTTAATATTGCCCTATACATAAAGCGATTCATTACATACGACAGAAGATATTTAAATTTATCCATAACTAATAATGAACAATAGTCATTTGCAAGACAATCCCCCTTATCATATGACTATAAATGGCAGTATTCACAAGTGACGTAGACTCTACGTTAGACACGTAGTCGTAACGTTGAATAGCGTGGGTTGTAAATACTCCCACACATGAATTAATAGTAACAGATATATCTATGTCTATGTTTATCTAATGACATTTTTTTTTATTACAATAATATATTTTGCTGAAAATTTGTCTAAAAATCGTATAACTGTGGCTTAAATCAGAGCAATCATATTAAATCTTTGACACTAAATTGCTTATCGTGTTTTCAAGGATAGGCTTACCTTATGACCTTATACATAACATAACTTCGTTATGTGTAGAAATGAAGGACGATTGTTGAAATATGATCAGGTTTAATTCAATTAAGAGAAATGCTATTTTAATAAAGAAGGCTTTATGGCGTTAGAAAACTCTCGTTAGAGCATTGCAAGCAAAAAAACCCATAATATTTTTTCTAATGTAATAAAATCAATTTCTACCCTCCCTGTATATTGTACTATGCTTTCACAGTCAAATCAGATGTTTTGTTGATGTACGAAAATAATGTATTTGGCTTCTTTGTCATCAATCATTTAATATGGAGGTCCTGCGGCTATTAAAAATGATATTGTTTGTTGGAAATATAGATGATGTCAGTGAAGGGGTCGTTGACCTCACGTGCCCGTTGCATGAGGTGCAATTATTAAGTGTAGAATTTAAAAATGACATAACATCTTAGTTTCCAGGGATCGATGTTACATTCAGATTAAATACTAAGAAATTCGACGATAGTTATTAGAATGATATAATTTTTATCATACCGTAATACAGATATGAGATAACTTACAACACAGATGCTACTTAAATACGAATATCTCGCACCTTCACTCAATTCATTGGGGGATATGAAAAATCATTGTACTAGAGAGTCCTATCTTATATTATTATGCCAGATATGTATATGAAAAAAGTTATATCAGGTATTAATATTGGTATAATTTGGTCGTCGTCATATAAGTGACGTATATAACAAAGGTTGTAGAAAGATTCAAGCGATCCGTTCACATATTGAGTGTTATGAAAGTAATTAAAAGAAATAGTTTCATCTCTTTCTATACATAATACAATAGTATATAGATTATGGAGTGGATTAACATGTAATGGTTATGTCGCAGGCAGCGAGGCCGCGCCACCTCCTTGCGAAGTTTTCCTCGGGGGCTCCTGCAATCCCACCACATGGCGGTCAGACATCGCTATACCGATGCTCAAGAAGATGGGCATCACGTATTTCAATCCAGTAAGTATTAGCATAATGATATCTAAGACATTCGCGAGGTTTAATCGTTTAAATGAAACAATTTTTTTTTTTTCATTTAAATGAAACTAATATAACCGTGATAACTATTGCAGAAAAGTAACCGAAACATCGGGAGTATGTAGTTTTTTTACAAAAATAAAGGACGCGTAGTATCCGAAAAATATTAGTTTCAGTTAAATGAAGTATTACCATAGCTAACGTTGAAGAACTAAATAATATTTTATATAACTATTGGGCGTAATACAATTCCGATATTCATATTTTAATAACTTAGTTAACTTATCTCCTTTATAGATTTTGTTTTAAACGATTTTCAATTCACAAACCAGGCAACATTACGGCGGTGACAATTTTGAATATTTATGAGCTCAGCGACATTCCTTTACTGGTTGTCGACTAAAAAATGTTGTAGGCGAATAGAAACAATATATTGTTGCCTACATTATATCTTAACACAATATAGTGTTTATATGAGCGATAGTGCATGTACTCTATGTACACTTCTAAGTAATAAACGTGATTATATGAGAGGTTTAGAGTCAATTGATATAACACGTATGATTTATGAATCTAAGATATAATTTACTATCTTCCGCTACAGCTTCAGTTCTGTATTTCTGTGTACATTATCCATGTATAATTCGTCCTAATCTGATGAGCAACTTATCCAAACATTTAACATATCGAATATATTGACCAAAAACATATTTCTTTAATTTAAAAAACAGTTAAGTTGATCTTCAGTATAAGTACATATGTATATAGAAAAATATAGTCACCGAAAAAGTTTTATACTATAAATTACATTCCACAACACGAAATATCCTAAACAAAATCAATAGTAAGATATTACATCCACCAAATGAGATACAAGCTGGAATATTAAGAAGTGAAAAAAGTAATATGTATCTATCAAACGTGCAGCAAGTAGAGGACTGGTCTACGGAGCTGATAGAAGTAGAACATCGTGCGAAGGCGGAGGCGAGAGCGTTACTGTTCGTGTTGGACAGCGAGACGAGGGCAGTGGCGGCCAGCGTGGAGGCTGCACACCTCGCGGCCGCGCCCCGGGACCTGCTGCTAGTGTTGAGGCCCTACTCCAGACATCAGACTATAGGACGAGAGACTATATCCGATCTGTTAGTTGACCTCCTCTATATTTACATTGGCTCTGAATCATTAACGAACAGACAAAAAATGATATATTAAGTGTCAAAAATATTCACAGATTTGAATACAATTCTTGTTGATATGTATGTCATAGTTCTCTGAATGAGGTTCATATTTCAGGGAGTACGTAGAGCTGTCTCGAGCCCGAGCCACGTTGCAAGAGGCTGTAGAGCGGCGCGGTCTGCCGGCCTTCACAGATATACCGGCGGCGCTGAGGTGCGCGGGCGCAGTGCTTCGCGGCGCCCGTACGCACCCGCGACACTCGTTGGGCCACACAATCCTGCGGTTGAAACGCGCGTACGATGCGGCCGGCGGTAGGAACGCTCGTCTGCCGCGCTCTAGAGCGGTCGACGCTTTGAAGGAGGCGACTCGGGCGCCGCGTGACGTCGCCGAGCGCTGCTTGCCGCCTAACGCTAGTACTGTGGACTTTGAAACATTCTGTGCTGCTGTTGCCGAATTAGCCTCTGATAATGGTGAGAATATTGACTTATACTAACTCTAAATCTCTTGGTTTTGGAGAGGTCTTGCCATCATAAAACTTTATTATTTTCGAAGTCCAAATAATCGCTTCCAAGGAATATTTGTGACATTTATCATCATCTCGTTCATGATTATTACAAAACATCGATCTAAAGGATAATTATTTGTGTATAATTAATAAGTGGTGTGTTGGTTTCGGGTCTATACGTTGGTGTAAGGCTGTGTTTGTTAAAGGACCCCACACACCGCGGTCGCCGTCCGTGTCGAGCGTCGCCTCGCGTGTCCGCCGCGCGTTCCGCTCGCTCCGTGATTTACTAACGTCATCTACTTTGACGTCTGGTGCGTTTGCACGACGCGCTTACAATACTACAACACTTCCTATGCGTACCGTTACCTTTAAAACTACTCAAATAAAAAAGTTTTACTTAAAGTTCCTTTTTCAAATAAATTATATATTTATAATCTGCCAGAGTAAATGAGTAGCTTTGTTTATTTGCTGTCAAACATAACAGTTTCAATTTAAAAAAAAACACTAACGTTCTTTTTAAAAATCTGCCCGAGTAAATGGATATCTTTGTCTATTTGCAGTCAAACATAATATATACCTACTATAACCTAGTTTTTAATTGTAATATTTTATCGGTCATTAGCTTAATTCGATAAATATATGTATATATACTATTTGTACAAAAATGCGACCTTGATAAAATTTATCATAGATTTAATTATTAATTTTATAACTAAATATCGATGTGACGTTATTTAAAGTTATAAAATCGAGATGTTATCTTGATAAGATAATGAATTACACAAAGCATTTTTACCTCCCTTAACGTTACGCTTAGGAAGTTATCGTCAATCATTCTTGTAAATATTTCACGCAATTTCCATTTGTTTTATAAGTTTGTCGTCGTCTTGATTTGCTTATATTTTAAGTTTCGTAACAACAGCGTTTAACGTCATATCGTTTCGTTTCTTCGTTGAATTGAGTTTTGGTGTATTGTTTGTTTCGCTTTTCAGATTTTTTAATATAAATCAATAATTTATATTTTAAGTAACAGTGTCCGCTTTCTATTATGATTTATTGATTTAAAATAACCGGTATAATTTACAAGACAGGAATTATTTTTTTATTTAATTCTATTTTAATATATTATATTGTATTACCAGATTACCGTAACGGTCAAGAGGAGCGTTCAGATCGCCCTGAAGCCAGTAGTTCTGAGAGGTCCCGGGAAAATGGACTCAGGGTTCACAACGCCCGGTTGAGGGCTTACGGGCAGAAACTATCTCTATACATACCTAAGGTGACTTAATATACATGTGTAAATCAGTAAGAAAATCCTACTAATATTATAATTGCGAAAGTTTGTGAGTGTGTGTGCATGTTTGTTACTTCTTCACGCTCAAACGGCTGAAGCGATTTTGATAAAATTTTGTATACAAAAAGCTGACGTCCAGGAATAACATATAGGTTACTTTACATCCCGGAAATCTCGGAACTCCGCGGGTAACACCGCTGGGCGCAGCTAGTATAAAATAATTTCTATCGAATATGTAATTAAATGTTTTATTTTCAGAACGTCAGTCGTACGGAGGAGAGTTCAACTCCTAAGTCTGGTGATTCAGTGTTAACGCCGGGCACAGAGCGCCGGCTCGAGCGTCTACCCTCTATGGTTGCGCACACGCACGACGTATACCTAGGAGGAAACTTCCCGGTAAGAAGGGTTTTGTTTATATACTACATTTCCAGAAAATTCAATTTTATTACGATATTGTAATTACTAAAAGAATTGGTTGTTTAAATACTTGTAAAAGTGAATATTTATATCATATAATTCAGTGATTTTATTTATTGTATAATGGCCTGTATTAAAAGGTTAGATGTACATTTTTCATATATTTTCATTCATTAAAAAACTTAACTAACTCCCTAAATTCCCGTAGGATTACGATTATTTTGATTATAGTTAGTTCTTTCCGATCTAAATTCAATGTAAATGTAATTCGTTAGTTTCTAATAAACCGATGTTTTTATGTCCTTTCTTAAAGCACGTCCAGTAATACTGGGCCATATTCGTACAATTTTATTGATCCTACTCGTGTTATTGACCTACAAACGTTATTGTCGGCGATAACCTCAATGCCGCTCCAACTAAGACTTTCAAATGAAACGATGTCATGCGCGATATTTTCTTCACTGTTTGGGACGCGTTCGAAATTTAAATTGCTAAAAATTCAAGAGCTGTGTATATGAATCGTGTCAGAAGTATTGTCAATTCATATAAAAGATAATGATCTCTTAAGCGACGGGACGGTAATCAGTAGTCAGTAGAATGGTCTCCGGTTAGCATACAATGCGTTCAATTTCCTAGAATGTTAGCATAATGCGTTCAAACAAGCCCAGTTTAATCAGTTAGTGAGACTGTCATGTGCTCGTATTGTTCATATTACGGATGTTTATCATTTTTGTAGTTCGTCTTGTTGTTTGTTTGACGGTGGTATCGAACAATTTATTCATAATTCATATTTATGGTATTTCTGATGTTCTATTCCTGTGACAAATAAAGGAATTCTTTTCTTTTTTGTGTTATGAGATTGCTATAATAAAATAAAATGAAATTAAGACCAACGATACGTAGAGTTTATTGCTGTTTTCTAATATAACGATCATTTGTATTTACAGACGAACAGCACTAGACCGGAGGAAGTGCTCCGCCGTGAGGGTTACACGTACGTGGTCCCGCGGGCTAACGACTACACGCGGATGTTCTCAGCACCCGCGAGACGGACGGCGCCTACCACGGACTCACCGTGCAGGGACAAGAAGCCGCGGCCCGACCACGACCACGATGACCACGGTGACCACAGCGACCACAACCCTGAGAGAACGGAACGACCCTCACCTACCGCCCTCTCACCCACCGATGTGGTGTACAGGGAGAAGACTGCTGATGATAGAACAGCTGATCGCTTGAGCGCTTCAGACTTCTATAAAGTCTCGGAGGATATAACGCCGCAGCCTTTCAAAGGTTTGTTATATAATGAATTTGTAAATACAGTATGTATAGTTAATTTTTATCAATAATAAGAAATTGCAAATAAATTATAGTTATATAAAAATTGTATCCACAAAGAGATTATTTAAAGGAAGAAGAAAACAATTTCTATTTACAAAATCAAAAAATATATATATATTTGTAATAGAACATATCATACATTGGCAGTATATTTCGTGCACATGTTACAGATCACATAATAAATAAAAAAAAAGTAATTATATAAAATGATGATTTAATTCCACCCAGGTACATACGATGAGGAGCAGTTAGCGGGGTCTCGTGTGGCTTTATTCAGCCTGAGTGCGGAGGCGCCGGGGTTCGCGGCCATGGTGTTAGCGGCGCACCACATGGGCCTACGGGCTAACAATACTGTGCTGCTAGTGCAGACCATGGATAGAGAGAGAGCGCCTAAGGTATAATGCATTAAAACGCTAAAATATCTTATATATTTCCTGAAAATAGCACATTAAATCTTATATTGTGTTTTTACAGTATTAACTTTGATTATCATTAGTCTTTGTATATTGTTTTCTATACAAGACTTTATTAAATAATCGTATATAATAATGATCTAAGACTTTAGCGAGTATTCATTGAAATGAAACTAATATTTTTCGGATTACTACGCGTATTTTATTAGGTATTTTAAAAACTACAGATATCTCGTCTGCCCGTAATCACGGCTGCTACAAAGTAACCGAAACCGAAATGTAGTTTTTAAAATAATAAAATAGGCGTAGTAATACGAAAAATATTAGTTTCATTTCAAGTCGCATATAATGTTTTTAACACCTTAAATCATAACGAGATGTTCTCATTACAGTACAGTGAAGCGGCCGTGAAGGACTACAACCGCGGCCGACACTACCTTATAGATCTGGCTCGCCGCGCGGCCGTGCCTGTGTTCGACAACGTGGACGCGGCCATGGCCTGCGTCATAGACAAACTGAGGACCACCAACTAATTATAAACAGCCAGTGACAATCCTAGCGTAATACTGGCACAGATTAAAAAAGTCTAGCTGAAAATCTTGCTAGCAACCCTTTACAACTATATATAATATTACATCTCTAAGTTTTATCATAGCATTGAAGCTAGACCATCCCGAGTACTGAGATACGTCTGTACGCGTTATTATTTATTTATTATGATATGTTAGTACATATTAATGAACTGTATCCCGGTCGCTCACACTAAGCCATCACAGGTTATACAATTTTTTAACATAACTATACAAATTTCTTTAGCCTATAAACTAGAACGCTTTAACGAAGAATTTTATGCTCAGTACAAACACCAGTTGGTTGAAAAATCGGCCCATATTATTTATAAAATAGTATCTATGCTATCGCGAATCTCACAGGACTTACGTAAGTCGGGTTCCTCATAAGTCATACGTAACTCTATAGAATTTCTATCACAATACTACGTAACGGAAACATCACAAAACTATCCGATACTTTGCCGGCATTTCCAACGAGTCTCACATACATGTACTTATATCTCACGAGTTGATAGTTTCGATTTTCGAACACTTTAGTCTAGTACAAACAAATCTCTCTTATACTTCGTCACTCTCTATATGTATAATGAAAGTGTAGCCAATAATATAAATACGATATATATAAAGTATGAAAGTAACCGCGTGGAAGATAATGAATAACATTGAGTTCAACAAATCTCTGTGATGAATTTGTTTAGGGAATTATTTTGCTGTATTTTCAATGCATAAGTAGTTTAGCGTGTAATAATAATGTAGGATCTAAATGCAGGCGGAGAATGATAATATTATGTTAACATTTTAGTGAATCTTAACATGACAAATGCACATGTCAGTACAGAGTGAGTGGAGCGCACGTTCAGAAATCCTTTGTTATTTACATGGAACGGGAGCTTAAATTGACTGATGTTATATCTTAAAGTGTTGTTTGTCGTACTATTTAGGATGTATAGTGGGTCTTATAGACAATTCTCTCAAATTAGATCTTTAAATGTATTGGCATAGTGCTGTTAATTAATATGCGAACATTTACTAAACAAATTCGGATAATGGAAAGTACAAATATGTCTTGCTCATGTAGCAACTAGCGAATATAAAAGTATGTTGTAAACGTTATACGGAATAAATTTCTTATGCAAAATTAATCTTTTATCACATTATACTCATTTTTAAATTTAGTTTTAATGATTTTTATAGACTTCTAAAAAAATTCATATGCAAAATTTTACTTACGAATATTTGGTCAGGCTTTTAAAGCCGATTCCATGCCTTATTTAGGTAGCATAGGTAACATAATATTTCTCTTTAGGATTTAAGTTGTAAAACACTTGACCCACTGTCGCTAAAATATTACAATTTGATATAATCGGCAAATATTATTTGCTAGTCACATTATCCATTAACATTATTAAGTACTCTGTAATATTGTTTGATAGTACAAAAATCTAATTTATAGTGAAAAATATTTCATATATTAATTGTAATTATATGCCATGTACGCTTATTTTAAACTAAAACATCACATGTAAATATAGAAAAATTGTAATTATCACTGTGTCTTATTCATGATTCCCCTATAATGGTTTATATCTTATTTTTATATGTGCTTTCTTAATAATTTTATGCAATGACTTCCAAAATCTGGTACATTTACTCAGTTTTATTATAAACTAGAAATAAATATCAGATATATATCCATTATAAATTTTTGCTTATAAATAAGCATGTCAAGAGATCAATCGCCAATTTATGTTTTTATTGAGATGAAAATTATCATTAAAGTTTGTTGTTATAACAAGAGTTAAGAATGTGGAAAAATTAAAAAGGCAGGAAGTAATAAAAACAAAATGTTTATATCATTTTCTACATACAATGTAACATAATATACTAAAACACCGTCATCTTCTGCTTATCCTTCCTCTGGTTTTGTTCTTTTGTTATTTCCTTTTCTTTCTTCTGCAGCAGATCGAGTTCTCTCTTTTTCTCTGCTATTTGACTGCTAATGCTTCTGTAGCCATTACTCTGTGATGGATATTTTGCTAATGAACAATTTAGTTTAATTATCTCACATTCAATCCGTTTGCTATCTTCTTCCAACTTGAATTTCTCTATGTTCAAATCTTTGCTAGACGATTGTTTAACGTCAACTGTTGGGGCCCTTCTTGATTGTTCTGTATCAATATCAACTTTATCGCCTAATGTATTGTTGAGGAAATTAAAAACATTCCTTCTCTCCATTTCTTTTTCCCTTTCGTAAGCACGTTTACTGCGTTCTTCTTCTCTCTTTTGTAATCTTTTAAGTCTCTTTTCAACCTTCAATATCAAAATAAATGTTACTATTAAAAAAAAATCATTCACACACAATAAGTCTCGTACACACTTACTAAGAATGCGTCTTTCCCAGCAGCTTTTTGTTTTAACTCCATACACCTATCAAGGGAGGCTGTAGAAGGCATGATATGAGCCTCAACCGGTAACAAACGACCATCACTTGCTGCACCCAAGCCTGTACCCGGGACATAACCCATTGATAACATAATCTTGGACCCCATGCCCTAAAAGAATATATTGTTAAAGCTAAAAAAGACAAACAAATCTTATTTATAAACTAATTGTTCGTAATGCATTACATTCTGTTTTATTATAAGATTGAAAAAGGTTTTAAGTAAATAAATTATATCAAATTAAGGATAAAGAAACTAGATTAAAAAAACTTTAAACAATCAATTAATTTTTTTTTGTTAAAAATAAAAAAATCTTTACTTTTATAAAATCTATTTATTTATCTATAACTGGAAGTGCTTAAAAATTGTTACGTGAACTATACAAGGAAATGAAATTAATACATACTCACTCTAGTATGACGTTCCCACTCCCCCATTGCTGGACCATTAATATGTAAATTGTCTCCTATCAAAGTGGTGTTGTCATCATTTCTTTTGCTACTCTTTAACTCAGGATACTCTGTGTCACTTATACTGTCTGAGTCCGAGTCATTGTCATCTTGAGCTGGAAAGATAATTTATTGTAATACAATATTAATTATAGATTAAAATATTATTTTTTTTATACTGTTATTCATATTTTATACACTAAAACTAAATTCTATGGCAATTAAATTTAAATCTTCAAACTAGATAATGGTAAAATTCATTTAAAGCATTTCAGACACCCTAAATCCTATATTGTAAATATATAAAGCTTTTATAAGCACTTTACTGGTTTGTACACATAACATGGTATATCAGTTAACTTTTATAATAGTAAACTACCAAAAACTAATTTTCAATAATTAATGACATTGGTTCTCATACAACTGTTATGCCCTATTGTCAGAGGACTTTCTAAATATATCATAGCCCCTATGACAAGATGTATGATCTATATGATTTTAAATCATAATTGATATCTCCTTTGCAGTTTTAGACTACCTAGAATTTTTTTTGCAAATTGTGTTTTTTTTTATTATAAATTGGGTCTCTTCAAGGCTAGAGCAAATAGGCTGAGACTATCAAGCACTATCCACTCATAAACAATATTTATGTCATGCAACAAATATCCACCCATGCATACAACAGTTTCCATAATCTTTATAATATCAATAAGGTTAGTAAGAATTATATGAGTATTTTCTTTATCTACTAACATCCAAGTGGAAAAAATTCTTCAAACTTCAGATGAAATTCATCTGAAACAACTTTTCTTTTCTCTCCAATCTTCCCACCATGTTCCAACTTAGCAACACATGTCCTCTTATCTAAATCCACACCAGTTACTATAGCTCTCTGCCAAAGATGATATTTTTCTGTTGACTTTTTAACTGTGCTCATATCCTGAAATATGAAAATATATATGTATTATATTACACTGGTCTTGTCTTACTTAATAATATAGTATTATTTTAATTGTGCTCTAAGGCAATTGGAAATAAATGTATAAAGAAATAAACACCTCATCATCTGGCGGTTTAAGTTTCATTAAAATCCTGCTGCCTACTTTTAAGCCTTCATAGTTTGGTTCAATTGCTTCCTTTAAGCTGGATAGTTGAACAACTTTTCCATGGGAGTATCTGGAAGTATTACAAAAGAATATGTTTTTACATAAATTTCTTAATCATCTAAAAATTTATATACTTATATATATGTATTTCAGGAATAATCTAAATTATTTTCAAAACTCACCTACATTGTTCATCACTAAATTTGCATTCTCCATTCAAGAAAAAGGGGCATGGCAACATTTCAGTGTGTGTTGGATGTGTAAAAAGTACTCGAACCTTAAACAACAACAAAATTACAATTATTACTCATATCTAAACAATATAACATAACTTATATTCAGTATGATTTAAACTTTGCTCAAGTAACATATTTGGTTTATAATTAACTAGCTGCGCCCCGCGGTGTCACCCGCGGATTTCCGGGATTTCCGTGATTTTCGGGATATAAAGTAGTCTATGTGTTATTCCTGGACGTCAGCTTCCTGTATACAAAATTTTATCAAAATCGGTTCAGCGGTTTGAGCGTGAAGAAGTAACAAACATACACACACACAAACTTTTGCAGTTATAATATTAGTAGGATTATTAAAAATGTGCAATACTTGTAAGTCACTAAATTGGTCATCATCTTGTCGAGGTACTACAGATCCCACCATCGCATTGTGTAAAGTTGGTTGACCTCCCCAAGTGTGTGTATGATACACAGAACATTTCATCCCAAGAAGACTGGCCAATTCATCCTACAAAACATTAAATACCATGTATTACCAATTGTAAATATTTAATGGACTATAATATATAAAATGGGAGAAAATAGTTACTTCTATATCACTATCTTTGTCATCTTCTGTAGCGTTTTTGCCCTTAACATTTGCTGCATCACTTTCATCCATCTCTTTCTGAAAATAAAATACATTGTGGACTATGCACAAACAAAGAGAATTATACAATTTTACTTATATACCATAAACAGTGCATATTCTTCATCAAGGCCATTAGATTCTGTTGCATTTTCACATTGATTATTATCATTTACAGTCGATTGTTGTACGTTCATACTTTCCTTAGTAAGACTGATAAGCTCTTGTAGTTCTGATTGCAATACAGAAAGTGATTCGCGTTCATTAGCATCCTGGGTGGCTTGCAGCGCTTGTCTAACGACTGAGAGCTATGAAAAACCATAATGCAAATAGAAAATGAAGAAATTTGAAGCGAAAAAACGGAATTAATAAAACACAAGGAACTCTTTACTTGGTCTTCATATTGATTTATAGAGGAAGCTAAATCTTCCATTATTTTAATATAGCAAGGCTGTACTTGTACAAAAATGTTGAATTTTGGTGTCAAAAAAACGTAGAAAATAAATTAACTTCAATCTTATAATTTGAAAAAACCATACTACAGTACTATTTCAAAATGCATATTTCATAATAAACCATAATTTTTAAGTAATTTTATTTCTTTGATAGATGAGTGATGACAGTAAAAATTGTTTTTTCCTATTTTTTGAGGTTTTGAGTTCTAGTTTTTTAAGAATCAATCAATAAATAATTATTTAGGTAACTTTCTTTCTTTAAATAGCATTATTTTTTATTTCATCGTGTGTAAATAAAACAAAATAAATGACAAAAGTTTCTTTCTACTTTTGATTACTGTCACAGAACCGTACCTACCCAATAAATAAAGGTATTTTTTAAAAGTTAATGAACTTTTCCCCTTCTCTTTTTGATGATATCTTGTATCATATTTTGGATTGCTTATTTAGAATTTTACTCTTGCAGATCCCTTTCCCGAATCTTTTCGACAGAAAAACATTTTCGACTGTGTCTGTGACCGAGACAACGAAACCGTTCCCGATGAAATATTTAGAGGAAAAATAATATGTCGATTGTACTCCGAGCTCCATCCTCTCTAAAAAATTAGTTATGCCAAAAGCGATTTAACGTGATTTTACAGATATAAACCAGGTAGTTGACAAAGCTTTGGGTTCCCATGACATTTGCAAGATTCAGAAAGTGTGACTTATGACTCCCTTTCCTCCCCTTGAGTATCTTAACGACTGTAGCAGTTACATTACGAGCAAGTTCCAGTCGTAGTGACCAGAGGTCTAAGTCTGAAGCTGATTTATCACACGAAACCATCAAGACCAATTTTCAACAACCCTGTTTATTACTATTATAGTTGAATTTATTTTTTGTCATTACTAATTACATATTGTCTCATTTTGGTATTACTATTGATTATGAAAATAATATGTCAAATTATTTCTAGAATCCAGACTTGATTTTATCAAGTAAACCAAAATAAGTTCTTAATATTTTTTGTAGATTTAACATGCTACTGATAAAAACAAAACGCAAACATATCTTATATTGACTTACATATTTGTTTATCATATGAAATATGGTTACTTAATTCTTAAATAAGGTTTCAATTATGTGAAAATGAAATAATGAAATATGAATTTAATATATTTTATTCATTTATTACTGCATTCAAGGTTGTTTTTTTAATGACTGTGGCCACTGTATTTTTTATATGAGCGCCAGAATATTCATCATTATTTTCGAAATTTGCAGCTATAGTTTGGAATGTATCATTCATAACTTCTTTCAGTTTGTTTTTAAAATGTTTGTTAATATTTACATTTGAAAAACTCTCAATTTTCTTTGTTAAATCCTTGATTTCTTTGTCTTTTATGAGCAATTCTTCTTTTAATTCATTTATTTCCTGAGACATGTTATTGACTTCAGTGTTTTTAATTTCAATGTTTTCTTCATATTTTGTTGATAATATTTGAACTTCAGCTCTGAGATGTAATATCTCATCATCTTTATCTTGACAGATAGAGTTTGTATTAGTTTCAATTGGGCTTTGTACATGTTTTTCTTTAGTACTTACAGTAGAAGGTTCAAATTTATTGCAATCAAAGCCCTTCAATTTGAGAAACTCTTCATACCTTTGTATTTTTGTCTCATATTCACCTAAAAGTTTCAATACAATCTCATTCTGAAATGTTGATGAACTTTGTTGAAGAGGTTCCATATTTCTGAGATTGTTGACTTTGTCTAATATTAAATCTAATTTGTCTCCCATTTTGTTCATGTTCATTCTCAATTCAGTATTAGCTACCCTTTGTTCGGAAACATATAAGTCATTTGTTTGGATATTATAAGTTGTTAATGGTACAATTTCCTGACTGTTTATATGTGAAATACTGTCTGTATGAGTTATAGGTTTCATAGTAGTTATGCTTAAATTTGTATCACTTTTGCAGTCTTCTTCATTTATCTTTTTGTCAATATTCTTTTTTGGATTTAGTTTTAATGGCTTATGTCTTATTTTTGGTACATTCATACTGTCGTTACTGTCTGATGAATCACTGGTTTGGAACGTCAATTGAGGAGGAGGCAAAACAGATTGACCCATAGAAGCCATCCTTTTAAGTATTGTCTCTTTAGTTCTTTTGTTAGCTATTGATGAGTCAGTATCACTTTCTCTATCTTGACTTAGATTTTTCACCGAGTCTTCTTCAACCTTTTCAGAGACAACACTACTAGGAGTGTCTTCTACAGTTTGAATAGAGTTTTTAATCTGAACATTTAAAGGTTTTACAATGTCTATTATTTTATTCACTTCTGGTTGTGTTGCACAGACACTCCAATACCTTTTGTTATTGTCATAATATGATATCCTCCAATCTCTATCTATGTTGAGAGTTACATCAGAAGTGAGGACAAGACATGATAAAGTAATTTTCTCTGAATTATATATAACAAGGTTGTGAAAACCAGTTTGGGATATCTTCATTATTGCAAATCCCAATTTACCCTTGGGGATGTGAGTGTTATTACACCTAAAACAATCAAGTTGGAATCAGCTCTTAATAAAGTTATTAATATGTATTATGCGGTAGTACTTAGTAGTGTCATTTACCATTCATAAATATGGAAAGCACTTGCATATACACATTGTGTTGGCTTATTTTCTTCAGGCTTAGTTGTAGTATGGGTTGGCACAGGAGGCACATATTTTAATGAAGTATCTTGTCCACTGTCTACTTCATTACTACTAAAAATTTTTGCTAAAGATGTGCTGAAGTAAAATACAAAATGTTTATTAATATGAATGCAATACCATTAGAAACACTGTTGACAGTATGTATTTACCTAGATGCCGGAGTAAAATAATCAATATCAACTTCTTCAGTTTCAAGCATTGTCGAACATTTACTTATTAATTAGTTTCTTACAAAAAATACTAAACAACTCAAAGATTGGAAGTAGAGATGAGTATACATAATAATTAACATCCCAAAATTAACGTCATTATTTAATAAAATATTGGTAATTATCAAAAGTAATCTAAACAACGTATCTAGAACACGAGTTAGTTTATAAAATCATATCTATTATTCTTTTTAAAAACGTTTTATTTGTAATAAATAGGTCAAAAATTTGACATATAATAATAGACATCTCTTAGTCAATAGTTATACATAACTACCTATAATATAGTTACTATTAAAATAGAATTATAAATTTTAGTCTCAAGAAGTAGTCGGGCTTTTAGGCAAGTAACAAAAAATTTTTACAATATTTTGTGAAAATGTATGTATTATCTATTATGTTTTTAAGGACTGTTTGAGATTGACACACTTGGTACAGATTAGTTTACTCGAGAGTAATCGCTAATGTCAATGTCACTTCTGTCTGGTTATAATTCATACAAAGGCACTGCGAATGTTCTAAGGATTAATTCGAGTAAAGATCGTAAAATACTATTATTTCATCATTTTTGTTAACATTACGTGTTCATTTGTTTGCTATATATTTTAAAAGCTTTCTGTGATAAATATAATTTCCATAATGTCGAGCACATACACGTGTATAACATGCCAAGTGATTTTTAAAACGGCTGATCTACAACGTGAACATTATAAACTAGATTGGCACAGATATAATTTAAAAAGAAAAGTAGCTGGTATTCCTCCAGTGACATTGGAAGAATTTGAGCAAAGAGCTAAAGAACATAGAGAACAAGCACAAAATGTTGAACGCGATGAGTCCGCATACTGTAAATATTGCTCAAAATCGTTCAATACCAAAAATGCTTTCAATAACCATTTAAATAGCAAGAAGCACAAGTTGGCTGAAGAAAGAAATTTGTCTGATGTGCCTAAATGCCCTGAGAAAGTAGAAGAAGAAAGTCACACTGACTCAAATAGTTTTGAGAAAATTGATATAACACCCAATCAATCTAGTGAGCTTGTTGTTATTAATGCAGAGAATTCTAGTGAAGACGAAATTGACACCGACTCTGAAATTGAAGAGGTATGGAGATTACATCTTAATCTTTGTACAGTGATTTGTGGTATTTCACAATATTTTAAAATGTTATCAAAATCCAATCAAATTATCTTGTATTAAAGAAGTAAAAGTAGATATTCTTGGACTTTATTTTACAGTAAATAGAGTAAAGTATATAGTAGGTATACTAATAGATAATAATACATTAATTCATATATGTATTGTATTCAAAATCTTTATGTCCATAGCTTGACTCTGATGAATGGGAAGAATGTCGCATCAAGGGTAGTGACTCTCTTATCCATCAATATGACTGCCTGTTTTGTGGTCATCACAGCCGCAGCATAGTCAAGAATTTGGAACATATGGGTGTAAAGCACTCATTCTTTGTGCCCGATGTGGAATACTGTGTGGATATGAAAGGTCTTCTCTTATATTTAGGAGAAAAGGTATGTTATGTAATTCCTGACATAAGTGTCAAGTCTATCAATAAATGTCGCATTGTTCAATTGTAAGGATAGATTTTCCTAGGAGTAATTTGAAATATGCCATACTATTACTTGAATATTTCATTACTTATATAAATTGACTAATTAGGTAGAATATGATACAAATGAATTTAGCACACAAAAATATTTTGCTTCATTCAGTAAACTTATCACTGTTCAATTTTTTAAGACGCAAGTTATTATTATGGGTTAAATAGCTTAAAGATAAGATTTTTAAATCAACAAAAGAACCATCTTAAATTGGTATGGATATGAATTTGTAAAAAATATACACATATTATTTTGTAAGTTCCTTATTTTTTTTTTAGATATCTCAAGGATTTATGTGTCTATGGTGCAATGAAGCCGGCAAAACCTTTTACTCGATGGAGGCAGCTAGAGCTCACATGATAGATAAAGGACACTGTAAAATGCTGCATGAAGGTCTTGCCCTAGCTGAATATTCAGACTATTATGACTATAGGTATTATAAATACATTAATATATATTTCAATATCTTTGTAATATTGATTATACATATTTATTTCCATTTAATTGGTTTTGAATAAGAGATAGTAATTGAGCATTTCATACAAAATATACATCATGTCAAAACACATCAATAAAATTGATAATAATGTTCTGCGGTAATATATATGTTTTGAAACTTCAAGCTACTTAAACTTAATAAAAATTATAACAAAAATAGGAGCAATAGCAATAGTGTATTAATATAATAACAAAAATGTTATTAGTTCATCATATCCTGACAATGAAGATGGCGAGAATATGGATGTGGATGAGGAAGTTGAAGGTCCTACACCATTGGACACGAGTTATATGGAGCTGGTACTGCCATCAGGCATCACAGTAGGACATCGGTCACTTATGAAGTAAGTATGATGAATGGTTAACAATTTAAAGTAGAGATCTATAGCTCACTTTGGGAATTAATTATGTATTAAGTTCTCTTAGGTAAATAATATGGCAAATCCAGTGGTTCCTGGACAGTTCCAGGCCATACACAATGTCCCCATTATTTTCTGGGTCTCTTACTACCACTTTTAGTTCTGCAGTACCCACATGGGGGTGTTATCACTCACTTAATTTTAAAGCAATATTTTCAAAAGGTCAGACAATTGACTTTAGCATTGGTGCTAATTCTTAGTTATCTGTAGATTTTTTTGTCCTAAACTATCTTGTTTATTAAGTAGTAGTTTCTATAACAGTCATTGTCAAGTGAGATGCATCATGTTCCATGTCATTGTTTACATATGTGAGGAGGTGACTCATATTTAATTTAATGTGATTATTGTAATTGATATGAAATAAAGACCACTTATATATTTTATTCATATTGACCATATCATGTATTCATGATGCTTATCTTTTTCAGATATTACAAGCAAAATCTGTCTTATGATAGTCGGGCTTTAGTAAAGAAATCTGATCGCAAACTTCATCGTGTTCTGGGAGTTTACAGAGCATTGGGATGGTCTCCAAAGGAGCGGGCGGAAGTTGCCAAGTAAGTAGAAACTTTAGTGACTCTTAACATCTAAATAATTGAAATTATAAAATAAGTTTTTGGACACCCTTATCTAAGTTATTTAGCTAATTGCAACTTTTCATTTATTTCTCAGTATTAAGTACTTTTATTATGCTATTGTGTTGATATATTACATTTATTAGGAGATAATTATGTTTTAAACTTTAATAACTTAAAAAAAAAGAAACTACTGTTTGTCTTACAAAAATACTGAAATATTTGTGACTAAATACTTTAATTGCTTCTCCTGAAGAAGTACATTTTTAGAGTTAATATAGTATTGTAGTGGCCAAGCAATTTGTGTATATTCTTGTTCTTGACTTTTCAGAAAACATTCATTATGATAAGACTTTATGAATTTTTACTTCTTTTATTCCAATAAGAATTTTTATAATTCAAGTCCTTTTGTAATAGTGAAGAAGTTTTTTTTGATTTTTGATTTTTATTTTTAGGAAAGCTCGTGATATTCACTTCATGAAACGGGTGCAATCTAAGTGGCAGATGAAGATGTCCATGAAAAACAATAAGTTCCAGAAACATTACCGACCACAAGTCATTTTCTAAATTATTTATTTATTATCAAGGGAGCGTTCAAGAATTACGTAACGCAATTTTCGAAGATTTTTGACTCCCCTTTCCTCCCTCGTAACTCACAGTAACGTTGTTCTGTACCCCCCCCCCCCCCCTTCTCAAAACGCTACGTAACACTCAAGTGATCAATTTCATCCTAAAGTCGTAAAACAATATGTAATAGTTTGGTATAGTTTTAATGTATTAAATGGAAAAGATCATTAATACAAATCTCCCTCTTCTGAAGAAATTACAGCATGAACACTAGGTATATGAACTCACGGATAAATACTTACGAATACTGACCACAGAACCAACATTAAATGACTTACAATGCAATCTAGGTATTCCCCGTAAAATATCAATTAAGAGGTTTGCAAACTTGGGAGAACAAATAAAAATATCGACCAGACTAATACAATCTAGGGATTGTTTTAGTCTGGTCAACATAATGTATTATGTAACGTATATGAAAAGAGTATCCAGTTTGGGGGTTTTTATTAATATTTTTTACTGTAACGCGTCGTAACGTTTTACGAGACCCCCCCCTCCCCCAAATTGCGTTACGTAATACTTGAACGCTCCCCAAGCCTTACTTTAAAAATTATTTGGTAATAAATACATATTGTATTTTTTTATATTTTTTAGTTCCTGATGTACTGTTATGAACTTTGTGATGTAAAACTGTAAAAATGTATATTAAAAACACATTTTTAAATTCATATAAACCAAATATAGACTATTCTATTATCGTATTCATATTTAAAACAAATTTCAAAAGTATGCATTGAATATATAGCGAGGTAAATCATATTTCTGTTAATAAAATATTAAGACAGAGTTTGTGATAATACCTTAATCTGTGTAAACAAGAATGTTAAGTTTCCACTTTACAATGTATAAGTTTTTAGAAAGATGCGTTCTGCATTACAGATAATATTTTGAATTATATCTGTCAGTGACATATATATTTTGTAAATTGTCTGTTGTCGATAAGGAATTTATGAAATTGAATGTTAGGTTTTTATTGCAAACTTTTGTTTAAATTGGATATAATTGGACCATTGTGTCATTGCAACATTAATAATTAATTTGACAAAAAATTATTAACACAGTTACTAACTAACTTGTTCAAGATGGCTGTGTTGTAATGCACTATTAAATACTTTTTTCGATATTCGTTTAGTTATAACTTATTTAAGTGCTGTTTGTACACCTCAATACTTTGGTGCAATAGTTCTTGTAACAGACTATAATTTGTATGAACCAAAAATACTGAATATTGTTGAAAAATAAAAATGACGTTTGGATGTATGTGTTTTATTCATTTTTAGTTGTTTCCATCTTAACGTACTGGTATCTCTTTTTTAATTTGGTTTCATTGAATTTATCTGCTTTGTCCAAAGTCCAAGGTATCTTGACGGGTTTACGGTCGATGTTAACACTTACTTTGAACAATGGGAAGGCGTTCACTTTTCCATTAAAATATCTTGAAATCATTTTCGATATCCCTTCATTTATAACGTATTTACTTTGGTTATTCGGTAATTTTGAGAAATATTCTTCGAAAACTTTTTCTATATCAACCATGTCATTTTGTTTAGGGTCCGTTTCACAGAATATACAATTTAGAGCTAAAATCTGAAATAAAGTTTTAGTAGACTTTAGTAATTAATATTTACAAAATTGTTTTTATTTAAAAACTTTAATTTTTTAAAGGATTTTATTACCAAAACCGTTACTATAGTAAACATTTTTAATTTACATTTTGTTTTTGATAGGGTAGAACTTTATATTACGGGAAAGTTAATGGAATGTTCATAATAAAATCTTTTTATGAATAAACCATTTAATAAGTTAATTTCACGAATGACTGGACTTAATGAAAGGAAGATTTATTTTCATATTATGTCGGACCGTCTGATGGATTACAATGCTCGTCTTTGTACCGAATTGCTAAGGTTTGATGCTCGTGATATTTCAGATACGTATTTCAGACACTAAGGTATCCATTTAAGAATATATGTATAAGAAAAATGAATTAAGCTAAGTAATTATAGTGCTAATGCTTCTACAATGGTGCATTAAGCTTCTATAACTTTGAGATTTAAAAAGCAGAGGTGAGACCGGATTCATATACTTATTATGTAATTAAAATCCACCCTGTTGATAGAAGATTTTCCTAAATTTATCTATTAATAATTTTCTTAACTAATTACAAATATTAAGAACGTTAGACAAAGGAATTAGTTCTAATATTGTGACAAGTGGTAAATATTATCATTTTTATTATTATTCCTTTTCCTCCCTTAATATGAGTAGGTAATTCGCAACACGCACGAGTAAAGGGGAACATAAAAATCCGTACTAATTGGATCTGTAGAACTCACAAACAAATGTGGTTTTATTTTAGGAACAAATGTTTATTTTGTCAAAGAGTTTACATAATAAGTATAATAAAATCGTTGACTAAAAAACAGTGGTACCGATGTATTTCATTTATACTGGTATAAGATTATTTCGTGTCTATTTGTTCATAATAGAAGCTGAACACATCAAAAACTGTCATAATCCATTTGTAACAGGCAAGTGGATTTAGGTGAGGTAAAAGGGAACCCTTTATTAATCACAAATACTGCGTAGTATGTAAGTATCGTCTTTTCAGTACTAAACAGGTCAATAAACTGTTGCACGTCTATACGAAATTACTACTTAAACCGGCTCAAGATGAAAATATTATGTACCTAACCACTAACCAAAGTTATCACATACGATGTAGGGCAGTCAAAGATCATAATATATGTAAAAAAAAAATAGATTCGATAAAAGTTTTTTGAAGTAAAAAAAGCCTTATAAACGGATGAAATAATATCTATCGATACATTGCAAATTAATTTGGAGAAATGCCGGTAGAAATTCTTTTTATGAGCAGCATATTTTGGATAAAACAAAATTATGAAATAATAAATGTATATAATTTGAAATTAAGTCTGGTTTCATTTCTTTTGTGGGAAAAACTAGCCTTGAGGGCAAAAAATGTCTGGCAAATTAAAAATATTTCCACTGTTATGATTGTTATACACTCATCCCAGATAATTGTGTTTAGGTACTTATTTATGTCCAAATTTAAATTTTTCAGGATAAGGAGTTTTTATTCGTTCTAGATTTAATCTAAATAAATAAAATAATTTTTAAACTGTTTTAAATGTATGTAGCCTAAAAGTCAAAACTTATTTTTATACTGTAAGTTGTTTACTATCTCTTTTTTTTGTTCTAGAGAATGAATTTTTTGTTATATACTATTACAGTCGCATGTAAATAATATATTGTTGTGACATTTCACTTTTTGTGGCTTTCAATAATCTTGTCTCTATAGATGTCGTAAAGATATAAACCCAAATCACTTAGAGCTCAATATATTATGTGATCATTGACAGAGACTGTTCACTTTTATTACTTACCATTATTTTTGGGGATTTCATTGAAAACTTATATGATCACTCACATATTTGCATCATTTATCTTTATGATACGTTTGCACGGGTAAATCTGAAACCCCACGAGGTGTCATGCCACGTCTCGAGAACCCTAACGCTGCCATCATAACGCTCATGCCGGCTTCAATAGTTCTCTTCCTATCGGAGTCATTTCCGAGAGCTGGGTTAATCTCAACAAGATCAAACGCACGGAGCCGGCCAGTGGCGTGAATAATCTCCATCAATTTGATAGCTTCCCGAAGTGTAAGGCCTCCTCGAACTGGTATGAAAAATAATTATTTTTTTTAATTAAATGAATATACAATAGAGAAGTACCTTTTAAACTTTTAGATTGTTGAGTCTTCTATCGTTCATTAGAATTTAGAAGTGTATTTGATTTCCTAAACTTAATACATTGTTGACATTGACTTAAGTTAAAGATCCATAATGTTTAGGTGTTTTGTGAATAGTTTTTTGTAAAGATATTATTTAAATTCGACTTGAATGATACTATACTATACGAAAGAGATACACTAGAGATAACATATTAATCACGATCTACAATATCTTAAATACATACCAGGGGTGCCCGTACTGGGAGCCTCTAAAGAATCCAATGAATCGATGTCGAAACTGACGTGGATCGGTTTATTTCCTTCGGGGTCTAGCCTCTGCAGAACGTGTTCTATAGATTTATGAATTCCGTAACTGTATAAAAAATATATTACTAATTATTAACCTTATAATATACCTACCTACGTTATACCTACGTTTCTCGTAATTTTTCATTACACAGATTCAAGACTTTAATTTATAATTATTCAATGCAGTTTTTACTAGAAGTTATTTTCAATATTGATAACACTACGATAAACGGAACCCTTTCTAAATAACTCCAATTATTTTCACATCAGTGTTTTAAAATGTTTACGTTTAGAGTGTATAAATAAATTTAAACGCTAAACGTTCCGTTAAAACTTCAACTTCGTATATTATTCAGCTTGCGTTTTAGGTAGCACTTACTAATGTAAATGTTTAACTTACTCCTCTATGTCTTCCATTGCGAACGCAGGCACGTCGTATTTTTCTATTGCCAGCCTTTCGTACTTGTCTACTGATCTAAGGCCAATGTATCCGAGATTCTTTATCGAAAATCTGTAAATTGAATTCACTTGTTATTCAAATAGCCCTCAAATACTTGCGAAGAAATGTTTATATTTCTTTTTTCAAATGTTCACTCAACCAAATTTGATACATTATTATATTCTTGAACATCTTTATGTTTTTATGAAAACAATATTTTGTATGCGAAGAATAATTTCCCTTGGTAGATGATATAGCAAGTTTTAACGTGACTTTCAAAGTGAAAAGTATATTACACTATATGCTTGTATGTATCTTTTAAACATAGAAACTAGTACAAGTATGTTTAAAATTATCTATATTTTTCTTAATTATTAGTTTATAATCTTATATCTCACTTTGGGACTTGCCAGTCCATAGTTGGTAAATAAGGCCAGTAGTCAGATAATTCTTTAACAAGTAGAGCTACTGGCATGCCATGCACGGAACCTGATTCGGAAGTCTTGTTAGTGTTGATGTCAGCATGAGCGTCTACCCAAATAAGGATCATGTTCTCGTTTACTTTATAATGTCCGTCAACCGTTCCTTGAATAAAAGTGTTTTATATAGAGATTAATATTAATAAGACATTTTGGTGTCGTAACTTATATTGCATTTGGAAGGGACATATAAATTTGATTATTTCTCTTTGTAAGGTATTTTTTTCAATTCTGGTGGTTGTCAATTTAGCTGACAAGAAATAGATACTTTTTTTAAGGCCAAAATACCTTTTATATAACTTTTTTATTTAATATTCAAATTGGATAAGTAACAAACCGCTTCAGAGAGTACATTAGCCAAGTCAAGTACAACGCTATTTGAGAATTTTTTGACAAGGCTTAAGTAAATTTCAGACGAAATTTAAGTGAGGTCTTAAAAACTCTTAATCTTAAAATGCTTATTTTTATAAAAAAATGGCCATCAATATCAAAGTAATGTTTCTATAATTATATAGTTTTTAAACAATAATTCTCATCATGTCACTCCAACTTAATATGAATTTTGATGTATGTAAAAAAATAAATGGAGCGTGTACATAAGAATATAAATTTATAATTTCCTACTTATTACTAGCCAATACTATGAATAAGTTATAATAATCTTACCAACTCCAATAGAATGATCTCCACCTATTGTAACAGCAACTCTACCGTCTTTTAGAACTTGTGCTACTTTGTCTGATAGGTTTTTGTTGCAAGCTGATACCAGCGGAAGGTGAGCCATATTGTCCACATCTACAGGCCTTTCGGACGACGGGACCTCAATGTCACCATAGTCTTTTACATCTAAACCATCTGATATAAAAGGATTTTATTTTAAGTGATATCAATTATCTAAAGATGATTTATTTGTTAGTATTAAGTTGTTAGAATAGTGTTTAATCCAAAATCTATATTATTTAAGAAAGAAATTATTATGCCCTACTCTACATTTGTGTCAACTTGAAAGTTAAATTTATTTACTTTTAGCTAAAACGTCTGTCGTTCTACATCAATTTGATGATAAATTATACGGATAGTTATTATTAATAATATAAAAATAAGTGTTCACTTACCGATCTCCTTTAAGCGTTCAATCAAGCCAGCTGATCTTAGAGCGGCAGGTGCGACACTAACTCCATACTTTTTTTGGCCTTTCTCAAATGGAACACCGATCAACCCCACCCTTTTTAAGGGTTGATATTTTGCTTGTTGACTCATATTTCTCAAAAAGACTCTGACGAGATTCATGTTGCTTATTATAATAAATACGATATAAACAATACTCTTTTGAGCTACAACTCATACTGACATGAAAGATAAGCTTCTTTGAATATAATAATATCCGTTATCGTATACGTCAAAGGTTAGATGTAGATTTTTACAATTTTTTACATCATATCTTACAGATAAATTCTTATAATCTTTATTTTAAAATCTCTAAATATAATTTATAAGCAGTATTTAATTATAAATGCACCTTACCCAATTTAATGATGATAACTTCAAACGAAACAAACGATCGAAACATTGAAAAAGTGTATTAAAAAGAAACTAGGTAGTGCTATTTATAGGAAAAGGAAAATGTATGGTAATTTAAGTTGGAAATTAAACGAGTTAAATCTGTTTCATTTGTTGCACATTAGTAATTTAACAAGCTAACACATTTAGTGGGTGTCAGATAGTAATCAAATAGTTTTTTGTTACAAACATATTTTAATAAGTGACATTAAAATACATAACATTGAACCGCTTAGTGTATTATGTATACCACGATTTTTAGGAGTGTTTGATATAAATTGAACAATAGAGTTGAATTTAGATTTTTGAATCCATGCAACATAAGGGCCAACAACTGTAAATATATTGTAGTTGATGTTTGGTCTAAAAGTTAAAGTTCCAGAAGGAGTCGCTGCTATACCTACAATTTCATTTCCATATAAAACTGGGCCGCCTTCTCCGAAAGAACCCACATAAGTAGTCGGCCAATACTCAATTCCACATATGCAGTAATACCACTTGGGATTCATACAGGCCATTTGATGAAACGACTGCTGCTGTAACACAACACCTTCAGAAGTCGCTATCTTACCATATCCCACCATAAAAAGGTGCTTCTCCATTAATTCCGTTGCATAGTAATTCGATAGAATTGCACCCTCGAAAAAATATTCTAGAATAGGAAGTACGGTGAAGATGAGACCGATGTTGCTATGCATGGCGGATATATTATAATCATTTTCAAAGAAATCAAATTTGTAGTCATCGTGTAGTTTAGAAAAAGCAACTTTGAGGAGTCTAGTCTTATTGGCCCGAGGGTGTAGTACGGCGGCTGCTAGTGCAACATAATGTGGCTCAGGAGTGATACAAGCACCTGAACTTAGAACGGTCCTTTTATCAATTACAGCTCCCGTGCAGATATATTCTTTCTCATAATTTAAAATTGGTACCACGTAAGGGTTTCTTCTGCTAATGCTTCTACTGTCTTCCAATCGGTTGGATTGAATGTTGCATGGGCTGTATTACTTGCAAGTAGACCAAATAAATAGAAAAAGTTCAAAAGCATATCAATAAAGTAATCTTAGTAACAGAATAACCATTATTTAAAAGGATGATTTGTTCATTGTACCTGATTCTGTTCTGTCAATGAATTATGACAGAGAAAGAAAGTGACTTTGAATGTGCTTTCGTTCATTAACATATGAGTGTATTAAAAAAAGTTAAGAAAACTCTTTGTTCATTTATGATGCTAAAGTTATTTCATTTCATTTTATTGTTTCATACTTTAGAATCTCAATTGAAAATATTAGTTCAAATTGCTACAACGAGTCTGTTACTAGAAAGGTAATAATATCTCACTTTAAGTATCAAGCTAAGCGTGTGCCTTATCTTTTTGATCATGAACTAGAGAGTTTCTCCACAATGGCAGCAGACTAGAGTGCTCTTAATTATATTTTGATGTTTGTTCAGAGCGCTATGAATTCCAAAGAGCCCTTAGCGTTAATAAGGGTGATTGATATCAAAATGGAATCGAGTTTATGAAGGCTGAAAAAGCGAAGCTACAATGTCAGTTTTAATGTTATATCAATAAAATTCGAGTGTATTTAATACAGAACAATATATTTTCATGTTTTTTGATTTTGAGAGAGAAAAATTTAAGGACTATAACCGTGTTTCTTTACAAATAATCTAATTTGTATTTCCTTAATATGGATACTCTTTATTCAGTATTTTCTGAATAATGTATAAAATTCAATTCGGTTAGTTATATCCTATTTAATTTAACCGAGACAGTGATTATATCATATAAGAAAGAAGATACTATCTCGTCTTTTCATGACTACGGTAATGGAAGATAAGATTAAAAATAAAAAAATACAAATGTTGCGCTTGCTAAATTTGATAATATTATTTAATTTATATGTGCGGTTTTTGATAAGAAATAAAATTTAAAAATAAGAATACTAATTTCTAAATATTTTAGATATAATTTTTTCTTAATCAAATGATAGTAACTTTTTAAAGTAAAAATAAAGCGTCACTCTGCTTTTTTAATTGTTTACATTTAAGTTTTAATAAAGTAGTGTGATTATATATTTGATACATAATCACACTAATTCGATGTTAATATAATGATAAATTTTGAATTTCTACTTATTAGTACTTGAGATTTTTAACGAAATGTATCGCATAAAGTTATATTAAGTCAATAGGTATACAATCCTCAAAATTTTATGAAAAATCCTTGTTATAAAATAGTAATACATTTTGATTTATTCAACTGTAACACGAGGGCACTTATTTTATTTTAATAAATATACATTTTCACGTAAATTTTATAAAGAGTAAATAGAATGTCTCCGACTATTTTAAACCATAAAGCAAATATAGAACAAAAAACGGCTCAGGGATATAGACTTAAGTCGAAAACTTCCTAAATTTCAGAGGCCTCGAAGGAGTCGTAAAAACCATCATGGCAGACCATTTTTTTTTAAAGCTGAAAAAATGCTTTTCGCATACCACTCTACCCGGGGTAGGCAGTATGACAGACCTAGTTGCCAGATTGGGGCTGTTAGTTTACCACATCCTTGTGAAGCGGAAAGTCTGTAGATTTATTTAACCTGGGCAGCGTTTAGAATCATTATCAATTTTATTAGTAATTGTGATATAAATATTTTTTTTAATTTTATTACAAAATATGAATAAGAGTGTATTTACAAATTTTTAATCAAAATACCTATTAGAAAACGAATTATCTTTTAAAATGAAACTGTGATTTTCGGATAACTATGTGATCATTTTAGTTTCTTTTTGATTGAGTTATAGAGGAACACGATAGAACTCTAGAACATTACTTATCAATGATTCAAAAGGGAGCAAAATGTTTTAGTGGTATTCCTTGTACTATCGGCTATTTTACATAAAGCAAATTATTATTGAATTTTTCCCATGACCTTTATGACTTCAATGTAAAAAACTAACTATTAATATGATACATAAGGCTGAAATTAAAGTATTCACTAAAATTGATACTTAAGATATAGCCATCAGACAGATACTCGACTGACTTCTTAGGTGGTTCAAGCACTGTTATAACTTCCTTTGATCTTTAAAAAACAAGTAAGTTACATGTCTTGTAATCTACTATACTTAAAATATATGTAAGTATATTTCTTAACATGGCGTATATACAAATTGTTTTTTATAACAGTGTTTGTCTTTTGAAGTTTGTTTAAGTGAATTTGATGGTGAACATATAAATATTTAGAGACAGGATATTTTCAATACTTCCTATGATATTCAGTATGTACCTAATAATAATTAATTAATTTTATATAAAAAGATTAAATGAAAGTAGTATAATTAGGTACATTTCATATTATTCAAGATTCTATTTATCACTACAAATAAGATTTTTAGGCTTCAGTTATTAGTAGATTTTCATTAACCACAAGATTCAAGACACGTCTTACATTTAAACTTTATCGGGCGCTTATCTTAGGCCTTTGACAAAACGCAGCCCCTATATCGAAAACCTCTTTGTCTTCTTAGTTTATGGAGGTGATGTTATATATATAGTTTATGTAAAAATAATTAAGTATTTCCTTCTAAAAACAAGCTTTATTATTTTTTATTTGAAAATTTAATGTCACATAACTAAACTAAAAATTTAAGAGAGTACACAGTTAAAATTACTATTATAAGAACCTTATATTATAAAGTTTGGATTCTGCACGGAATCACCTCATGTACTTTGTAAAAATGTAATTGTGTCTACACTGTAGCAGTGCAATGGATAGTGTACAAAAGTACAGATTTTAGTACTAAGAGTTTAAGAAGATTTTGATAATCAACAACAACATCTTTTGTGACAAATACCATACATCATGAATTTACTCTTTGATGTAGGTTGTGTACTGTTTGATTTTTAATTCAAGGACATCCACAATTAGATATATGTACGAGTATACATATATTCGTCAATTTTCATAAATAAAAAATCAAGTAATAATACAATTCTACTTAAAAGACTTAATTATTTTAGACAAAAAATATTTAGCTCTAATATGTTACTATAAATGTTGTTTTCTTACTCATTTTAAAACAATAAGCATTGAAAAAAACGTATAAAAGAGCTATTAAAATTTTATACAGGTTTCTTAGAATATAAAACGTCTGCATAAAAATGTTTTTATAGCACGGAAATAATTAATTTCATTCGGAAACAATGTGCGTTTCTTCAACATTAGTTGTATTCATTTTTCAAGGCAAGTAATTTTAATTTTAACAAATACATTTGCTTAGTTTAAATTATATAACATCTCGTATATTTGTCGTATATATATGTTCTATGAATAATTTATATATGTAGAAGTTTTTATTTAAGCCTTGAGTACGTTTATTACTGCGGAAGAGGCATGTGATAATATTTTATGTGCAAATGTGTTCGATCCTGTATGTGGTGTAGCAACTGCGGAGGATGGCAGGAGTTTCATTAAGAGATATCACAACATATGCTACCTCACAATGATACAATGTCGTTTCCCTCTTGCTAGTAAGTTTTCCTTTAATCGTTAAGCCTAGACGTAAAACTGATATTAATAGTACTTTTAATTTTCAAGATCTTGTACAGATACCAGACGAACTTTGCAATATAAAGAAAAATTTTATAAACATAGAAAGTGGTCGAAGGCTTCACGATTTCAGCATAGTTGGTGCACATCAAGCCTGTAATCATACGTGTCCAACATACTGCCTCGACATATATCAACCAGCTTGTGCACAAATCTGGACTCATGACATGCAGTCATATGAGTACAAACCAATGCTAAATCATTGCCATATAGATCTTTATTCGTGTGTTGTTGGAGTCAGTAAGTAATATTTTGATAGTATCATTTCGCCGACGATCCTCCTGAATAATCCAGTTCAAAAATTTAACCGTAAAAACCTAGAGATGCCTGATAACGGGAGAATAATCTTATTAAACTGGCACTGGATTGTTTTAAAGGGGCATGAAAATGTATTGAATTGTCATCCGATTTTTCTGACTTATATTATCTTAAATTTTAACACAAGTTTTAAATTTTTGAGTCTCTGTTATGTATTGAAAGGTAATAATTTTGTTAATAATTTGTCGAATAAAACAAATTGTTTGAGATTATGTTCCATAATAAATGATATTATTTTGGCAAACATATGAATTTGGAATTTGGAAATATGTATGTATAATGTACATGTGGATATTAATAATTTGTATTCATATGAAGACATGCGATTGTGTTAATGCAAGTGTAGATATTGTTTTCAGATGTCACAATTCAGCCTTTGATAGGAAAATGTTATCATAATCCGTCGGTATTAAATTTTGTGTTTAACGTAGCATCCTTAAAAACTCTCAAGCTACTCGACGAGCCAGCTCATTTATCTTTAAATTTAAAAAACACCAGAAGAACAAATATAAACAAAATAGTGCACCAGGAGATTAAAGAGTTCGTGGAGAAACTTGGTGATCGAATTCGATTTAAACTCCGGGTTTAAACAGTCTGCAGAGTTCATTTTATTTTATTCTCTTAATACTTACTTCATCTTGGAAGCATAAATGTTCTAGCGTTTGTAATCTTAATGCAAATCTTGACTTTTAATTAAATTTCCTTCGCCAACCGCGGAGAGTATTATAAAAACCGGTTTCATAATATCGCTTAGCTCACTGAGATGAAATCATTTAAAGAGTTTTGAACTGCGACTTACTTTGAAAATAAAAGAAAATATTTAATATATTCAAATAACATGGCTTAAAAATATTATTTTATCGCTCAGTATTCAGAAAAATATTATGATAAATGATTATGTTAATTGTTTTATTTCCTACTTTACAAGTAAACTACTTTACAAGTAATTATATTTAATTTTTACTTGTGATAACTTTTGTTTTACTTTGTATGGAATTTGTGTACTTATTTGACTTTTTGAGATTGACCCAAAGTTCTTTTAAAAACCATTTGTCGTCTGAATACTATTAATTTGAATTTATTGCAGATGATTTATAAGGCGATATTTTTTTGTTTCATAGTACAATAATTTATATATTTTATGTTTTCTAAATATATCACATATATTTTTTCTTTATCAAAACACAGTTATTTATTCCGGTAAGATTAAAGTGACACTCTACTTATTCAATTGTTAAGAGTTGTGTACTCTGGAAGATTTCTAGAAAATCCCTATTTAACATTAAACTACTTTAACTATTTAAAAAATAGAACGAGCATTTTCAAAACGATGTCCAGTGTTATTTCTTTAAAAGGGACATGAATAATTTATCCAAAAGAGGTACTGTAAGTAAGAAACTCATATTTTTTTCTTCACCATCAGAAAATAGAAATTTTAATGAACAGAACACATACCAAACATTTGAAAGAAACTAATATTTTGACGGGTGATATTCCGATTGCAAATGAATCTGATTTTTTGATGTTTATTCAAAATAAGCTGAAAAAATAAATATTACCAATCAAATAAATTACAGTATATTTGGGACATCAAAAGGTAAGTTTTCACTAAATTTCGTGACAAAATATTGTTTTTAGGAAGAGATAAAAATAAAAAACAAAAACTTGGTTTTATGAATTTTCACATAAATTTTGAGGTTATGTGAAAACTTTTAGTTTTGCCGTAAATCGAGAAAACTCATTTTTTACCCTTAAATACCCACCCCAATACCCTTCCCGACCTTAGATCGTCGGTAAATTATTTTTCCTTTAATTTTTATAATATTCCCCTCCTTTTGTATTGGGTTTCATCCTATTATATATTTTTTTATGTTTTAAAAGCTATCGACACTGGTCTATAAAGCAGTGTAGTTATATATTTGATACATAATCACACTAGTTCGATGTTAATATAATGATAAATTTTGATGTTGTACTCATTTGTACTTGAGATTTTTAACTAAATGTATCGCATAAAGTTATATTAAGTCAATAGGTATAAAACCCTTAAAGTTTAAACAAAAAAACCTTGTTATAAAATAATAAAACATTTTGATTTATTGAACTTTAACACGAGGACACTTATTTAATTTTAATAAATATATATTTTCACGTAAATTGTATAAAGAGTAAATAGAATATTTTAAATCATCATCAATTTTAAACTATAAAGCAATCAATCTAAATATAGAACAAAAATCCACCATCCAAGTTATTTACATCGGCTCGGGAATATAAACTTAAGTCGAGAAACTTCCTAAATTTCAGAGGCCTCGAAGGAGTCGTAAAAACCAATATGGCAGACCTAGTTGCCAGATTGGGGGCTGTTAGTTTACCACATCCTTGTGACGCGGAAAGTCTGTAGATTTATTTAACCTGCGTTTGAAAGAATTATTATCAATTCTATTGGTGATTGGGATATAAATATTTTTAAATTTTATTACAAAATATGAATAAGAGTGTACATACTTACAAATTTTTAATCAATTTACCTATGTATTAGAAATCGAATTATCTTTTAAAATGAAACTATGATTTACGGATAACAATGTGATCATTTTAGTTTCTTCTTGATTTAGTTGGAGAGGAACACGATAGAACTCTAGAAAACTACTTTTCAATGACTCAAAAGGGAGCAAAATGTTTTGGTGGTATTCCTTGTACTGTCGCATATTTTATATCAAACCAATTTAATATTCAACCTTTTTCCCATATAAACCTCTATGACTCCAATGTTAAAAAAAAATCCTAAAAATCAAAGAAGATACTTGCAAAATTAACTATTGATTCGATAAATAAGGTTGAAATGAAAATATTCAGTCAATTTGCGCTGAAATAACAGGGATTTTTACATTAACTAAGATAGGAGACGCTTTAGTTATGTACTGAAGACGTAGCCACCAGACAGATAATAATAAAAGACTGACTTTTTAGGTGGTTCAAACACTGTTACAACTTTATTTGATCTTTAAAAAAGAGCTAAATTATCGGTACTGCGATTTAGTATACCTAAATGTATATTTCTTAACATGGCGTGTATGTTCAATGTTTTTTATAACAGTGTTTGTCTTTTGACGTTTCTTTAAGTGGATTTGATGGTGACCATATGAATATTTAGAGAAAGGATATTTTCAATAATTCCTATGAAATTCAGTACCTAATTATAATTAATTAATTTAAGTGAAAGTAATGTAATTAGGTACAGTTAATAGTATTCAAGATTCTATTTATCACTACAAATAAGATTTTTAGGCCTTAGTTATTAGTAGATTTTCATTTACCGCATGATTTAAGACACGTCTTACATTTGAAATTTATCAGATCTTCAAATTTATCAGACGCTTATGTTAGGCCTTTGACAAAACGCAGCCCAAACCTCTTTGTCTTCTTAGTTTATGGAGGTCATGTTATATATAGAGTTTATATAAAAATAAACAATTAAGTTTTTTCTTTCAAAAAGAAGCATTTGAATTTTTTATTCGGAATTTTGTTGTCACATTCATTGCAATAGTTGTGAACTAAAAATTTAAAATAGTTTGCAGTTAAAATTACGCATTAATAACACAGATTGTTATTAGAGCCTTATATTATAGTGTTTGAAGTATAAACGAAGTAACCTTGTGTACTTTAGAAAAGTGTATTGTGTACAGATTTCAGTACTAGGAGGTTAAGAAGATTTTGATGAATAAGAACAATATTTTGAAATAACTCTTTGATGTAGATAGTAGGTTGATTTTATGTTTGATTTTCAAAACAAGGACATCCATAATTTGATATATGTATTATATATATACATCAATAGAGATGTTTCGAGACTCCTTCATAACCAAAAAATATTTATATTCTACTCCACTTGTAGGTACCTAGAAGTCTTAATTATTATAGAGAAAAAATATTTATCTATAATATGCTATTATAAATATTATAATCATTCTCATTTTAAAACACTGAGATTCTTAGAATATAAAACGTCTGCATAAAAATATTTTATAGCACGAAAATAATTAATTTCATTCGGAAACAATGTGCGTTTCTTCAACATTAGTTGTATTCATTTTTCAAGGCAAGTAATTTTAATTTTAACAAATACATTTGCTTAGTTTAAATTATATAACATCTCGTATATTTGTCGTATACATATGTTCTATGAATAATTTATATATGTAGAAGTTTTTATTTAAGCCTTGAGTACGTTTATTACTGCGGAAGAGGCATGTGATAATATATTATGTTCAAATGTGTACGATCCTGTATGTGGGGTAGCAACTGCGGATGATGGCAGGAGTTTCATTAAGAGATATCACAACATATGTTACCTCACAATGATACAATGTCGTTTTCCTCTTGCTAGTAAGTTTTCCTTTAATCGTTAAGCCTAGACGTAAAACTGATATTAATAGTACACTTAATTTTCAAGATCTTGTACAGATACCAGACGAACTTTGCAACATAAAGAAAAATTTTATAAACATAGAAAGCGGTCGAAGGCTTCACGATTTCAGCATAGTTGGTGCACATCAAGCCTGTAATCATACGTGTCCAACATACTGCCACGACATATATCAACCAGCTTGTGCACAAATCTGGACTCATGACATGCAGTCATATGTGTACAAACCAATGATAAATCATTGCCATGTAGATCTTTATTCGTGTGTTGTTGGAGTCAGTAAGTAATATTTTGATAGTATCATTTCGCCGATGATCCTCCTGAATAATCCAGTTTAAAAGTTTAAACTTAAAAACCTAGAGATGCCTGTAGATATTGTTTTCAGATGTCACGATTCAGCCTTTCTCAGGAAAATGTTATAGAAATCCGTCGGTATTGAATTTTATGTTTAACGTAGCATCCTTAAAAACTCTCAAGCTACTCGACGAGCCAGCTCATTTATATTTAAATTCAAAAAACACCAGACGAACAAATATAAACAAAATAGTGCACCAGGAGATTAAAGAGTTCGTGGAGAAACTTGGTGATTGAATTCGATTTAAACTCCGGGTTTAAACAGTCTGCAGAGTTCATTTTATTTTATTCTTTTAATACTTACTTCATCTTGGAAGCACAAATGTTCTAGCGTTTGTAATCTTAATGCCAATCTTGACTTTTAATTAAATTTCCTTCGCCAACCGCGAAGAGTATTATAAAAATGGGTTTCATAATATCGCTTAGCCCACAGAGACGAAATCATTAATCGAGTTTTGAACTGTAACTTAGTTTGAAAATAAAAGAAAATATTTAGTATATTCCCATAAAATGGATTAAAAATATTTAATATTAATATTCAGAAAGATATTATGATAAATGATTACGTAAATTGCTTTATTTCTTACTAGTAAACTATGTACCAAATTATATTTCATTTTTACTCTTTATAACTTTTGTTTAACTTTGTATGGAACTATTATTAATTTGAATTTATTGCTGATGATTTTTTATGGCGATATTTTTTGTTTCATAGTACAATTTATATATTTTTTTTAAAACAACTACCTTTGTTTTTTTTTTATTGATTAGATTCAAGATGTGGAACAGAAATGTTTCCACAACAACATGTATGGTATTTTATATAAAAGTAAATAAAAAAATATTTATAAATA